CGTTCAGGGAGGCATGGCTAAGGAGGTCGGGTCCGTGGACGCAGCCAACGAGTGTATGTAGACGATATCCATTGTAACGACATTCCAGGGCTGATGGTCGGCGTAAAGCTGGTATACCAAGGTCGTGACAGCGGACCAAGTGCCCCAATTGTTTATCCCCTTTCAATGGGAATAGCTTCGCTATACATGTTTTAATAGTCCTTTGATGTGGAAATTTAAATTTGAAAGAAAAACAGACGGCGGCGTCACTTCGTTGTGACTATAGCTGAGAAGGTCGTGTCCAATGACGACACATACTGAGCAGCCAGGTATGGAACCCCTTAAAGCCACACACAAGCATTGATATGGATATATGTTGGCTGAAGGAGACAAATGATGACACATAAATGCTGCTATCAGTTTAGCACATCAACACAACTGATCCCCATCAGCATGCCGCATGGTAGATGTCGGCGTGCATATTTAGAATCGTCGTGTCCGTAGAGGGTGGGGTATATATTTTGGCTGGAGGATAGAAATGCTGGCTTCCTATAATATCACTGGCCCAGTTATGCGTTGATGCTAACTTGTCATTGTGTCTGAGACGAGGAGTTGGCGCCGACATGTGGACATATAGCAAGATTGAATGACCAAAACCCGTTGTACTGTATGGGCTTGTTATTTTTGCAATGTCGGCATTGAAGTCTATAGATCTGGTTCATATAAAAGGGAACAAGGGTAGGGCCATAGAATAAACTCATGGAGCCCACATGGATGATAAGCACATATATACAAGAGTATGACAATAAATTTCGTGATATATACAAGTGCAGATATAAACGGCGTAAAAAGAACATGCCCTCTATTCCTCCTCCCCATCCTCCTCATCGTTGGCAGGCGAGCTGGGAGCGATGCGCTCGGTGGCGGCGTCCTCGTCGTTGTCGGCGCCTTCATCCATTTGAACGAATGAAGGGGACTGGCGTGGGGGGCTTTCTGCAGGCAGCTCACTCGCTGAGCCTGCCCTCTTTGGCGGCGTCAACGTCCACGCCTTCCCGCCGCCTTCCTCCAACCGAACAGTATCCAGACGATACTGGTTCTCGTCCTTGTTCTCAGCGAGAAGGCCCTTCGACGCAGTGGACGCCGAAGGCGATCCTGACGCCGACTTGCCCTCTTGCTTCAAGATCTTCTTCAGGAGCGCCTGGTTGCTCTTCTCCACCTTCACGAGGTTATTGACTTGCGCCTCCATTCGCTTCATGAAGTCGTCAATGCGGCCATTGACCGCCTTCATATGGGCCTCTAGCCGAAGATCCTGGGCCTCCAAGCGGCCCTCGTAGCGAGTATGAGACGAGAAGGAATGCTTGACGATCTCCTTGGCAAACTGCTTCTGCCGCTCAAGATAAGGGCGCATGTCGCCGACGTTAGCGGGCACATCGACATCGGCGAACAGCAAGTCTGTAGGGGAGAGTGAGCGGCGTGCGACAAGCATGTGAGGCAGAACCGGCGTGCCCCGGGGAAATGGCTTGGCGTACGCACCAAGGTTAACCTCAGCAGGAACCTGACAAACGCGGCGTCAGTATCGTATCCCGCGGCATGATGGAAAAACACTCACACTGGTGCCTTCGCCCACAGATGCGCCGCCCGCATCAGTGGACGGCGCCTTCCAAGTGTTCTGGCCAGTAACAGGGAGAGCAGCTGGCTTGGCCGTGCTGCCCGCCTTGACAGGCTGGTTGGCGCCCTGGTGTAGGTCAACATGCTGCTGGTATCGTAGCCAAACTGATCTTACCTTGGTGCCCTTCTTTGGCGCCTTCGTTTTGGCAGTCTTCTTGCCCTTTGCCGCCGCGGCGGCGTCATCGTCCTGCTCGACAACCACCTCTTCCTCAGCTTCTTCTTCCTCCTCTGCCTCAGCCGCTGCCTGAGACGCCTTCCCCTTCTTCCCCGCTGCCGTCTTCCCCGCTGCCTTGCTCTTCGCAGTTTCCTTCCCCTTTGTTGTCTCCTTCGACTTCTCCGCCGCCGCCTTTGACATCCCAGATGGCTTGGCCTTCTTCTTTGCGCTGGGGCCGTCGGCGTCACCTTCACCGTCGGCGTCGGAATCCCTGGGTGTAGCCTTCTTCTGCCTTGATGGCTTGGCAGGGACGTCGTCGTCGATAACAATGTCGGCAGGCTTCTTGGCGGCCTTGGACTGTCCGCTTGTTGACGCCGACGTGGGTGGGGCAACGGGCTCGACGGGCTGAGCCGAGGGAGCATCCTGTCGCCAACCAGGTATTAGCGTGGCCTGGCTATGAATGGGAGAAACACTTACTGTTTCGGCGCTGCCCATCGCGACGTCTTGCTGTATGAGGACTCAGTCATCGACCTGGTGTGGAGTTGGGAAAGAGAACCTACAGCGGCTGAGAATGGGACGTTTTTCCACCAGTCCACGCCGATATTTTGGACCGGTGGTGCCTTCGTGAGGTGACCGAAGTTCATCTGCGTGGGATCCGTGACGAAGTCGGAGGAGAAGATGTTGCCGCGCTGTAGCAAGATACTAGCCACAAAGGGTCTCCACTGGATATCGGGGTAGGGGTTGGGGTGAGAGATTGCCTGAATAATAGGTCCAAGTTCATTCTGAGCGGCATGAGCATCATGACAGCCAAACACCTGAGTGGCACGCACCTGCTCCTTGAGCCACTCCTGATCAAACACGACCTTGTTGATGCCGCCCATCCTCGAGAACATCAACATCTGCTGCCATCGGTGGTCCAGGGTGTCGACAAAGGTCTGAATGGTGTGGGGCTGGTTGGTGTCGATAACCATGCCAGGGAGACAGGTGGGGGAAGGGAACACGGGCATGGTGGGTTCGAGAAATGTGGCTTGTGGGGAAGGGGGGTTCGGCGGCTAGAATGCAAAGGCACACGAAGTTTTTTTGTTTGTGTTTGTTTGGGCGGCGCTCAGAACGGCGTCATTGTCCTTAGTTTGCACATGTTTGTATACCCCAAAAGAACCCTTTGGCCTTGTCTTTTCTCGCGAGCTTCCTATTTTCTGCCCACCATGTCCGCCAAAGACAACCAGAGTGAGTACAACCGCCATGAATCTGTGCCGCTGCCCACGCTGACTAGATCCTTGGTCACCTCATCCCGGGGATACCGTGTACTGTAATATTACAGCTGCCCGAAAGGGTCAAATCGGCATCCCACGCACGGGAGACAGCGACACGTTTGGTGCGTCGCCGTCTTCAGTCCCCATTTCAACGGTTAACAGCCCTTAGATCTTGACAGTGAAGCACAGAAGTACGCCGCCGGCCGTGCCGATAGCGCCTCCATGCAAGGTGAGTCTGTTGTCTTTGCTAGATCTATACCTATCCCGACGCGTCCACAGGCAGTAGTTCTACGCGCCCGTCTCCCTTTGGGGGCGGCATGTTCTCCTCCCTGCAAGCTGCACCTTCCGGGACTGCTGCTGCTGGGCAGCCGTCGGCTCACGCCGCTCCATTTGGGAGCTTTGTGTCCTCGTTCGCTGCCCTCCAAGGTCCCGGCGCCGCCGCTCCTCAATCCACATCGCCGTCGCCCTGGGCAGCATTGCAAGGTGCCAACCCGTTCACGCTGACTGGGCCCTCACCCTTCGCCGCCCTCCAGGGCCCCAGCCCTTCCGGAGCAGGATCGAGTAGTCCGGGTGGGCCGCCCGCCGGCCAACCCCAGCATGGTACGCCGCCCAGTATCACCGCACCCATTCACTCATCAGGGTTTCTTCAACCTTTGCGCTCAAAGGTCCGTTACAGTACGCCGACGCGTACAGGCAATCAGAGGGCGGCGCAGAGGAAAGTCATGACGATGGTGCGCGCCATACTTTTTTATGCACCATTATGACTAATACAATTGTAGATGACGGGTCGTCCTCCACAGATGCCCCGGACTCAAACATGGACGCCGACCCGAGTAACCCGCCCGACGACGAGGATACCGAGGAACAGGTGAGAGAGGAGTTCCGCCGTTCGTTCCGGAACGGCGTCATGGGCGAGCTCCTTCAGTCTCCGCCTGGCTCAGTGGCAGACACTCTCATGACCGATTTGTTTGAACTCATTATACGCAAGTCATTCCCCCGCGACATTGCGGCGCCGATGAACAGGGTTCAGGAGACAGCCCACCTCATCCGCACGAATTTGGAGATGGCAAGGGGTCACCTGGACCGAGTGTTCCCGACGGTTGCTGCTGAGTTGGACGCCGACAGGCGAGACACCATGGTTCTCTCCCAGATAGCACAGCTCTTGTCACTTCATGTCATTTCTCGGTCTAATTAACTACGATCCTGCTTGTGTAGTACTCAATTGACTTGGATATACAAAAGAATGAACATGGTTCTGTTTGTGTAGAGCCCATAATACGATCAGGGAGAGAGTAGATGTGAAGACAGGAACAAAGGAGTAGAAGCAAAGAAGTATATACAACAGAAATAACGATGTCTGGGTTCTATTAGCTTGTCATGTGAATGGGAGGTGTTATTAACTATCGGCGTGTCTTTCTCCTCTTCGAAGGCACAGCCTCCTTGGCCATGTCCGGTTTCCTCTGTTACATGTCAGTGAGTGAGAGAAGAAATCAAGGGGACTGGTACCTTATTGACGCCGCGGCTCCTTGTGACCATCGTATTGGACATGTCCTTGAGTTGGGCCCTGGTTTTGACGCCGACATTCGATGCCCCCAAGGGGTCTGTTGCCGCCTTCAATGTCTGACCACGAACTGGCGCCTTCCTGCTGCTGCGGGGGCCTCTAGGCTCTGATGCCAAGGCTACAGCACTCTTGGCCATCCTGGGACGGCAGTCATCCTTGATTGTTGCCTTTGCAGACACCGTTTGATGGTCCATGGACACTTGAGTTCCCTTTGGTGCACCTGTGGTTGCAGCTACATCAACGCCTGCCGACATCGAGCTCAACACGGCAGCAAAGGCAGGAGCATTGCTAGACCACATGCCGCTTGTGGGCTTTGACACTGTGATGCCGATGGCAGCGGCGTCTTCAATGTAGGAGCAATGAGATAATGACCAAGCTGTGAAGGGGGGAGGCATAAGAGCGACTTACCTGCTGAAAGTCGTTGCACGTGGGCGGCGTCACCTTGCCCTTGCCCTTGCGCCTGCTCCTGCTCCTGCTCCTGCTCCTGCTCCTGCTCCTGCTCCTGCTCCTGCTCCTCCGTGTCAGCTTCCTCCATGCCGGCATCCACCTGGTCTTCCACCTCATCCATCTCAGAGTCGTCCTCGTCGGCATGATCTTCATCCCGTGCCTCAACAGTTTCCGCACTCTGCTTGTCAGCATGCTCCTTGAATGCTTCGTTCGCGTCCTTGTCATCCTTGTCAACACTCTCCTCTTCATCTTCTTCCTCCCCCTCTTCCTCCCCCTCCCCCTCCTCCCCATCCTCGTCCTCCTCGTCCTCCTCTTCCTCCTCCTCATCTTCATCCTCCTCGTCCTCTCCGTCATCCTCCTGGGCGACGTTGCTGGCATCTCCTACTTATCATTCAATGTCGCCGCCGTCAGTCGTTGGCATACGAGCAAAACAGCTTTCTTACCAGACACACCAGCAGTCCCTTCATCACCCGACTCATCTGAGTGGATGACTGGCCTCACCCTCTTCTTAGGGCGCCGAGGAACCAGAGAAATATCCATGGCCTTATCCTCGGAGGAGCTAGAGGAGGCATCCTCATCGACATCGTCAGTGCGCTTGGCAGTTGTTCGACGCCGCTTCAAATGACGAGGCACACGCGCTTTTGTTGGCTTTGGCGCTTTTTGTTGTGCTCTCGCTGACACCGCTGCCGTTGACCCTTTGGACGCCGATGGAGATGATGATGATTTCTTCTGGGGAACGAATGCGCGTGCTATGTCGGCGTCCTTGTATGATTTACCAAACCGTCGCTTAGCCCTATACCTTCCAGCCGGGAGCTCATCTAGGAAATCCTGGGTGAAGCGAACAGGCCGGAGACCCTTCTTTTCTTGCTCGCGCCAGTGATCGATAAGGGTTTTCAGAGGTTCAATGTGCATGTTGCAAGGATTGACAAGGTAGACGGGAACATCACCATCGTCGGCGTCGTAGCAGAATAGGGGGAATGCGTCGCCTTCAATGTACTCGGAATTCCCCTCAGAAATTGTTGACCAAGGTACCTCGACTTTTGTGCGGTGGGAAGCATGGGCGAGAGCCATGGTCACAAACTGTCGGCATATGTTCTGGAGGTCCTTCGTGTTCCGGTAGGTTGGTGGAACCTTGGGGTAGCCGTCGGCATCCGATTGGACTGGTGTCCGCTTTGGTGCCGATGCTTTGGCTATGGCTTCCTTCGTGCCTTGACCTAATGGCGGCGTCGGAGTACGGCATTAGTTTGTCAATGGCGGCGTCATGATACATGCCCACCTGTGCCAGCGTGTCCATAGTCAACCCATCCCTTGAAGCAGGGGCAGGAGCCTGGTTCCATCCCTTCCACAGAGGTGAATGCCTTCGTCCCAGGCATACGATGTATTCTAGTGCCATCCCAGCTGTTATCCATGAGCTTCAGTCCATATCTCCCATTGAAACGGGAAGCATACCATCCAAATCGCACGCCGCCATCGGCCTTGTACTTTGCATACTCGATCTTGACAATGACACGCCAGCCTTTCCACAGGTAGTCGGCAACATTCTTCAGAGCTGGCTTGAATCGGCGATCAAAGGTCCTATGCCATGTCGGCGTCAGCCACTGCCTCGTTCAAGAGCGGGGTACTCACAAGTCTTGAATATCCGGAGGTGCACCAGTCGTGTTGGCACTATCGGCGACCTTCTTGTACTCGTCTACTGTCGCCTGGTCTAAGTCAAGGTATACCAAGCTCCGAGCCCGACTGTACAGGGACAACCAATGGGAACTACCCCTGGAAGGGAACTGAGGATAATCTTCAGGGCTCACAGTCGGCATCATCGTCTTGATTGCCGCCAGCTGTTCCTCCCACAAGGTGTCCATCTTGGCCAGGTAGTTGGGCTGTTGGCGAAGCTCCGCAATGTCGAAAGCGTTCCACTTCCTCCCTGGTTGCCAGTTGGGTTTCCACAAAATCTTGGCGACCGTTGTCTCGTTTGTAAGCCACACACTGACAGCCTTACCATCCATGAGTATTTACCAAGTAAGAAAAACATAGGCGGGTGTAAAAACTACACACCTGCTCCAGTTCGGCTGAAGAGTCCACCTCTCTAAGGCCTGCAACGTCCTTTGCAGCTCGGGCAGAGAGTTTTGCCAAAGCAGATGTGTCATCGCTGCCAGCTTTCACCTTCCATTCGGCCAGTGCAGTCTGTAAAATTTCCTCTTCCTCCTCCGTGAAGCCGTCGGCTTCGGCTGCATCCGGAGTGGAAGAGTCGTTATTTGCATCCTTTTTTGCAAGCTTAGTGAAGAAGTCGTCTTCGTTGTCGGACATTATGGTGGGACGTGGGGAGTGATGTGCTTCTCAAGTGATGGGCGAGGTTGGAGTTACCGAACGGCCGTGCAATGGTTTCCCTTTTGTGATTCAGGCACCGCGGTGACTCTTTGTTGATTCATCCCACAGGGCACGTGACCGTGATTCCTTTCGACGCGCACTGGCATCCTGATTTGGATGTGCGTATGGACAAGAGGTTCCCTATCATACGACTAAAAGAACAAATGTTTGATGCTGCTAAAAGGCACCTGGGACAACCTGGCCCAAAGTCGGCGTTGCATAAGTATCCGTAGGAACTCCCATACGAGCCTTCAAATGGACGTAAACGATGACAAGGAGTTCCTTGTCACACGGTTGAAAGAACAAATGTTTGATGTTGCTAAATAGAACACCTCATGCACATGGAACAATCTCCCCCAACGTCGGCGTCACATAAGTATCCCTAGGAGCACCCACTAGAGCCTTCAAATGGATGTGAACGGTGCCTCACAGACACAGGGTCCTCATGCCTGTATTGCATCCAAATTTGTCCTGATAGGATAACATCACTGAACGATGGCAAGGAGTTCCTTGTCACACAGCTCAAAGACCAAACACTTGATGGTGTTAAATAGAACACCTCATGCACCTGGGATAAAATATCCCAAGGTCGGCATTGCCTGAGTGTTTATCTCCAGTTCCAGATCCGTACCATCCTGAGGAACACTTACTGGAGCCTTCAAGCGGATATGAATAATGACTAGGAGTTCTTGTCACATGGATGAAATTATATAGGGTGCATTACTAATGTAAACGACCAAGAATACTCCTCGTTCAGGTCGGCACCCGCGTCAAGTCCTAGTTCAACTCTCGAATACGAATAAAAACACTTACTAGGCCATGGCCTTGCCCCTCCGAGATATGTTGGTCAAGTGATGGCGAGTGGAGTTCTCACAGTTACCCTTGAACGTGTGCAAGGCCGGCACTGATTCATTGTCGCCAATCAGTCGGTTCAGAGAGATCCGATCTCGATGCGTAAAATCATGGTTTGCAGCCGATTGAATGGAGATTTGCCTAAATGGGGATAGATCACAAGCCATGATTTAAGCTTCGTGGCAACCAGCCGACGTCGGAGGCAAAGAGGTGGCCTGATGAGATGATGAATTTGCAATCGGCACCCGTCGGCTGTCCATTATCAACTGCATGGGGTATATGCGGCAAATGTCGGCATGCTGCCAAGCGCCGGGAAGAAACGGCATTGAAGTTCCCAGGCCGTGCCTTGTTTCTTTTTTCACCCCCTTATTGCCTTGTCTTGCCTGCCAACAACCTCCGTTACCATGAGCAAACGAGGCAAAACCAACTGGGAGTTGTCAGGTAACTCGAACACGTATCTCTTCGATGTGGAACAAGAAGAAACCCGGCATGGTCGTAAGAGAACTAAGTTGGTTCCAACTCTGCAGGCATTTCAACCTGAGCAAACGCCATCAAACATGAATCCACCTACGAACAAGTCTATGTTTGAAACCCAAGTGGAGATGGAGTATCAGGATCCTGAAGTCCCCGAAGGACCTACTCCGGTGCCGAAGCGATCCTATGTAAGCAAACGAAGATTCTTTCAATTGCTTGACTTCATTCGATGCTAGCTGCAATCCGATTTTATGAAAGACTGGTTGGCAGTCGAAGAATCGTACTTGGGAACGATGGTAGAACAAGAGTGCCGGAAGTCTGATTCATGCCGAACATGCGGAGTGAAGGAAGCCAGTTGGAGATGTCTTTCTTGCTTTGGCGTGCCAGAGCTTTGCCAAGGCTGTATGCGTTCCACGCATCAGAAGCTGCTCTTCCATGCACTTGAGGTCTGGGACAAAGACCACTGGTCGGCGGCGTCCTCAACCTCTCTCGGGCTTGCCATTAATATGGGGCATGATGGGGATATATGCCCTTGTGCAAAGTTGCCCTCATGGCACACTAACAACAACGACGCCGACGATTGGATGGATGTAGACGACGCCGACAATGGTGAAGATATCCACGCCGACAACACCACAAAGAAGACCCTTGCACAAGAAATCATGGACTACCGCCGAGGGACACCGCTCCAACTGTACGCCGACGACACCACAGAGCGACGCCGACCACAAGTAGCACACATAACTGTGATAGATGTATCTGGCGTCTACGAACTACCCATCAACTGGTGTCAATGCGAGCCCATGGCCGCCCATCACAAGCAACTCCTTGACATGAGGTTATATCCCGGTTCTCAAAAGGCACCTAGGACGGCATTCACATTTGATGTTCTTAACGACTTTATGGTGGCAAACTTGGAGACGAAGGTCGCTCCCAATGCATACTGGAGGCGTCTGATGCGAGTCACAAACACTATCCATCCGGATGTAATCCCAGTCGGTGGCCGTGAACACTTCTTACGCCGCATTTCCACTAAAGTGACTCCTAGGATCGGTACCGTGAACTGACGCGGTGTGCACGCCAGTGGCTAAGGCTGACAACGCGGCAACAACATGGACATGGCTATGGTCTGCATGATGAGGAAACAGCGGTAGGATCACTGGCACCCTTCTGCATGGCATGCCCGCAGCCAGGCAAGAACCTGCCTGAGGATTGGAAGAATACTGGGTACGTCTAACAACAACACATGTTCATTCTCTTACCGTGTCACAGACCAAAGTGGATGCATTATCAGCATCTTGTGCTTGATGGGAATTTCAAGCAGCAAAACCTTCACATGCGGCGTCCAGAAAACGACGTAGGGTTTGCCGACGGTCTGGCATACACCGTCAACAAGGAGAAGTACGAGGCGCACTTGGCTAGTACAGAGAATAACTATGCGGTAAGTATTGGGTGATACCGCGCATCACGCCGACAGACTCACAGGTACCCCAGAGGTCAACTTGCAATAATCACCGAGCGGTACAATCCAAGCGGCATACCAACCACCTACAGTCGACTGGCATTGTCTCTGTAGCCTGTGCCAGGCATGGTGGGTTTGTCCCCAATGCGACCGCCGACTTGAAGGCTGGAGAGAAGTGAGTCACCATATGACCTATGCGGATCTACGCCGACTATTCCCTCAGGCAAGCAAATTCTGACGCCGTCGCCTCAAATGCGGGTTGGCAGTGGCCCCTACTTCTCGGCATCATTCTGTATTATGACATCATGTGTCAGTACATCATCAACTTCGCCAAGCGCATGAAGAAAAGCAAACATTTGTCCTGGCCAGATGGGGTGGAGCTTATCCCTGCAATCGGTCTCTTCCACGTCCATGGTCACAAGGACGAGTGCGTCGCTAAGTTCTCGCCTACGTTTATTGAAGGTACTGGCCACGTCGACGGTGAAATCCTTGAGACCCTCTGGGCGGCATTGAATGACATTGCGGCAAGCACTTTGAATATGTCGACATCCTGGCGGGTGGACGTTCTCAATGCTCACATGCGATGGTCTAACCTTCGTAAAATAATGGAAATCGGTGCGTTTGTATGCCGCCTTGATCGATATCTACTCACAAATAGTTGTACACTTATTTCAGTCAAGACGATCAGCCTACGATGGAAGAAAGCCTTGCAGCGCTATGCCGACGCTCTCGAAGACTATAACGATTTCACTGCTGTCTGCCCGGAAGACAAGGTCCAAGAGTGGAAGGTTCTCATTAAGAAAGCGTACGCCGCCCGCCACAAAAACCTGGATGCAAACAAGCTCTTTGAGGTCAAGATCGGCAAGCTTCCGAGTCGTGCGGCATGCTCAGAAAAGATCTCCAAGACACATTCGCAGCGGAAGAACGGCGTCTCGATGCAACCTGAAGGAGCTGCGAACACGAGTGCCCCGCCATTGCAGACTCACGCCGCCAAAGACCCCATGGCTGACATTATCCGCTGGATGAACCTGGGAATTGATATTGAAGAGTATCAGTGCGTATATTCAATTGCCAACGTGGATTCACATATTGAATATCCAATGATAGGCTGAGGATCCAAACGTTTATCCGTGAAATGGGGCGGCGTGTTCAGCGTGGTGACCCAGCTAAGCTGGAGTCAGATCGGCGTAACCTCCTCACAATGATCGACACATTTTTAGAGGATGCATCTACCTATATGGGTGATCTTGTGATTGGCCATGACAACTCCACTTCCATCACTCTGGATATAGCTGGTGGCAATAACACCGACGTAATATGGGACAGTGAGCTCCACGCCGACTCTGACATGGCAAAAGAGTACCAGGAGGAGCAGAGTGACGCCGCTCAAATACAACCGGAGCGGCGTACAATCGGGCTACCGTCTGCCTTTGGTCGCAACGAATGCAAGATGCAGGGCCTGGGACCCCTCATCACCATCGAGATGGAGCTTCGCAAAGGCCAGGCCCACGACGCCATCCAGAAGCTTCGAGAGTATATCGGGAAGAAGTCAGTCTTGTATCGGACTGATGTCAGGCATGCCAAGCATAGTCAACATAAAAGTGACGCCGCCCGACAACGCGTCGATGCGCAGACAGCGAAGATAAACATATACAGGTTATATTACAACCGTGCCAGGGAAGCAATGTTGTCCTTGGCGAAGAAGCCTAGCAAGGTCAAAGAGTATAAACTTCTAACGCTGCAAGATCTCACCGCAAGTACATCGCTTTTGAACCCGTCAGAACGAGGGAATCGGCACAGAGGCCTCCCTTGGTTATGGTCATTGGACATTGACAAGGCACTTGGTGATGACGGGGATAGCCAGATCCTCCAACAGTGTGAGTTACTAATATTTGACTAATGCACTGCTCACTGATGTATCTTTATGTACAGTCGCACGGTTGCATTGGCTCAGAGCTCGATGCCGACTTGATCGATGCCGCGAAGAGTTGACACTTCTTCGCCACGAAATGGTGTGGATCCCCAATTCTTGGGACGCCGAATCTCGCTTGTGGCAGCGGCGTGTCGACAAATCTGACGCCAAGTCTCCGGGTCACAAGGCTTTTGCACGCCGACGCCAAGATGACGCTGTTGCCTTACGGGATGGTGCAATATCAGACTTCTGCCTCCTACTATCAGAATATCCGCCACCACAACGGCTTAACTTGCATACATACAAAGATGATATTTACCTACAATCTTAATCGTATTTGGACTACTTTATATCCAGACCCATAGACCACGCCGCCTTCCCAGTCTTTGCCCACAAATGTACAAATTCTCGCATATAAAATGCAAGACAAATCCTTTCACCATCACAATGGGGAACACCATGCCGCAAAACATTCCCACAGAAAGGTACGACTGTCCCAGGGCAATAGTCAAGGTCTAAACCCAGTGCCGGTAAAGATAGCTGACCCCTTGTGTACCTTCCGACAGTGAGAAGAATGTCGTACCAGGGGAATGTGCCTGAACCATCCCGATGAAATGGTGTCTCCCTATTTGCCAAGGCCGTGACTGCATTGAAGACGCAAGCCCACTGTTCGGCGTACTCCCGTAAATCAGAATTACCAATGATGCTCTGCATGCATTTTACACCCTGTGCATACTGCTCAGGATGGACCAGAGAAAGTATCCCAGACATCAATGCGAATGTCTCCTTTGACGCCGACACCCATGCCCACACGCTGGCGATGCGCCGATGTGACGGCGTCGGCGCCTTAGATGGGTTCTACAATTGGTGGTAGGCCAGTCAGCATCCCCCATGCCAGAACACATAACCAAAGGCAAACCGTGTACATACATTCTGGCCAATTGCATACCATCCCGGCGAGACATTGATTCCTCCTGGCGGCGCGCGGATACACTCGGAGATATCCTTGTAAAGGTACGCCGCACTTCTCCACCCCTTTGCAGTATCAGGCATCTCGGCTGAGGCGGCGCCATCAGTATCCTTCGTAAGCAAGTGGTGAACTTGCTGCAGATCTTGAACCACCCTGTCCTGCATATCCTCATCTAGTACGTTGGGTAGGTACCACAATGGGATTCTCCCTCCGTCGTCAAGGAGCTTGAATGGGCGGCATACTTTGATTCGGCGTGTGAAGGGGTCAGCTGTGGTGCTGTCCCACGGCGGGTGTCCAAGTGGGCAACTGAGGGTAGGCTTGTGAGACTCTAGAAGGATCTCTCGCATTATGTTTGTCCCGCGCTGGCCTCCGATATGCTGAGAGTGGTATTCTATACTGCCATCCATGATAACTGCAAACAATTAGAGCATTCAACTTGAATTAAAGAAGCTCACCAGGACATGCATCGGCGTCAGCTATCACATCAACAGCCTTTAGCGCATTTCTGCCCAAGCTCCCACTAATATGAGATGGGATAGGAGGTAGGGAGCTGGAAGAGCGTTTGGCAGCCATTGCTGCCTGCATGAAGTCGGCGACTTCGCGGAAAAAGAGTGCCATGCAGTAACGGCGTGTTCGTGGTGCCGAAGTTATTATTCATGCGCAATGCAAGCATGAACAAATAAAGGTAAATAAACATCCAATTTGTCCGCGGACGCGTGACGCGCCGCGTCTGACGCGACTTCCTAATTCTCAATCGCGACAAGACACGACACGCCACGCCCAACCTCAACGCCATGGCACACCAACTCCCCGCCGTCCCTATCGTTACGATGCCGCCATGGGCGCAGGAACTCGAGATCGCATGGCCAGTCGCGTTCACGATCGAGTTCGCGAAGATGTTCCTCGGCATCTCCGAGCTGCGCCTGCAAACGGCGCTCCGCCACGAAGACGAGTTGCCGACTCAGTACTTTGAAGGAGGGATGCGCGCCGAATTCGTACGTAGTATCTCTTTATTCACTTTCTCCTCATCTCTATTGCCTGCGTATAGGACGACGTCAAAGGCGTACTTGTGCCGTTGTGGGCGGCGCTCCGCCACATCATCTCTCTACCCCCCTTCCTTGCCCTCATCGCCGACTCGCGGGGCATCGGCGCCGCGCTTGATCGGCTCCGCGCCGATCCGGCCCTGAAGACCACGTGCCTCGAATGGCAACCGGAGACGCCCGTTGCCGACATGGGTGGCGACGAGTGGTGGCACGACTGCCTTGTCCCCCCACCTCCCTCCCCTCTTCCTGCAATCGCAGAGGTTTCGGCGTCCGCCCCCCCTCGATTCCGCCGCTCCTCCCGTGTCGCCGCCGTCATCACCGCCAGAGACGCGTCGCCTCCCCCTGCGCGAGCACCGACACCGCCCCCATTCATCGCGTGTTCCGCCGTCCGCGTGTTCGCTCCCCAGGCCGCAGGTTTCTACCCGTCCACCGTGCCGAAGGCGAAAACCCTCCTCAAGTTTGACGCAGTGGTGATCACTGATTCTAAAACGGTGAGTTAAAGAGCCTACGCCGATGTATTCACTAATCGTTCATTTTCTTTGGCTAGAAATTGTTCGTGATGTCGGCCAAGCGACCTGCCACCAGCGCGCCGACTGACGAGCCTGCGCCGAAGAGATCGCGCACAGGAGCCGCGACAGGGAAGGGGAAGGGGAAGGGGAAGGGGACGGGGACTGGGAAAGGCAAGGGGAAGGGTAAAGCCAGCACGGCGAAAAAGACGAAGGGCCCACCTAAGGCACGCGTAAGTTCCTCTCCCTCTCATCCCCACCACAGTGCCGAATGAGATCAGGCCCCACGCCGACCGACGATCGCGCAAACGATCCCCGACCACCTGGCGACCCGCATGTCCTCCCCTTGTACGAGGTGCGGCCCCAGGGGCTTTGTGTGCCTTCGCGCCAACGGTAAGGCCTGCAAGCGGTGCGCCAACAGCAAGAAACCGTGCAGCCTCGACCACGAGAAGAAAGCAACAAGAAAGAAGACGCAAGGACTTCCTGAACATCAGTACAAGAAGAAGTCCACAACGTCATCGGCGGCGCAGACCTCGTCAGGCGGTACCGAAGTCCTGGGCAAGCGCACAGTCACCAAGGCAAAGTCCCGCCCATATGTACCTGTTTGTAAGTCCCCCATTTGAGTTCTCCGTTCGTGAAATCTGACCCTTGTAAAGTCACTGACGATGAGGAGGATGGCGAGGAGTGGGTGAGAGCCAGCGCCGCCGACGTGGACGAAGAGGCGAAGGCAGACGAAGAAGATCAAGACGACGCCGACGTTCAGGGTGGCGATGAGACAGTTGACGCCGCATCCATTGCTCGAGGCGACGTCGGCGCTAGGAGGCTGATGGCAGAGGCTGACATTGCCAGTCAGATTGCACTGGCCTATGTCAGTTTCATGGCATCACTGACATAGGAGAGGGTCGGCGCGCATATCCATTACGTTACCTCTACATGTACATTACAAACTGCCAGCGAGAAAATACATCTTACTGTCTTAATGTTGATTTTCATCCATTCACTACATCCCGCTTGTCATCATATGAACCTCAGCTTGATACCCAAGGCCGTGTAACATCAGAATCATCGTCTTGCATTATGAAAGTACAGCTCCACATTTTCTTCCCTTGCCAGATAGCTATCTCTGGGTCACCTTTTTCTCTCCTCACGTACCGTGTATAACACGACCACGCTTCCCTACTGCACCACAGCGTATGCCACTCTACTCCCAAGCTACTACAGTTGTATGCGCATGCACAATCGAGATTTTTGTTGCCGACCTTGCGTCTCACAGCCCCGGGTACATCGCGGGTGTAACAAATCCCGTTTTTGAGACGTCAAGAAACTGGGATCTACTCATGGACGTATGTGTCAGCGCAAACTGCTCCACCATTCACACATAGGTTACGATGTTCATGTGCAAATACATCCCATGTTACCCTACTCCTGATGAGAATCATCGCACGCCGCTGTTGTAGTCTACATGGGTACACATGTAGAAATGTACCAGTGTATTACGTGTGACTGTGGACATGGCTGCGCCGCACAGATGTCCAGTATATGACGCCGACACGTTCTCTATGGGCCCACTACTTTCCCAATATGCTTGTCTGGGAGCCCAGAACATCACGCTGCGTATAGCATTGTAATATGTGTATGTCAGCCTCATTGCACCATTCCCAGCTGCAGTGAGCTGACCCGGGTTGGTACATGAAAGTATCTGCACACATCCATCGACAGGACCCTGTCGTGCTGATACGACGCCGACATTATATTGCGATCTGGCATTGATACCCTTGTACAAATGTTGCAGATACCCTCCATCCCAGCTGATTGTGGAATCACAGCACGCCGACATCCATTCTGCGGCATGCTGATGGGGATGGGTTGAGTTGATGCGCTATCTTGATAGCATTATTTATGTGTCATCATTTGTCTCCTTCAGCCAACATATATCCATATCAATGCTTGTGTGTGGCTTTAAGGGGTTCCATACCTGGCTGCTCAGTATGTGTCGTCATTGGACACGACCTTCTCAGCTATAGTCACAACGAAGTGACGCCGCCGTCTGTTTTTTCTTTCAAATTTAAATTTCCACATCAAAGGACTATTAAAACATGTATAGCGAAGCTATTCCCATTGAAAGGGGATAAACAATTGGGGCACTTGGTCCGCTGTCACGACCTTGGTATACCAGCTTTACGCCGACCATCAGCCCTGGAATGTCGTTACAATGGATATCGTCTACATACACTCGTTGGCTGCGTCCACGGACCCGACCTCCTTAGCCATGCCTCCCTGAACGACGCCGCCATTTGGCAGAATCATCACAGGGCCAACAATTATATGTGAATGTGGGCAGTAGTATTGTTAACGCTGTTCGCAAACCCGAACATCTGCTGCGTTGTAGCATGCCGACACTGGTATCTATATTTAGCTACGATACGCCGATCCCATCAGCAGACACGAGCATTGCCATCTGGGTGCACGCCGACCATCACCGTTAGCAATAGAACATTGTAGCAATGGATGTTATAGGATACACACGTTGGCTGCGTCCGTGGACCCGACCTCCGTATTCACGCCGACATTGCCTGGACCGCTGGGCCGTCAACAAATCTTCACCAATAATGTTGTAGTGACACTCATATTTGTGCGTGGCTGCAATGCACTGATCTCATCCTCTGACCCGACCTCCTAGTGGACGCCGCTAATCATCTGATGCCGCTCATTGCACTGCTACACTCCATTTACCGATCAATGTAGCACTAGCTGGAATTGTAGTCCCAACCCCATGAGCGGGACGCCGACCCGCACGCCGACACTCCACTGGGGATTGTGCTACTTACAAGTCTTTACTAATATTATTGTAGTGAACTCTACTTATACTTATGCCGTCCGCGGACTCGACCTCCTCCATCGTCAGCGGTTGTCCACTGGCCCGACCATCTCGGCACCAACGGCCATCCTAGCTACCGACCTCCTCGGTCGGCGTCCCCTGCATACCCTGCGCGATGGTCCTCAAATATACCCCAACGATTATACCTTGTGAGCGAGCCATCACTAGGATCTCGTCCGGCTATGTGTCCGCTGTGCGAAGCCCATCTGATACCATATCATATACCCCAATGCTTACATTCAATGAACCACGAGTGATCATTGTAGCGTCCGGCGATATCTCCGCTGGTCGATGGTTCTCTGATATCATTCTATAATGTCGTCTGGCTACATATCCGCCGTTCGATGGCTCTCCAATGCCATATCATATACCCTAGTGCTTACATTTAATGCACCATGAATGATCAATATAGTGTCCGGCGATCTCTCTGCTGGTCGATGGTTATCATATATCATCGTATTGTATCGCCCGGCTACGGCTCCGCTGTGTGATGGCTCTCTAATGCCATCTTATACACCCAATGGTTACGTGTAGTCAGCCACGAGTGAACAATATATCGTCCGGTGAGCTGTCCGCTCTTCGATGGTTGTCTGATATCATTCTACATACCCCAATGCTTATGCTAATGCTTCTCTTTAGTGAGCAAGCTATCACCAGTATCTCGTCCGGCTAGCTGTCCGCTGTGCGACGGCCATCTGATACTATATCATATATCCCACTGCTTACATTTAATGACCCACGAGTGATTAGCATAGCATCCGGCGATCTCTCCGCTGGTCGATGGGCCTCTGATATCATTCTATTATGTCGTCCGGCTACATGTTCGCTGTGCGAAGGCCATCTGATACTATATCATGTATCCTACTGCTTACATTTAATGACCCACGAGTGATTAGCATAGCATCCGGCGATCTCTCCGCTGATCGATGGTCCTCTGTTATTATTCTCTTATGTCGTCCGGCTACATATCCGCTGTTCGATGGCTCTCTATTCCCATCTTATACACCCAATGGTTACATTTGCTGAGACGCGACTGATCAATGTATCGTCCGATGACATGTCCGCTGAGCGATGGCACTCCATTAGCCTCGCGTTTCACTAACCTATGCTCCTGTTACTACCCTCGGACGCATGTCCGCCCGTCGATGTCACTCACTTACACAGCCTAGCCATCCTCCTGGTGCATTCTTATAGTCGGATGTTCAGTGGCTTGGCCTCCACTACCCGTCCGGCGGGCTCTCCGCCCATCCGAAGGTAGACGACACTGGGCCGACAGTCCGCTCGAGCGACAAATATCATCTCGCTTAAATCCGCTGACACAATGACACTCGTCCCGGTCCTACTCCATGATGTGAATCTTCATGTGTAACAAGCTTCAAATTTTTGGTGCCAATGTCAGTTTACCTTTGCTCATCACATAAACTACCACTCACATCGTCCAACAAGTCGACTAGCAGCTGTGCATCGGTTCCCGTCTTTGACCTTAGTATGACCTCGTGCTTGGCGAGAGATAGCGTAGCAAATGCTCGGAGGCATCTAATATCATGCTGAGAGATCGGTCCGACAATGAGATTAAGGCGTGAGCGGCACGAGCATGCGGTATCGCTGCGAGTCTAAGCAAGATGAGTTTAGGCACAGATAACTGACGTGATGCGCATGCCTGACCTCCGCTATGACCCCTGTGAGATATTCCTTCAAAACCCCATGCCTCACCAGCCAGCCAACATCTAAGTCATCTTCCTGATAGTATAAAAGGAGGCCGCTATCAACGTAGTCTACTTTCCTATGAAAAAACAGAGGCATCAGCTCAATGCGTGAAACGTGCCGTTTAAGTAGTAACCAAACACACTTTGGACTGTTAAGGCAGCTTGACACGTGCACAAATGCGCACAATATCAGCGCCTAAAATCACTCGTCATCCTTTACGCCAGAGTAGACGCATTCCCACCGGAACTCACAGGGTATATAGGGATGTTTTCGATGTGGTACGTGCAGACTTTCCTCGTGTGATCGTCTTTAATAACTTGGTGTACTTTGCTCAAAACTTGTTGTTTGGTAGCACTACTTTCATCGGAGAAAGGAGAAGTGCTCTCGATGAGTACCGAGGATTCAGGTTCTGAAACTGAGAAAATCTCAATGGGGAGATTCATCTGCCTTTGCATAAAGTCAGAGAACGACGTGTGAGGGCTCGACAAAGCATCGGAGGTATGGGACATTTCTCGACAGAGGAAATGGGAGGAAGGAACACGGAGTATGAGAGACAAGGAGGGTCGAATGCAGAAAAGCTCTAGCTAAGCCGTAGATTATCGATAGATACGGATATCGTCCGTCAGATTTCTAATTTTACCTAGCGTTATCCGGTCGTCGGGTTGAGCCGTTCTTGTCGGAGACCCGCTTCCTAACACCTGTGTTGTTTGGAAGAAGGAATAGATTGAAGTTTTAACTATGAAAATGACATTCTAACTGTAAATCCGGTGTACCGTGAACTCCAAGTGCGCTCACCATTTGCTACGTCGGGTTCTGAAGATATGATGAGCGGAGGTAGGCTCCAAGTTGTACTTACCCTGCAAAGCAAAGATGTAAATGGACCGTGGGAATGCATGACATAATCAGCGGTTGACCGATTGCGCGTTTTTTTAAGCGCTGCGTAAAACAAACACCATGCATCGCGCACTCTTAATCGTCGAGGTCATCGAGCACGTTTTCGATTGTCTTGGAGAAGACTTCGACATACTATCCGGTGGGGCTAACTCCGGCACCCTCTCATCACTAGCCAGGACTTGTCAGATATTCAAGGAACCTGCCCTCGACGCACTTTGGGAGAACCTGGCTGGCATTGAACCCCTCATCAGATGTTTGCCAAAAGACGTATGGAGAACATCATCCATCGGAGAAGTAAGCTCTTTAACTTAGATATAAGAGTGTTGAACTAAACTCTGTCCAAGCTTGGATTGGGCCCGGGGCTCGACACAATAGTGGTACTACTGCATGCTTACCTAGCACTGCTGAAGCTGACCAAAGCGTTCGTCCGTAGAAACTCAACAGGTCTCTAACTGCTCAAGATTGGGCAGTAATTAGGAAGTACACTCCACGCGTGCGCCGCCTGTACCAAGTATCCGCCGGCAGAGTCTACTCAGGAGAGCTTCTGGAACTTAGCCTGGCACCGCATGACATGTTCCCACTCTTGCCGAACCTTCGGCATCTCCAATGGTCATTGATGCCCTCTGACGATATCCCTTTCGTGCGAATGTTCCTCCCGAGCACTCTTGAGTCTATCCAATACGGAATAAGCATCCGATTCTCTGATCTTCGCGAGGCCTCCCTCCTTTCAGCCCTTGGTTATCTCATTCCCCGTGTTCAACATGTACAGTGTTCGTTGTACCCAGGCGTCCACCGCGGTGTCGATTCTTTCTCACGTTCTGTGTGCTGCTGGAAGAACCTGAAACTTCTCTACTGTGAAAAACTGACAGATGAAGCGCTCGTTCACATCGCTGGACTATCGACTCTCCAACACCTCGGAATGACCCTGGGTCCTCAATCATCTCTTCAAGGTCTGAGACGTCTTGTTCAAAGTTCTCCCTTCGCAAACCTTTCTAGCCTCTCGCTGGCCACATGCGATCTAGACGCGGCAGTGGCCTTCGTCGATGAGATGTCATTGTCGCTCATTGATTTCCATGTCTCTGTCCTGAATAATACCTGCTCCAATCGCATTGCGGACACGTTCAAGGTCATCGCAAAGGGGGACCGCGCTTTGGAGAAAGTCAAGATTATGAACTGGGTAGGCGACGAAAACTCCATTGGACCTGAAAACTATGCGTTCATCCCTCAAAAAGTCGTCATGACCATCTTTACCTTCCGGCCATTGTTCAAGTCAAATCACTTGCGGGTGTTGGAAGTGGATGCACTGTGTTCTCTGGCCCTCGGCGATGCAGAAATCATAGAATTGGCTCGCGCGTTTCCTCTCCTCGAGAAACTATCCTTGAACCCCACATACGGTTGGAGGACTTCTTTGGCGATCACGCTCTTTGGGCTCTTTTCCGTCGCCTGCCTTTGCCCGCACTTACTTTTTCTCGGGATCGAATTTGATGGCGTGGCAACGGAAAAGACTAACTCTGCACAGAATGCGCCATTGAATGTGGACATATTTAGCAACACTGCGATCAGGAAGCTGAGCGTTGGTAATTCGACGATCGATGACCCTAGGACGGTGGCCAGCCTGCTATTTCGCGTCATGCCGAACCTAGAATGCGTTTCCGGGAGGAGCGTACTGTCGTTCAATGGAGAAGACATGGACTGGGCAGGAGAGTACTCGCGAAATAGCAGGCGTTGGGCGCGGGTTGAAAGAATCCTATCTCATCTTCGTTCAAGAGGCACCAATGCTAGGAATCACGAAGACTCGTCGGATACAGATGAAGACACGTTCGAGCAAGCATGGGAGGGATTTCAAGAGGTCAGCTGAGTAGATAGACATGGAGGTACGCTGTTGAGACCTGAGAGTACGCTTAAGTTTCGTTTGAATTCCCGAGTGATCCTTACTTCTAGTACTTACCTTACTTTTGTGCATGTACATTAATTGAACTCTTCTTCCAGCCATTCTTTCATTCATCGCGCCCACATGTTCATCTTCTTTATGTATCACAAAAGAACGGGATTTTCTTTGTTGCCTCTAGATCGTCTCAGCCGTAGGTAAGACCGGGCGGTGAGGTCCCTTCTTGGTGGTACGCCCCGCAGAAGAGCAACACGTCAAAAATCTACGGCGCGACCTTACGTAATTGCACAGCCGCGACGCGTCAGACTACCCGCGCGCTCCTCATCGATGCATCTTTTCGTCAGCCCCTCACACCGTGCCATCCCCCATGCATCGCGTCTTGACCATACATGAGCTCATACAGCACATTTTTGGCTGCTTAAATGACCACTTCAGTAACGTAACGGGGTCTGGAAACGAGCGCACCCTCTCCGCCCTGGCGAGGACCTGCCAGACGTTCAAAGAGCCTGCACTCAACGTACTTTGGGAGAAAATCGCCAGCCTCGATCCACTCATCAAGTGTTTGCCAAAAGATGCGTGGAAGGTTGAAGAAGACCCTGAAGTAAGCCTACTATCGGCCTACGTACATGTAAGCTGACTCGTACAAGGCTGGGTGGATGCAACAGAGGTTCATGCCGGTATGCAGTGTTATATACTCCGTATCCTCCTTACTGAACCTTTTTCATCGACTGTGCTCACGACTTAGATATTCGCCCGCCCCTTGACTGAGGGCGATTGGCTGATCATCAGGGAATACGCACCCCGCGTGCGTCGCTTCTGCATGACAGGACTTCATCGGTCCTATTCGGATGTTATGTTTGAGCTTAGCTTGGCATCCCGCGACATGCACCCACTATTCCCCAACTTAAAGCATCTAGAATGGATTTCAATGCCTTCTGACTTCCGGCCATATTTGCGGATGTTTCTTCCAGCTGCCCTTGAATCCCTAACCTACATCATCAGCTCGCGGGACGAGGGAAGGGCCGATATCTCGATGCTCGCAGCCATCGGGACTTTCTGCCCGGGGCTCAAGGAAGTGACTGTTGACTTCTCCGATGTTGCTGAAGGAGGAGTCGAAGCTTTCTCTCGGTCAGTTGGCTGCTGGAAGGACTTGACCATACTTCGCTGTGGGTGGATGACCGATGCCGCGCTCATTCATATCGCCTCCTCACCGACATTACGCAAGCTATCCATCACGTTACCCTCGGTGACGTCCTTCCGCGACGTCAGGTCCCAGATAGAGGGCGAAGCATTCAAGAACCTGACCACTTTAAGGGCCATCGCAGTCAACCTTGACGTCTTCACCGCATTTGCCACCCACATGGAGTTATCTCTGGTAGACGTCACGCTTTGGATCGTGGAGAATGACTTCTCTGAGAGTGCGAAGGACTCTTTCATGGCACTCGCTAGCGGCAGTCGTTCATTGCTCAGCCTTCACGTCGCCAGCTATGATGATAGTGCCATCCTCACATCGTCAGATTACTTCCATGCCGTCCACGGGCGCACCGCAACTATCTCAACGTTTGAACCACTTTTCAAGTTCCAGCAGTTGCGCGTGCTAGACTTGTCTGTTCGATGTTCACTAAAGCTCGACGATCACGACGTAATCGAGCTTGCGCATTCATTCCCCCTCCTTGAGGGCCTACTCCTCAACGCTGACTACGGGTGGGGGGTGCCCTCGTCTGTTACGTTCATTGGCCTTTCTTCTGTGGTCAATATCTGCCCAAAGCTGAATAAACTAGCGATTGAATTTGATGCAACGGCTGCGTCACTAGACCTCAATCAACCTACATCAAACGCGACCTCACCGAACGCGACCATAAGGACTCTCCTCATCGGAAACTCGCAGATCGACGATCCAATAGTCGCAGCAAGAGCGTTGTTTACCATCTTCCCAAATCTCAATAGAATAGAGGGGTGGAGCTCCCGACGTCTACGAAGCGATGATCATAACTGGATGAGGGACCGGAGGCGATTCACGAGGCGTTGGGACAGCGCTCAGCTCATCATCCATCGACTTCGCTCGAGAAACCCAACCAATATACATGAAGACGAGAGTTTCGATGACTTAGTGCCATCGGATAGCACAGACGTCAGCGAAGACGATGACACCGACGACATGGACGATCCCGGAGATGACTTCAGTGAGGAGGACCAGCTGGGATTGGTATTTGATGACGATGATGGATTTGAAGACGAAGCAAGTGATCAAGAATTCGAGGATGAAAACGTAGAGGAGGACGCATTCGGGGACGAGGACGCTTGAAGGCGAGGGGAACTAAACCGTGATCGTGGGGGAAACTTTCAGCGGAACTTAGAGCTCACCTAGTTCTTCTCTGCGACTTCCTTTGCTACCCTTCCAGGTGACATGTCTGTTTTCTGCCATGCACCGAGGTATCTACCGCTTTTGACACAATCTTGTCACGTAATGCACCGAGTTGTACTCCGCTTCGTGGGAAGTTGGGCATCATTTGTCATTACGTCAGCACATTCGCCAAGCTAGGAGGACGCGCCCGTAACGCGTTTCTCGTCATGATGTGTTCTCGTTTGTCTTCGAACCAACCACCAGTCCTCTTCAAAGGTTTGGTAAACATCGCATTCACCAATCGTTATGACACCAATGTTTGCTTACTCTTACTATTACTGAGCAGATCCAAATGCGTTTCCCAGATGATGCATGATGTAGACACCTCGCTATGTCATTCAAGCCTTGATTCAAGCTGTGGCCTTACCTTTAAAAGCGACAGTCCTAAGTCGCGTTCATCACCTCTCTCTAGCTCCCAAAACAACTCTAGCAGCTTGATACGGATCCGTCTTAGCTCTCAACATGATATCCAAAGAAATCAACGCGTCTGAGATCGCCACCCAATGGATCACCAGCTTCAACAAGGCCGCAACAGATGGCGATGTCGACGCATTTGTCAAGCACTTTCTCCCCGACGGGTGGCTTCGCGGTATGAGTACCTTACCATTGGCTTGCATGCCCTTCTTACAACCTCCAAACTATACAGACCTCCTTTGCTTTACCTGGGACTTCCGCTCCGTCGACGGACATGACAACCTCGCCTCCTTCTTCTCGGAGTCCCTCGGCGCCGGCACGCGTTTCTCTACTGTCGGCATGCACGACATCGTGCTCGACACGAGTAGCACCCTCAGCGGCCCCTCCACATTCCCCGTTCCAGGGACGGAGATCGTCGGGGTCCAGGGCGCGTTCCATTTCGCACTGCGCGAGCCCGCGGCACGAGGGCGTGGGTTCTTCAGACTGATGCCTTCGCAGGAGGGATACAAGGCGCTCGTGGTGTACACGGCGATGCACGAACTTGTGGGCCACGAGGAGCCGACAGAAAGGCCGAGGGGGATTCCGCTGGATGCGACGAAGATGACTACGTGGGAGGAGGACAGGGAGAAGGAGGTTGAGGCTATTGAGAGTGATCCTACGGTACTCATTGGTGAGTGCTTCGACGTCATTCTGCTGCACACTTCTAACGTTGTTTCGTCTAGTTGGCGGTGGTCAGTGTGGGTTGATGGCTGCTGCGCGGTTCCGTCGCATGGGTATTCGCGCTTTGGTTATTGAGAAGACGCCTCGCGTCGGTGATGTCTGGCGTAACCGGTAAGCTGTATCTCTGGTCGTGCTCATTTAGACAGCATCATTGACATGGGACTTCAAGATACCCGACTCTCACTCTGCATTTCCCCGCCCATATGAGCTCCTGTACGTGAACACTCTTCTGCTTCATCTCATTTTACTCATAACGCATATCACTACTCACTAGTCCTTTACCAACCCTACCCCCAAACCTATCCGCAGTACATCGGCCGTACGAGGCTTGCAGACTTCATGGAATCCTATGCGATCCAGCAAGAGCTTACCATCTGGACGTCCTCCACCCTCCAATCCAATCCCGCGCCCGTATTCAACGAGACGACGAAGCGCTGGACCGTCGTTGTAAATCGCGTGGGCAATGTGGTGACGCTCAACCCCAAACACCTCGTCATCGCAACGGGAATCGGCGCTCCGCACGTCCCGCAAATACCTGGGCAGGACAAGTTCAGGGGTGACGTGTACCATTCGGACTTGCACACTGGCGCTGCGCAGTATAAGGGCAAGAAGGCCGTTGTTATTGGCGCTGTGCGTGGTTCTCCTTCTTTTCGTAGACGTTGCCGCTCACCGTGATATATTCGTCTCAATCATGTTCCCTACAGGGAAACGCTTCTGCGGACATTTGCCAAGACCTCGTCTCCAAAGGTGCGGCGTCGACAACGCTCGTTCAGCGCAGTGCAACATGCGTCACGTCCCTCAAATTGGTGGAGACACGTTTTAGTGCCGTATACTCGGAGGACCGCGACCTCGACGACGCGGACCTGATGAATGATTCAATGCCGCCGCGACTGATCCTCCAGATCTCGGAACGAACCCTTGAGAAGTCCAAAAAGGACGATGCAGCACTGCACAAGGCGCTCGAGGAGAAAGGGATGAAGCTTACATCAGAGTACAACGGCGTCAAAGCGGGCGGGCTTGGCTTCGCGTATGAGCAGTTGGCGGGGGAGAAGTTGACGGGGAGCACGAGTGCGTTTAAATCTCGCTTCCACGACGGCGGTTAACGTGTCGCTTCCTAGTCCTCGACACGGGCATTGGCCAGCTCATCGCCAACGGGCATGTGAAGGTGAAGCAGGGCGTTCAACCCTCGCACTTTGAGGAGAACGCCATCGTGTTTAACGATGGCTCCAAGATTGAAGCGGACGTCGTCGTCCTTGCGTACGTCCAATCCTACAGTTTGGTCCCGAGCGTCCTCCCTCTCACCTACTCATTAATGTTGTTCAGTACCGGCTACTACCCCGCAATCGCAGGATTACAAGCGCTTTTAGGCCCCGAAATTGCTACCAAAGTCGGCCCCGTTTGGGGCCTCGACAGCGTCGGCGAGCTGCGCCGCACATGGCGTCCCTCGGGGCAGCAGGGCCTGTGGATCTTCCTAGGCGGGTTCCAGCAGGCGAGGTATCACAGCCGCCATGTCGGGCTGCAGATTCTTGCGGAGGAGCTGGGGATAAAGGCCGTTACAGAGGCTATTCCTAGTGAGTACTTTGCGAAGCGCGTGGCGTGCGGTCGTGCGGATGGGTTATGCTGATTGTTTTGTGAATTTAGCTGGCTGAGTCGACTGCGAGATTGATAGTCGATGGGTCGCAGCCAAGCATGCGGAAATGATGCAACGAGGTGAACATTGATAGGGTAAGGCATTGTAGATATTTGCGCTGTAGAGCATGCGTATAGTTTCGTCACTCCAGTGGCAATTGTTGGTGTGTTTAGGCCTAGGCTTAGATGAAATAGATGACGGTTAGCGGCATCCTGACCCTTGAGCTTGAATACTTGAGTCGCTGCTCACTCGAGTACAATAACCGCACTTGTCTGTCTCCTTGTCGCCACCAGTAGTATCTGTCCTAGACTGCTTGGAATTGAATTCGACTTACGAAGTGGATCCCACATCATACGCGTCGGCGTACCATCCTAAAGACGCACTCTGCTGTCAACTCATCGTGTACGAATAAGAAGAAAAGTATGATTCGTGGCACCATTTGCTTGAAATGGATGACAGTTGATCAGTATCGACTCAATATTTTTTGCCATGCTCCCAGTCATACGAGGCTATAAGTCGATCCTTCAACTACAGACATCACACTCGCCATAATCCAAATAATCCGTGCATAATCCCAAATGATAACCGTACAACATTGTAACCCTATTGTACAGAAAAGCTTTTACAATGCGTTACGCCCCCATTTACAACCTTAAAACCCAAGCCCAAAACGTCCTTCTACCTCCAACAGCTTAGTTGCCAGTGTAGGTAACAGTGACACTCGAATCCGTAATCGTAACCGACGAAATCGGCTGGTTGCTGCTGTTCACAATATCAATCTCGCCCGCGCCGCCGGGCCCCTGGCTGCCCGACGCCGTCGTCGCCGTTGCGTCCGTGAACGTGACGGTGCCCCAGTCCGCGAGCTGCACGAGCGAGCCGCCGGACTCGAAGTCCTCGACGATCCACTCCGCGTCCTGCTCGCACAGCGCGCTGCTCGACGTCAGCTGCTGCTGCACCTGCTGCCCGTTGCTCAGGTTCTCGATCACCGCGATGCCCGACGTGGTGCTGTATGCGGTCACGGTCAGCTTGATCTGGTCGCCGGCGTTGACGCTGATGCCCGAGAAGTCGTAGGCGTAGTCGGGGTACCACTCGTACCAGGCTGTAAAGGAAAGCGCGATCGGAGGTTAGATTGGTGTGAGTTGCTAGAAAAAAGGGGAGGAGGTGCGCACCATCGTAGGAGACCTGGCCGTTGTTGATGTTGAAGTCGATACCGGTCTGGAGAATGGCGTTTCCGCACGAGTCACCGTCGATGCCGACCCAAGCAGAGGCAGAGCCCGAGCCGGAGGGAGTGGGGACAGTGAAGGTACCAGTCACGGCGGTGAAGGTTCCCTGTTCACGATCGCATAGAAAAGTGCCTAGTCAGCACACAGTTTTCCCAGCGGCCAGCCGGCAGAATATAACTTACAGCACCCTCGGAGAAGACGGCACCGGCCCAGTTGGATGAGTACTGGACGTGGGAGATCTCGACGTCCTCAGCGCCCTCGATGCGCATGAGAGGCTTGCCCTGGCGGCGAGCGACGCGGGAAGCGTGGCGCTCAGACGAGGTGGGGACGGCGAGAGCCGCAGCGGCGAGGAGGAGGTTGGTGAGGAGGGCGACCTTGAACATGGCTGAAGAGAGCAGAGGAGAAGGGCAGGTAGGTGCTGCTGAGGATGTGAAGACCGAGATGAGTCTGTCCTTTCGCAGCAGTTCTGGTGAGCTTTTATACGCTGACAGCCTTCCAGTGCACGATGCGGTTGCGTTACTTGGCAGCGCCATCAGGCAGTGAAATGTGCTTCCATGTCATTCATAGAAGCTGTTGCACCAGGCAGCACCTGCTCGAAGGCGAAGGGCCACGCTGGCACTGAGGATGACGAGACGAAGGTTATGTTGACGCGCAACACCTGATAAGAAACGCGCGTTGCACCTGACGTCCGCCCACGCGTTGCAACTACCGTGTTGTCGCACGATGGTCTCTACTGCCAAACTGTATTGATTGACGATACAAAGAGCATGGATGTTGTGATCCTGTGAGACGTAACAACGTTGAAGAATGGAGGAAGGGAGCAATGCTAAACAACAAATATCAGCACGAGGGAATATCATGCGCACCTTGGAAGCCAGCGAAACCGAAGAATATGCGGGTCCATTGGTCACCTTCCCACTGCTCGCCGCAAGCTTCACCCTTGCCCCAAAAGTCAGTCTCATTGCGCGATCGAAGCGTTGAAGACTGGGCCACAAGGTCGATGACGGCGAAGATACAAGATGCAGTATGGCGCTCGCCAAAGAAATGAAGATAAGCAGACGAGCGAACGCGAAGAACTACAGAACCGAGGAAGATTATGAGGTGCTGTACAGGACGATAGTATCTGCCCACGCGTTCAGGTACGAGGCACGACCGAGAGCACAATGGCGGGGAAGTTCTGGGGAAGCCGCGGTAACGTTGACGAGCTATGCCTAAATTGGTTATGATTTACATCCGCACCGGGGGTGACGCCTGGGCCAGCCCGTTCGCCTTGTCCAATAGGTCACTTGAAAACGAGTGAGAATACTCTGTTTCTGCATAAGCCTCGTCGCTGCGATCTTCAAAGCTCACAGTGAGCCCAAGTAGACCCAAGTGGACGACGCGACTTGGGTAGTCGGGACACTGGCGTTTATCATCCGTCAATACAGTCCCCAATGTTCCCAAAGTTGACAATGCCGCAAGTCTCAGGGGAAGTGGTCGTGCGGTCAGGTACGCACCTGTATGCCAGCTCACAGAACGAGATTGCAGGGATGAATTGCGTCGAAGTCCTGCATGAGTGCGTTATGGGGGCCTAAGAGCATATCCTGCGGCTTCTCCAACCGCGATGCACAACTGAACGAGGTCCAATGAGTCCTCGAGACCATATTTCTCTGTAACATGAAGACATGCACGACATACAATGAACCTTGGCAAACACACGCGAAGGAACTTGGCAGTAGATCCGAGAGGAACCTTCAAGGATCCCCAGCCAGATCTGCTCAAGGCGCTCGGCCTGTACTCGGCACTGTTGACTCGAGAGCGCGACGAGAGGAGGCCAAGCATGTCACAGAGATAAGGAGGTCATGCCGGACGACGACGACGAGGCGAACGAATGGACAATCTGTGCCTGCGTCTCGTGCAAGGGGTACAATACAAAGTATTGTTCCTGGAGACCACGCTGTCGCTATGTTGTGTTTGTCGCTGTTTTCTCGTCGGCGCTTTCGGAGTCCGGAACACCACAAATTCGGCCGGCGCAAGCAGGTCTCCTGCGCACCAGTCATCACCGAGATCCTTGGGCACATATTTACATGCGTGAGCGAAGGCTTCCAGACTAGAAGGCGCTAGGAACGGCGGCACCCTGCCTGCACTAGCGAGAACTTGCTGGGCATTCAACGAACCTGCCCTGGACGCGCTTTGGGAAAACATCGCTAGTTTTGACGCGTCGTCGCGCGCTTACCGGCTCTCCAAGACCCATATGTTGGGTTGACCACGGACAACTCATTCGCCGACATTAGGTCTCGACGCAGTGACCGCTACCCCGTTCCCCAGTCTGACGCATGTAAAAGTCTGCGCAGAGGTGATCATTGCTCGCCTTCGCCCGGGGCTTCCCGTGAACGTGGATGATGAAGGATCTTCGGAGGACGAGGAGATGGACATGGATGTGGACCTAGTAGCGACGATGAAGATGAATCGGGTGGCTCAGAGGATGACGACATGCAAGAGTCTGAAGACAAGGACGAGTCCAACGCATCGCAAGGCGAGGACGACATGATGGGGTCTGATGATGAAGAGTTGAACTCGGAAGAGGGTCAGTTTATGCTTGATCTAATATTCGTTACCAGAAGGCACATCGACTCGCCCGAACCTCGAACGCACACCTCGTTTTTTCCCCCCGTAATGCTCTATCGACTTCATGTCACCTGTGGAGCCTCTCAAGTGCTGCTTTGCTGTGCTTTTCCACATGGGACTTCTTCAGTAGCAATGTATAATTGTGCAGCGAGTGAAATAGCACTGTTCACTGAAAATGAGTATGTACAAAAACTGCCTCAACTTATTGGCACACTCCCCTACGCCCCCTCTCGTCTCCGGGGCGACGCGCGCAGGATGTCGTCCACACTGCAAGTTCCCAAGGTCAGCAACCATAGTGCACGCCGTTTACAGACGTCAGTCAACGCACCGAATAATCATCTCAGCAGCCTCAGTCGCGCTGAGCACCACCTGTCGCTTGAGCTTGTAGCTCTCCGTAATCCCGAGCTCACGCATGCTCGCCACCGTCGCCCCATTCATGTCTATTCACCGTCATCCATCAGGCTCGTCAGCCAAACCCAAACCCAAAGCCCAAAGAAAGAACACGCACCAAGGCCAGCGTCCTTCTTCCCCTCATAATGCGCCGCCCTCAGCCTCGCGACAAGCTCACTCGAATCGTACCCCGCATTATCCGCCAAGATCGTCGGAATCTGCCTCAGCGCGCGCGCGAACGCCTCGACCGCGATCGCCTGCTTTCCGTACACCGTGCGGGCGGCGGCGTCAGCCGCCACGGACATGCCCATCTCTGCGCAGCCACCTCCCAGGACCACGCGCGTCTCGCGAACGGTCTGAGAGAGGACCGAGAGCGCGTCGTGCAGCGAGCGCTCCGCCTCGTCGACCATCTGGTTCGTCGAGCCGCGGAGGACGACCGTGCAGGCTTCGCCGGCGGCGACGCCCGAGAACTTGATGAGCTATCGGAGGGACCGACGTCAGCACTCGCTCATCGCTACGCGAAGAAACACTGAAAGGAAAGAAGAGGGGAAGGAGGGGTGGTCAGGGTACTTACGCGATCCTCGCCAATCATCACCTCCTCGATCAGTTCGCACTTGCCAAGTTTAACGAGATCGGGGCGCTCGAACGTGCTCGCGATCTCGCCGCCAGTGACGAGCGAGAGGCGTTCGACGCCCTCGAAGTCCGCATGCTCGATGACCATGATGCCCTTCTCGCAGAGGAGCGACTCGGGGTAGTTGTAGATGAGCTGCCGGTTGATGAACACGTTGATGCCGTGCTGCGCGATTGCGTCCACTTTGGCTTTCATTTTTTCCTGGGTGGTATTAAAGAGCGCGGGTGAGCGGTTTCAAGAGGTAAGAGGAGGAAGACAGGAGTGTGGGGAGAGAATGAAGGTGGAGATTGAAGGGACATGCAAGGGTGGGTGGTTACGGATAAACTTACCTTCTCTGCCCGCTCCAGCTCTGCTAGCTTGCCCGTCCCATCCACCTTCATCCGCGCACCAAACACTTTGATTTTGTCCGTGTCCATGGCTATATATCCCGTCAGCACCGCTGGGCATGGGAAGAGCCTTCAGAACGCTGCTCACATGTGTTGGCAATGAGAATGTTCGCGTTCTCGATCCGTTTTGGCGAGTTGACCGCGATCGTTTTGTCGAGAATGAAACCTGGAGAACATCAGCCAAAAAGTAGAGGGATATGAAGTGGGGGGCGAGGAGGGATGTAAGGGCTTACCCTCGTCGAGATATGAGTCTGTCAGCTTCCCGCCGACCTTTTTAATGATCTGGATGTGTTCGAGGTCTGTTGAGCCCTGAAGACGGCGTCAGTATTAAACTGTTCAAGAGCACGACACGGCCTAATGTCAACCTTCAGCCGGAGGACAGCATCGACAGCGAGGTTGGCGAAATAGTCCTTGTCTTGCGAGAGGACCTTCGATGAGAGCGTCGTACGCGCGATATTGAATAGATCTTGCCGGAACTGAGATGCATCCGAGCTGAAATCCATACAAAGTCAGAGTCAGAAACACGAAGAGGTGCAACACTCCAGCAGTAGTGGATGGACTCGACACGCACGAATGGTCCACCGCAGCTGCCTCCAACGACTCAAGCGCCGCCTTGCTCGCGATCCTATACCCATTCACAATCGTCTGCGGATGGATCTTCATCCCGATCAGCTTCTCCGCCTCCCTCAGCAGCTCCGCCGCCAGCACACAGACGCTCGTCGTGCCGTCGCCGACCTCGTCGTCCTGCACTTTGGAGATGTTGACGAGGATCTTGGCAGCCGCGTTGTCGAGCTGGATCGACTTGAGGATCGTCGCCCCGTCGTTGGTCACGTTGATCTCGCCAGTTGAGCCGGATTGGAGGATTTTGTTCATCCCTTTTGGACCGAGCGTGGATTTGACGAGGTCGCCAACGGCGAGCGCGCCAACAAAGGATGAGAGGCGCGCGTTCTCGGCCTTTTCTTCTGTTGCCTGTGCGAGCGTGCTTAGATTGCGCTATGCTTAGAGAGAAAGTGAGTAGTACCTGGTCGCCAAAAATTTGCATCGACATGATGGGCGAGTTAGCTGGGGGTGGTGTTGGGGAGATGAGGCGAATTGTACAAAGGCGCGATGAGATGCACGCGCGTATCGAAATTTTCTACATCAGGCAACTCTCCTAAAACATATCCACGCCAGCTTGAAGTTTATTCAAAACACTTTTCTTGTCCACTACGCATATGGCTACAAATGTCTACCCAACAGCAAGCGTCCTCTCCAGCATCTTGTTCACCGCGACAGGCCGCCCAGTCGGCGGATGCGCCATATCGCTCAGCCGGCTCTCCCGCATGCGCATCAGCACCTGCATCAGCATTCCCGCCGTAACAACTCCCTCCCTCACAATCGAGCTCACCCCGCCGCCGCCACCCATTCCCACACCGACGCCCGTCCCAGAAACATCGGGCGTCCCAGCAGGCGTACCCAACCGACTCCCCGCTCGACTATCACTTCCCGAGACACCGCGCCGCCCGCCTCCGCTTCCAAAGGGCGAGCCATGGGACTGAGCCTGCTGTGCTGCCTGGGAAGCCATGTAGAACGCGGCAGACCCGCTCATGTTCATGCCCATGCTCACGTTCATACCTATTCCTCCAGCGCCGCCTATGCCCATGTTCATGCCACCGGGGGCCATACCCGCGCTGGCGACGGGGACCGAAGCGGAGACGGCGGGAACGGCGACGGCGTCGTCGCGATAGCGCTCCATGCGCTTGTACAGCACCAGCATCTCCTGCGCTATAGTCGTGATGAGCGGCATGCTCACGTTTAGATTGGCAAAGAACTCGATTGGGGACGGTGATTCCTGGTTCTCGTCGGACTGAGAGAGGGTGTGCACTGATGTTTGTCTCGCCTGCCGGGACGAGCGACGCGGTGTAGAATCTCCATGTGTTGCATCCTGGGGCTGAGAAGCCTGAGCTTCGATGCGCTCACGAGTAGGTCCATCAAGAACGAGTGCGAGATATAAGGCAGCGATGGCGAGCAGATGCGGCGGGTAGAGCAGCGGGAGGTCCGACCGATAAGTATCGTTGATGACCGACCTATCCGCCTTATGAGTATCAAGTGTATCAACAGAAAACACATCAACATACCAAGCAAGTTGCAATGCCCCCTCCCCCAGCTCCAGCTGCCAGTCCCCGGGGCCCGCGCCCCAGAACCTGGGCCCGTCCACGATTCCCACACCTAGTTCGCCCAACTCACCCGCCTCCGTCCCGACGGCCTCGGGCGGCGCCTTGCGGCACAGCGCTGCGAGGGTACGGTACGGGTGGAACACAGTCAGGTCGCATTCGAGGTCCCCAACTAGGTAGAACTCCATCTCTGCGAGCTTTGAGTTGTCCGACGCGAAGTACTTGAGACCGTACGGCGGCTCTGTATCATCATTAGCATCAATGTCCACGGCATGAGTGCTGGATTGCATGAGAAGGGAGAGAACAAAAGAGAAACCAGCGACATCGAAGCGAAGGAAGAAAAGATGGGAAGAGAAAAGACGTACGAGAAAACAACATTCTAGCTTCCGAAACCACATTCTTGATATGCACGGGCGACTCCTCGGCCTTGGCAGCGACGTAGCAGCACGCAGCGATGACAGTAAACGGGTCGGTCTCGCACAGCGCGTTCTTGAGGTAGAACCGCTTGAAGAACACTGTCGCAGTCGCAATGACACGCTGTCGCAGGTTGAGACGCTTGCCGAGCTTCATGATCACTGCTCCTATCATATAAGCCTATCTCCCTCTTGTACATAGTGAGAGGTAACGCACCGTTGGCAAAGAAAACATTGAAAAAGTCGATGTACGTCGCATCGTCGACGTATGCGAGGTCCTCGGCGCGCGCCTGTCGGAGGGTATCGCGGTCGACGATCCACCGTTTGCTGTACTCCGGCAGTCATGGGTCGTCCATCGTTGAGTAAGAGAAAGACAGATATGTGTTTGAGGTGTCATATGCGCATGCAAAGAAGAGCGATATGAGTTGGATTGAAGACCGAGAACGGAGACGAGACGAATGAGTTCCCTCCAAAACGCGGCGCCAACAGGGAGGTCCCCTCACTAGTGCGAGCTTGCCCAGAAGTCTGTTGCCATGACCTAAGGGGAGATATGAATGGTAATGAAGGAGATGCGATGGTAAAGGATTGAGTGAGTGAGCTCGATGTTGAGCAAGGCGTTGACGGGTGGAAGTGGGAGGACAGTGAAGCCAGGAGCGCCGTGGATGTTCCCGCGCTTGTTTGCTCCCACATCCATCTAGAATTTCGCTTCGTTCGCCATCGCAGTGTTGCATAGGTTCACGCTCACTGCAACCAACTTCTTGTCTGAAACCCTATTAGGACGAAAGCTCAGCCTGACCATCGTGTCAGACTCACAGATGCAGCTATTCATGACTCGAGTGTCATGAACAAACGGCATCAGACCGCAGAACGCCGAGAACGTTCTTGACGCCCTCATGCAGGGCTGCGCCAGGTACGAACGTTCTCGTGGACGCAACTTGGCAGAGTCGCCTTCGAACTGAAGGTGAATCCGACGGGGCTTGAATACAAACAAGATGCATAGCCCCGTCCCGCCGCGCGATGAGCGTAGCTTCATGCGGACCTTAAGTCATGGTGAGTCCGCTCTCTTTCGAGAACGTAATGTGAAAGGGCCCATGGACGACCCTATAAATTCTAGAGCACAATAATACGATGTGCCATCTAGCTCACTGGAACGCGTCGCTCGCAGACATAACCTCTACCTACTCTAGGTGTACATAGAACCTCGAGTCCTATCCCCGAGCCATGTTTCCCAAGGTTGTTGCTCTCAGCTTAGAGTAAGTCGCATCCACTTCAGCGATGAAATCAACCTAACAGTCCGTTGAAATAGCTGGACGTTCTGGCAGGGAGAGTTCGACAGCAACAAATTCGGCAAAGGCCCCGGGGCCGTGTGCCCAGCGGAGAACAACCTCGAGCTCGAGAGCGAGTTCAAGATCAGGGATAAAAGGTAAGCGCTCAGTTTAGCTACAATGTTCTTGCGATGAGTCAGTCTTGGCTCATATCATGCATCGTGGTGCTGCAGCGACCACTCTCGGACCATCACGATGTACAGCGACGTCCCGATGATCATCAACGACCTCATGCGGAACAACGCGTTCCTCGCGATTGTTTCTCGAAGCAAGAGCAAGGCCTTGTGAGCGTTCCCACTTTAACTTTATTTCCTAGTTAAACACTCATGGCGATGACTATTGATTTTTGTAGATGCGACAGAGCTCTACATCTATTCAAGGCGGTGGACCCTACACCGTGGAGCAAGAAGCTTAATCAGAAGAGGCCCATAGCTGATCTCGTCGCATACAATCATATTTACGACGGTAAGTGTTGTAATATTGCAGTGGCGCCAGGGGTGCTGACTAGTTATGGCCTTCTAGAGGAGAAGACCGTGCATTTCCACAAGATATGGGCCAACACAGGGATCGAGTACTCCGACATGGTGCGTCGCTGAACGCAGCACTTTGCGCATACAAAACTCATCTTCACGACATCCCCGTAGATCTTGTACGACGCTGTTGCCGCAAACAATGTAGTACGAGTAGTCCAAGGTACGTTCTACCCTACTCACACACCCTACCCCTATATTTTCTTACACGCCCGGATATCGCTCGCCGACCCAGGCGTCACCTTCCAGATTTCCCGCAACTTCACCGGCCTAACATGGGAGAACTACCAAGAAGGCCTCGCGCTCTGGCGCCGCTCCAAACAGATCCACAGCCCATACCTCGGGCAGAATCTGAGCAGCTACCCGAAGCGCATGTTCATCGGCTACGCGGGCATGGACGAGGAGACGGTCAACCGCATGACGCGCGGGAAGAATCGGGTAGACCTGAAAGAGTCTGCACGGTGGGGGTATGCGTCGTATGTCACGGACAATCCGGCGCTGTGAGTCCCCTTCTATTCACCTGCTTTCCGGACGGACTGCCTGACAGGACGCGATTGCTATCTCGACAGTGCGAAGTATTTTAGCGAGTGGATCAAGAAAGACGCGTTTGGCGACGTCAAAACGTACTGTGATCCCACGTCAGAATACACGGCCAAATTTCTAAAATGTCTGGAATATTTTTGAGAAATGCAATCGTGCTAAATTTAGGTTTGGAAACCCGTCCGGACATAAGCTCTCATCCAAAAAATCCCTGAAGTGTCAAAGTTGCGGGATCCCTCTTGATTCAAGGATCGGTGAATTTGGACGTTATCGGGGACCCACGTCAGAATGCACGGCTTGTAATGCTTCCGGTGGCGGTGGTTCACGCCAAATTGGGAAGGAAGGCGGCTTAGGCGAGCCCCAAAAAGGGAATACGGGTTCATTAATCGCGTGTCGCTAACGGCGTTACGGTGGCTATTGGGCGTGATAACATCCCGAGAGCGAGTTCTTCAGCTATTTGAAGTTATAGAGAGTTCCTGCCCTTATGATATGCCCAATTGTATCTTAAAGTCAGCTCAAGAGGCGTACTTAGCACCCTTGGCCTATTCAAGCTGTATAGCACAACTGTATGAGCGCGTAAATTTTGATAAAGCTCTAAAATTTTTCAAAGTAGCCCATTTTTCACCTTCTAGTACTCGTAGCTCGTCATCCAGATGTTACCCGGCCCTACAAACGTTATGGCACATTGAATATGATCCAAACATAATTGTCATGAATTTACTTTGAGAGTTTTGCACGGGAAACGGGCTAGAAAGCGAAGTGTGCATCCTGACGTGGGTGTGTATTCTGACGTGGGATCACAGTACGCCTGCGAGATATGGGTGCGCGATCGGGACCTCTTCCTCGCCACAAACAAGGTACGGTAATTAGATAATTGCAAAACTACATACGCTAAGCCACCCCCACTCAGGTCTGGGTCCCAGAGCGCTCAAGCCTCATGACAAACGTCAAATCCGGCAACCCGCACAAAATCGCGTGGTCCCAAGAAAACCGCGACAAGCAGATCGCGGAGTGGGGCGTGCAAACGCCGTACATCCTCTTCTCGCGGCACTTCAAGATGGGCGGCATGCCCGCGCTGTGCGCTGGTCCGCGGTGGAACGAGATGGTCGTGTACACGCAGATACAGGACGCGCTGCTCCTCGCGATTCCGATGAGCGAGGACGAGCTCGGGCGGAGGATTGGCAAGGGGAGCTTTGAGAGGTACGATCAAAAGCTCAAGGAGTGGAAGATCAAGGTGCCGAAGGATACAGTGGATGATTATAAGGAACACGGGGAAGGGTGGATTGTGGATTAGTCGTAATGGGCATTGGTACATGCACAATATAAACGGTATATAGCGTTCACTAGTTCTGTCGCTATGTCTCGCTCCGTTTTCTCTCTGTCATGCGTCAATTCCCTCGCGATACTGCTTCCAAGTAAGTCCTCCTTGATAAGTGACCACCACTTTCACTCCTAAAGGATCGTGTAAACACCATGTAGTGCCGAGGTCAAGAATAAATCCCGTACCCAGTTTTGATATTTCGCTATCAGGTTCTCTGTTGAAGTAAACCTTAAGGAACAATAGTCAATCAAGAGTGTCTCACTGAATGAGCGAAAGTCCAACCATGTCCTTGTAGGCGAACTTAGTCCAGCCATGAATACGCTCAAAATGGTTGGTTTTAGATTCTGGAAACACCATGATTCGCTCAGTTTCGACTCACGAGACTCAAGCGCGTGCGACACTGACCGTTAGATACCTCGTCATATTTTACGAGAGAGATGATAGGCTTCTCCTGTTGCGTTTTGGGATCGGTTGTGTGATAATAGTACAAGATACGGTCACAACTACGATTCGCGTATCAGAGATAGGCAACGTTGTTTTGAAGAAGAAAGGGTCCCTACAGTTTCTTGTTGTCGTTTCGGGAGACTATCGCAAGCTCCGCGCCGTTCTTCAGAACATCGCTGATGATCTTGGATGTGTCTTCGTACAGCTCCGTGGTGTTTTGGTGGTTACTGGAAAAACCATCAGTGATTGGCGAGCGGATGATTGACAGGCGATGCATACCTTTTATCACGAAGAAGTCTCCAATCGATGCGTTCGACATTGTCCGCGATTACGTTCGATGCGCCGGTGCCTTTCCCCCAAACGCTGTCACGAAGGCTCGGTGATGTGGCGAAAAGGACGTCACTGCAGACCGGAATAAGATGGAGAATGTGAGATAGGGTATTTGAGGTCTGTGTACCTAGTTTCGAATGCTACAAGCTTTGGGAAAGGCATGCTTAGTAGCTAATAACCGGTTGAGTAGAGCGAGTAGCGGAGGTCACGGCGCGTGTCTGTCTGAAGAGGTGTAAGCGAGATGCAGAATAAGTATCCACGAGGCATCTCGCTGTTCCGTTTCCCCTTTTAATCATTACATCCCGCCCACAGGGAGGAAATCTCGGGTTCTCTTGCTATACAATGGCTTCGTCCCGTTTGATGGAACCATTGCCTTGGAAAATACTGGGAAAGCATACGAGACATCGCATCGGCGTTTTCATGTGGAGTGCCGAGCAGAATACCCCTGAGGGGAACGTTTTTGACGCCCAAGAAACTGACGCCGCGCCATGACTTTATTGCTTCTTGTGGCGTGAGTTACAATAGCCGGCGATCGCCGAGAACGTTGCAAGCGCTGGAGGCGCTGTCGGAATGTTCTAAAAAAAAACGAGGATGCACGATGCACGTTCTGTCCTAATGGGACAAGGACCAGGGCTGAGCGGAAAAAGGTATTCTTGTCCGTATTGGTGTCGGGGGCGCAGCAGTGTCAACGCCGACACAAGTCAAGCAAGATAAGTAATGTTCAGGGTCGTCAACACTAGAATTGCTGTACCTGGACTGTATAATAAGCAGAGAAATGCGACAAGGCTAATTCCATCCGCCTAAGTCCTACGCATCGACCTACTGACATGACATCTTATCCGAAACTAGTCGCTCTTGATACAGAGTATGGCTTTTTTTCACACAACATCTGTTCTCTAACCAATTTCGTAGCTGGACGTTGTGGTGGGGCTGGCTAGACATGAACAAGTGGGGGAAGGGAAACGGTGCTTATTCTCCCCCGGAAGACAACATCGAATACGATAGCGGATCTGACAAGGTACTCAGAGATAGGAGGTAGCTCACGTTGTCGCTGAATGTGGCTTCCTTCTGACGTGTCCATCTAGTAACCATAACGAGAAGATATGGTTATACGGCAAGGTGCCAGACATCATAACCGACATCGTCAAACACGGGGCAAAGTTGGCGATTGTTTCTCGCAACAGAAGCAAGGGGGCGTGAGTACATGAGCAGCTCACATACAAAGTGTTACTCTGACGAATCATGAAGATCTGATCGTGCATTGTGGTATTTTAACGCTGTCGACCCGAGAGACGGAAAGAAGAAACCGATCATCGACATGGTCGACTTCGACGAAGTCGTTGATGGTGAGTTTACCAGCGTCGAGCGCAATGTGTTTGATTATCTGACGGTTGATCAGAGGATAAGACCAAGCATTTCGAGCGCATTAAGGGATGGACGGGTTTCGACTTTTCGGATATGGTGAGTATTGCAGCGTAGTATCAAGCATGTCTACAAGCGCTCACTGCCCTTTGTCCAATGCAGATACTATTTGATGATGAGGCGGTCAATAATCTGGTCCGGGTGGTCCAAGGTGAGCCTCAACCGTGCCAAGCTAATATTTCCGGGACTCGTTTTGACGGATTACAAGGTGTCACATTCCAGGTCTCGCGAGATCAACAAGGTCTCACCTGGGAGAACTACCAGCAGGGCTTGGATACATGGCGGCGTCTTCAGAAAATAAGAAGTCCTTACCTTGGTCAGAGCCTTCAAAGCTACTCTAACCCGGTGTTCCTTGGATACTCTGGTATGGATGAAGACACTGTTAACCGCTTGACAAGCGGAGGACACCGCGTGGACCTCACTGAGTCCGCACGGTGGGGATATGCGATGTACGTTGCAGATGATATCAGGATGTGAGTGTCCAAATGTCCCCATGATACCGCATCATCTAACATTCAGCTTTTATCTTCAGCGCCCATTACTTCTCCGAATGGATTAAGAGGGACGCGTTTGGCCCGAACGCAAAGACGTATGTATGTGAAATCTGGGCCAGAGACTGGCAAAAGTGGTTCGACACGGATAAGGTGCAGTACATCTGATCGCTCCCAGCTCTACCTTCTGCTAACACCACAACAGGTTTGGTTCACCGAGACCAACAGCCTGATGAACAATGTCCACAGCCAGAGCGCGTTCCAGATCGCCTGGGACCAGGAGAACAGGGACGTGCAGGCTGCCAAGTGGTACGCGCCGCCCCCCTACATCCTCTTCTCCCGACACGGCCGGATGGGCGACATGCCAAACAACATCCCCCGCGGACGGTTCAACGAGATGGTGGTGTACACACAACTGCAGGATGCGCTTATCTTGACGATCCCGCTCACCAATCAACAAATCGCTAACAAGATGTACAGCAGTCCGAAGTCTGCACCATTTGAGCATCAGTTCAAGAATTGGCGCATTAGGATGTCATTAGAGATGTTTGCCGAGTTCAAGGGCCAGGGCGAGCCTTGGTCCTAAACTGGTACTCGTGTAATGGCTGATACGTACATATTAGACACTCATCTCGTGGTTCCGTTGTTTTTATGCGCACATTGCATATAGCGTGTAGTGAAAGTGAACTTCCCAGAGTAAACAATCTACGCGTGGCAGAATGTTTTACGGATAGATCACTGCGTAGCTATCTCCCTGTGAATGCATAGGTACTCAGAGGTATACACCATTTAGACGCAACTCAGGGGGAACGCTGTCAAGGTTGAAGCGGGTAAATTACGGTCAAGGATGCATTTCATCGACATCAATGCTCTAGCGAGCGCTTCTTCACGTGCATAGCAGCACATTCAGCAAGAAAGGTCATTCATCCTGGTTTGTGCGTGTGATAACGATGCAATTACTTGTCCCATTCAAACCACCAGTCCAGGTTTGCCAAGAACTTACTTCCGTCCTCTCGACTGATCCCCTGCCTGCTCATCTGTGCCTCATACTCGGTCTTCACCATCCATTCAATCCAGTACTTCCTCTATGAGAGATGGACAATCAGATGCTGGTGAAAAGCGAATGTAACTTTACTCACGAACTGGTCCGGAGTATACTTTGCTCCTGCCTCGCCGCTGTTCCAGACGAGCGTATCGTTTGCGCGAACGTAATAGCGGCCGTCCCATGTCATGCGAGCCGCAAAACCCCTGGGTACCGTTTAAGCCAATTGCTCGAAGCAGCTGGAACAGGCTCACCAGTCAAAGACATGTGCTCTCACAAGCGTACCGCCTTTCGTTTCGAACTTCACGTTAGCCAGATGGGCGTCTCTGACGACCAATGAGAAAAGGATATCTCGAATAGCGATCAGCGACTTACCGATGTTCCATCCCATGTTTCTTCACAAAGTACTCAATCTCGTCGACAGTAAGATGAAATGCACGCTTAAGGAGGGTCTGAAAAGGAACACCAAATGGGTGGCGCCAATACGTTGCGTTGTCCCAAATCGGGTTTCCGCGAACGAATTTCATACTGAACCATCCACAAAAGCGCTCAGGATCAGCAGGGCCCTTCAGCTCGCCGACAGCGCGGAGGTTGCGTAGCTCCAAAGCGATCTGTGATAGGTACTCTTCGTCTTTGGTGTCGCGGGAAGGGTCGGGCGTAAACGGACGCCCAGCCTCGACCACCTTGTAGATGGCGACGAAGCGCTGCTGAATTCCTGGTCTCCAGTGTTTCAACTTCTTGACGATGATTTCTGGGTCGCTTTTGGACATGTAGACGTCCGAGAAAGCGCCTGATCCTAGTGTACGCCCGAGTGCGGGCATGTCATAGACTGTCATACCAGTAAAAGTTGTGTCTCAGTAATATTGTCGTATTGAATTGTTGCTGAAGAACATACATGGCGGAAGCTCTTGTGGCGGTTTATCTTGTCTCGGATCGTCACGCCTAGGGATGTGACCTCCGGGAGTCCCATTCGGCTGCTTGTGTGGTGGCTGTCCACCTGCGAGTCCCTGAGAAGCGTCTACGTAGTCTGTCCATGTCAACCCATCTCGTTTATCGATCGTTTTCACGTGAACACCTTGACAATCGGTCAGTTTTGACTCTACCGACGATATAAAGAATGGAAAAGCACGCCTCACCTAGATGTTGCTGAACTTGTTGGCTTTCAGCGCAATCTAAGTCAAAGAAGACCTGCGAAACGGTCATGTAGCGACCAAATGCGCACGCGCAAATCACATACCATGTCGACGAAATCAACGCCACTCCATGTTTTCAAGTTCTTGAACATTTCAACTTTTGACACTGTGTAGATTGTTAGAAGAGCTAGGAGAGAAGTGAGGGTCGTAACCCACCAACATCGTTCTCATCGTACCTCACGAAAGTCGTGAGAGATTGCCTTGAGGCGTTTTTGTCGGGCGCTCGGAACAGCCAGAGCGCGCGGTCGCATCTAGTAGCGGCACTTTAGTACGTACTTTCCCTTTACACGACAGAAATGAGGGAACTTACAGCTTCTTGCCTCCATTATTCGAAACGATCGCAATCTGCAGATTGTTCTTCGCGATGTCATGAAAAACCCGCGTCACCTCCGGGAACAGAATGACGAAGTTTTCAGGATTGCTAGGTACACTAAGATTGAGTGTTTCCAAGTGGGCGACATGAACATACCTCCTATCCTCTACGATCCCTTCGTCACCCAGCCGAAGCTGGAGGTTGTCCTCGGGGACTTTGGATGCTCCTCGGCCTTTGCCATACCGCGTCGCGTCCAGCACGCCGCTCCAGAGGACGTTACTGTGCATTTAAGCTCAATGATCATATAAATCGCCAGAAACAACCAAGCAATATCTTACTCTAACTCAAAAGCGTAGAGTTTGATCATGGTACAACCTCAACCTCTGGTGTCAAGTTGAGTGCTGTGGAGAAAAGGGCAGGATGAAAGGCAGGCACATGTGCAGCCTTAACAACCTTGGCTGAATACGAAGGCTGGGTACGTATAGTAGTAAGCCACGGGTCACAAGAAATGTAGATTCCGTGTTCATTGCATGGTGCCTAGTACGCCCCAATGGGGGCGCGTTGCCTTCATGGAAGTGTTTGAGAAAATAGAAAGAGGCCGACAGCCGTGTGCGAGAGGCCGGAGAACCGGAGTTTGAACTTCTCCCAAGGCACATTACGCTACATTACGGCGATCCGCGAGAACGTTCCAGCTGCACGCTAAACCATAACGTTCTGACAGACGCTGATAAGAACGTTCTCAAACTTCTTATGAACGTTGTTCTCAAGATGTCCAGGAGACTTGCAGTGATGCTCAGGAAACGCGCAAACGTCAACCCCAACATTTGGCTCATGAGACGTACGTTCACAGCCTGCAGAGCCGACTGACTTCTTCACATAAGACCAGTTACCTCGTCAAGGTTGCTGTTGCGCAGGACTTTCGGCTTACGAACACTTTACAAGGCTTCGACCGACATCCGTTTGTCATGTCTTATCCCAAGCTAGTTGCTTTAGACACCGAGTACGTGGTTCAGGCTGTCATAGACTGGTTGCTGACGCGACATTCATAGCTGGACCATATGGTGGGGATGGCTTGATATCAATAAGCTTGGAAAAGGACGCAATGCGTATAATCCTCTCGAGGACAACCTCGAGCAGGAGAATGGCTCAGAATGGATTCTCAGAGACAGAACGTTCGCATCTCGTTTACAATATATGTCCATGCAGCTTACTTATATTTTCTATGCAGAAACCATAAGGAGCGCATTGGCATGTACGGCAAAGTACCTGACATCATCTACGATATTTTGAAGAACGGTGCCAAACTGGCGATCGTCTCCCGTAACAAGAGCAAGCCTGCGTGTGTACTTTCCGGATATGCTTTTCCTCACCGTTGAAAGCGTGCCTTGTAGGTGTGATCGAGCTCTCTGGTGGTTCAAGGCAACAGACCGAAAGAAGCCCATCATTGATATGGTCGATTTCGACGAGGTCTACGATGGTGAGGTCTGTTTTTCCGTGACTGCGGACTGGATTTCATCGGCGAGTAGACGACAAGACCACACATTTTAGACGGATACAAGGGTGGACCGGGTTTGATTACTCGGACATGGTGAACGCCGTATACTACAAATCCCGAAGACTCTAAGTGCTTACATGTCTCCAGATTCTCTTTGATGACGAGGCGACGAATAACCTGGTTCGAGTAGTGGAAGGTATGAATTAACGTCGCTTGAGCCGTTCTAACCAGGCGACTAAACCAAAACAAGGCGTCACATTCCAGGTTTCTCGAGATCAAAAGGGCCTAACCTGGGAAAACTATCAAGAGGGGATTGACACTTGGCGTCGTCTACAGACCATCAGAAGCCCTTACTTAGGTCAAAGTCTGCAGAGCTACTCGGACCCGATGTTCATTGGATTCGCTGGCATGGACGAGCAGACGGTAAACTTATTAACACAGGGACACCATCGCGTCGACCTCACAGAATCCGCTCGGTGGGGCTACGCCATGTACGTCGCCGACGATGTTAAGATGTGAGGATCGTGTTCTCTGCTTCAACCATGTCTTCATCGATATTCTAGAGCAAAGTTTTTCGCGGAGTGGATCAAACAGGATGCGTTTGGACCCAACGCGAAGACGTACGTGTGCGAGCTCTGGGCCAGAGACAGGAACAAGTTTCTCGCAACTAACAAGGTACTTCGGCGCTTGAAGAACCCGTTCGATTCTGACTCCCGGGTAGATCTGGTTCCCTGAAGAGGGTAAATTCCTGAACAACGTTCACACCCAGACCGCGTTCCAAATCGGATGGGACCAGGAGAACCGCGACGCGCAGGCCGCGCGGTGGGGTTCTCCGACACCTTACATCCTATTTTCGCGTCACTGGAGGATGTCAGAGATGCCTCCTTCCATCGGTAGCGGAAGATGGAACGAGATGGTTATCTACACGCAGATCCAGGATGCGCTAATGTTGACCATCCCGCTTAGCGAGCAGCAGGTCATTGAGAAGATCCAGCTTGGAGGCAAGTTTGTGCCGTTTGAGCAGCAGCTCTCTGCATGGAACATCAAAGTACCCAACGAGACTTGGGCCGAGTTTAGAAAATACAGAGAGAATATTCGAGCCTGATACCTTAAATTACAATGGTCACTTTAATAAACGTATTCGATTGACTTGTGTACACTAATTAGCGACGATCTGGAAATACAAAGCCGCGAAGCTGGGTCTGAAGTATCGTAAACAGCAGAACAGAAAGACTCGTTTCCCGTACACGGATGGGAGCTCGTCACCGACAGTACTTGAGCCAAATTTGTGTAAAATCGGCATGCGTATCGACTTGATCTGAGGGTGTTTCCGCTCGATATTTAGGGCGCAAGCGTCAAGAACGTTTTCGCTATCGAGTCCGATCACTGTGATCCTCTTTATCGCACCGTATGTACATAATTATCTGCGAGATGTTCCCAATGTATATCCGCATTCAGGAGTCGAACCCCGTTTCGGGACTTCACCGAAGAATCAAGATCGTTCAACCAAGCTTTCAAGCATTCTGAGGAGAATGGGGTAAATTTCATACTCCGCCAGCTTGATTGAACTCCGCGGCGGTCCTCCCTGAACATGTCCTCACGTTTTTATCCGGATACTTGTTCTTTTGCGTCACGGCGCAATTGCAGCGTTTTCGATATCCCGTATCGTGCTTCGCAACCTGTGCTCTGATACAGGCGTCAATAACGTTCACATCGATCAGGCCAGAACTTTATCATCAACCTAGCTGTGTTTGCATCACTCATAAGGTTCAAATTGCCGCATGGGACAACGGGAACGACTCGGATGACTCTGTTCCTTGTCGAGCTCGTGAAAGGTTAACTATACCCGATTGCATGGCTACACTCCGATCACTTGTGCCTTACTGGCGCTTGAGTGCCGGGCCTTGGTGTCTAGTTGTCCGTCGGTAAGAACGTTTCGATTACGCCCAGAATCATCCCCGTTTCTGTTCTGAGCTCGATATTGTAGTTACGCCCTCGGACCGAACATACTCTTCCTGTGGAGAAGTGTGATAAAATCCAGCGGGTCGACGCACAGATAGTTTTGCTTGCAACCCTCAACCGCATCTTCACCGGCGTCCGCGACTAAACCCTTCGAACGAATAGACCTGCAAGATGTTCCCGAAACTCGTAGCCTTCGAGACAAGGTAAGTCCCTGCCTTCAATATCGAAGCATTCACTTATGAAGGGCTTAGCGGTGTGCTGTTTTCAGGTTCTCTCCGCGAAGAACTCTGGGGGAAAGGGCAGGGCGCGCCTAAGAAACTGGCAGATAACATCCAACGCATCGACAGCTGGCTTCTACGAGACCAAAGGTCAGCCCCTATGTATTATTATACTACGACATGCTGAGATAGCGTGTTCAGCAATGTCCAGAACACCGTTTCACTGTTCAAGGATATCCCGCGAGTCATAAACGACGTCTTGAAGAACGGTGCTTCTCTCGCAATCGTCTCAAAAACGGACAGCAAAGCTCTGTAGGTTTCATCGTCAAATTTGGCAGGAAAGAGTGTTCAAGGTTTGCGACATAGATGTGATAGGGCGCTGTATTACTTCCATGCTATAGATCCCAAAACGAGCCAAGCTGGCTCGATCATCCACATGGTCCGATACGACGAAGTGGTTGACGGTAGATTTCTCTTTTTTCGTAAGGAGTGCTTTTTGATTCATTGCTTATCACAGAGCCTAAGACGAAGCACTTTCAGCGCATACATGGTTGGAGTGGATTCGATTTCAAGGACATGGTGCGTGGTGAACTTGCTCTTACATCTAGTTCTGACACACCGAATGATCCATTTCAGGTCTACTTTGACAGGGCAGCAGAGTGTGACGTGTCGAATCAGGGTACTTGAGATTTATATGGCATCTGAGCTTGGAAGCTAATGGTCAATGCAAGGAGTATTCGTCCGCGCCGTCGATAGAGGCGGCCTGACGTGGGAGCAATATTCTCAGAGTATCGAGGCTTGGCGCACAAAGGGATCCGACACTGATTCTCGACCAAAACCGGAGACGAATCCCAGCCAAGCCTCTACAGGCGCTTCAAATAACGTGTTGAAGATCGCTCACTTCAATGACGTGTACCAGGTTTCTAACCAAAAGCTCAAAGTAGGACATTGTTTCATTCGAGTTCACTGTATGTGATTCTAATTTGGGACAGATAAACGGCAAGGAGCAGAACGTCGACGTGATGAAGTTCGCTACGATGCTCTCTGATGTCAGGAAAAAGTGGGCGGCGGATGGCATCAAGGAGGGGTTGACGATCTTCTCTGGAGATACGTTTTCACCGTCATTCCAGAGCGCCGTCACCAGGGGAAGACATATGGTAAGATGAGTTCTGAGGTTATGCAAGGTTTATTGACGCTTCCAACAGGCATCCGTCATGAATGCACTGGACGTCGAAATCAGCGTCGCAGGTCACTTTTTTTCATCATAAATTCACGCATATGCTCACTATCAATCCAGGAAACCATGAGTTTGACTTCGGTACGTGTTTGCTATAACTGAACATAGGTGCGCTGCTGACTCGTGCTTAGGGTATCGTCGACTCTCTGAGCTTATTGAAGCGACAAACTTTGTCAGTCTTCTTCGCTTTCTAACGTATTTCGAAGTAAATAACCTTGAATAGCCTTGGCTCCTCAGCAATATCATCGATACGAACACTGGCTCAGTTCCGGAACCTATGAAGTCGTTCCACGTGTTGGAGAAGTCCGGAGTACGCATAGGATTCATAGGTCTCGTGGAGAAGTAAGTGGCTTCACATTACGGACTTCTCCTATTGACTGGAGCGGCGAAAGGGCGTGGATCGCAACTATTACGGGCTGGCCAGACAACTTTGAATGGAAGGACACGACCGAAGTTGGACTGGAGCTCTCCAAAGTGCTTCGTGACCCCGCGGGGCCTCACAAATGTGACATGGTCTTCGCCCTGACGCATGCTCGGTGAGTGATTACCGGTTTCAGTGTGCTTCGTCAGCTTAAAGCGTTATCGTGCACTAGTATTCCAAATGTAAGACCTGCTGTTTCGTAACGACGTGCACTCTGCTGACATCACACCAGGATATCAAAATGGCTGAAGAACTCTTCGCGCTTTCTCCTAAAGCGCAGGCCGGTACTGATATCATCTCACAGCATGGAGTGGATATTTTGCTTGGAGGACACGATCATATCTACTGGATCTCAAAGGGTTTGCGATCGTGGGATGGCTACGACGTCAACGAAACGAACCTCGACGCACAGACCGACAAAGGCGACACGCTCATCATCAAAAGCGGGACGGACTTCCAAGACTTAAGCGAGGTGACGTTGACGCTCAAGGATACCCCGCCTGGAAGCGTCAGGAGAAAGGTTATTGAGTCGATCAAGGGTGAGCTCACTTCGTTGTACAGGGATTGTCCCAATTGCTCATGACCCTGATAACTTCATGTTAGGCGTGAGACACGTCACCACCGGCGACCTAGCCGTTGATCCCCACATGAAGAATATCATCGATGGAGAGCTCGCTGAGCTCAACGCAGCTATGGCAGACCCTATCCTGATTAGTGAAGTGGAGCTCGATGCACGCTCTCTGACTGTTCGCACTGGGGAGGCTCGTGCATATTCCCTCTATCTTCTTCATAATCCAGGTATTAAAGTCATTTCACAGTCAGCTGTTGGAAACTGGATCGCGGATTGCCTCAGGCCCGCGTATAACGACGTTCTCGAAAAGTCCGGGTATCCACCAGTAGACGGTGTCATTGTTTGTACGGGGGATATTCGAGGAGACGCCACATACTCTAAAGGTGAGCTGATCATGCTCGTGCATTAATTCATGGGGTAACTCTGCCTAATCAAGGACCAATCACCCTCGGCGACCTCATGCAAATGCTGCCCTTCACCGATCCAACAGTCGTTGCCGAGATGACCGGAGATGCTCTATGGACAGCGATGGAATCTGGACTCTCTAAATGGCCCGTTCAGGAAGGGTGAGTCAAGCTTCGTTGCCCTCTGACCGTCACAACATAACCTTTTGTAGTCGTTTTCCTGCAATATCCGGTTTCCGAGTGGAGTGGAAGTCATCGAATGAGTCCGGAAACCGCGTTCAGGGGATCTGGCTTCAGGAAGAATCTAAGGAAGTTGGTCCCGACGGAAAGCTCAAGCTCGTCGACAAGGAAGAGATTCGGCGTACCTCCGATCGCAAGTATCTCATATCCGTGGGGGAGTACATGGCACAGGGCGGAGACGGCTATGATGTCCTCAAGGATCAGAAGCTCATTATCGATGGTGAGAATGGCCAATCAAAAAGCACATTGATTAGGAAGTTCTTGCTCGGTAAGCGAAGATCGGTTACAACAAACGCAGCGACTTACCACTGGCACATACGTTTTCAGGGGCTCATTTCGTGAACAAGGTATCGCATGATCCAGGAGCGAAACCAAAGGACCTCCTTCCTGAGACATTCAGTTTCGTCTCCGAAGCTAGGGCGTCGTTGAAGCTTCCGAAGCTCGAGGTGCCTACCATCAAACTCCCGAAGATGCCCAAGATACCAGACGTTCCTAAGCTACCGGACTTGCCCAAGGTAGACGTTCCGAAGATACCAAACATGCCTAAGATGCCCAAGTTCGGCAGCTTTTCAAAGAGCTCATCGCCACTCACAAGTCCTGGACAGTCGTCCCCTTTCCAGAAAGTCTCGTCCCCATTCTCCAGCTCAAGTCTCTCTTCGTCTCTTTCCGGCCTCTCCTCGCCGCTCCCCAGCCCGAGTAGCTTCGTTCCTGAAGCAGGTCGCCGTTCCGCGCAGAATCTCACGCGCCACATCTCCGACAGCGCCGAGTCGGGCCGACGCGCTGCGCAGGACCTTAGTCGTCAGGTCTCGGACACCGCCGAATCGAGTCGTCTGGCAGCACAAAACCTCGCGCAGAACGTGTCCGACAGGGTTGACGCGGTTCACAGCTCGGTGACTGACCTTGCAGATGCGGCCCTCCAGACTGTCATTGCTTCGTTCAAGTGGGTTGCATCGACGGCGTTATACAAGTTTGCGCTCAAAGTCGCGGAGCACGAAGATATGGGTCTGGTGGACGGTTACGAGCGAAGGCGGAGGGGTGTCACGATTGAGGGGACATTCTCCATTCGGGTAAAGCGTTCGAAGGTCGAGGGATCGGATGCTGAGGCAGAGACGAAGGAAGAAGTCACGGTGGAGAACGACCTTCCGGTGATCTCTCCTGTCATTGATGGTAGACTCAAAGATTTGGATGGCAAAGCGTAATTTGTCTGTCTGTATCTTTATGGGCTCTTGAACGTGGCACGTAGTTGCAATGTAGTCGGTACTGCTAGCTACAAATTCAGCAAACGCAGCGATGAACCGTGTCCCGAGCCAGCTTATGGCGTGATTCCTCTCTCCTCTGTCTCTCCTTGAGGCTGGCTTGGTGATAATGCAATTCTTGCGAATGTCTTTGACGAATGGCACACAGACATCCCGAATCGACATAAACTGAAAAACTGGTGTGCTTCTCCACAAGAGCGACTCACCGAAGACTAAGGGCACTAACAAGCGTCACGTAAGTAGCAGCAGTGTAGGACTACAGTGTCGGGATCTCGCTGTGTCAGTAATACAGTACCTTCGTAAATCGAGATGACGCGGACGGTTCTTCGTTTACACCCACGATACTCCTCCGCGGCCCGCTGGAATCCATTTCTGCGACCCACGTGAGGCCCAAGGCATGCTGTTCCTAGCGCTTTCATCACAAAAGCTAGCGCTTCTCCCGAGATTATTCTACTGCGATCCTTTCTGGTCTTTGTCGGAAAATCTCTTATCATGAGATGTGACGCGTCTGGTCTGTGAACAAGCCCGAAGATTTGAAGTTTGTCCGGATCTCATACCGCTATGTGCAGGGGTGTTCTAAGTAGTTAACATTGCCAAGCACGGGGTTAATAAACACAATTATCTCCCTCAAATAAGCTGCCAACTGTCGGATAGCTTATAGGCAATCTCTTAACGGAAATTCCCACCGTACTCATTGCATGACCCGTTCCTGGTCGCTCTCCGTCTCCCGAGAATTCCTCAATACAAACATTGCCCGAACGTCCTCCTTGTCACCGCAGGTAAACCGATATTTATCCAGGAGGTGAAAACAAACTCCCATGGCGACTTCTGAAAATACATAAACGTTCACGCTGTCGCCGTGTCAACTCCAGGTTGAGTCAGTTGTACTCGATCACACTCGAACATCATGATGGTTTTCTCTGCCCCTTTCGCCGCCTTGGTCGCTTTGACTTACGCTTCGCTGGTATTCGCTGCAGCTCTGGATATTTTTGAGCATACTAATGATAGTCTTCATAGGTTCTCGCGCATGGCGGTGTGCGTAGCTATAGCATCGCTGGTACATACTACAACGGGTGAGATACCATTTCTTTCTATCTGGACGCATCCAAAAAATTAACTTCGGTCAGATTCGAGGCATACGAAACTCCAGTTGGGCAGTCAAGCATTGAGCGCGAATGGGACACGTACGATCCTATCGAGGACCCGACCAACGCGAAGATGTCTTGCAACATTGATGGCGCCAACCTCGGGGCTGGCCAGCTGTATGCTACAGCGGCAGGTAAATTTAGCCTCGGATATACTGTTTGAGGATATGACTTACATTCATTATCAGCTGGTTCTGAGGTTACCGCGTATTGACTGTGAGTTGATGTATCTCAGGTTGATTCCAGTAGGTTCTAACGGCGAACCAGTGACTGGCCTCACACTATTGGTCCTCTTATGGTATACATGGCCAATTGCAACGGAAACTGTACCAGCGCCGATACTTCGACATTGGAATGGGTGAGTTACAGTGACATTCGCCTAACATTATATAATTCCAACTACTAGAAAACTTAGTTCAAGATTGACGAAGCTGGACTCATTTCCGGGGACCAGCCGTCCGGGACATGGGGAATGGGCGAAATGGTAACCGATAACAGCTCCTGGACGAGTAACATCCCTTCGTCGCTTTCTCCTGGCTACTACTTCATTCGTCATGAGCTCCTGGCAATCCACGTACCCTACGATCCGCAGTTCTATATGGAATGCGCGCAGCTCATTGTCACCGGTTCAGGCTCTGCGACGCCATCGTCGGAATATCTAGTCAAGTTCCCCGGCGCTTACTCCTGGTAAGCATCGCTTCTGTTGTCGCGATACATATCTCTTACGTCAAAAATAATGCAGGACTGACCCTGGAGTCAACATCAGCGTCTCAAACAACCCTGGCGTTGATAACTACACTATTCCCGGACCTCCCGTTTGGCCCGGAAACTAATGACGAAACTGAGCGCCGCTCTCTTTGAGCATCATAGTCGGTTGTGTGCTGTTGTATTATTCTCTCTATTATCTCATGCCTTCAACGAACATGTTGTAACATCCGCCGTGAGGTTGTAAGAATGTTGTTTGACGCCGATCGTCAGAAGTGCGCTCACGAGACTTTTCCCCAAGAACCTTTCTATCTTGCATTACCATTTCATACATAAAGCAGCCGTAAATCACCAGTTCGCGAGTAATACATCCAAGATGTCCAATAGTGGAACGAATTCACCGGTCGTGTAGCAGAATGCTATGCCGCGAAGATGACAGCTGCTAGACCCAAGGGTAGCCCACCAAGCTTAATTAAGGCATGTTGTGTTTATGCAGTAGTTGAACATACGGTACCCATTTGGCATGTCATGAGCCAAACCATCAAATTGCAATCAACCTCCATGTATATGAGCCCGCTCTTGCGTAGTAAAGATTGACTTCTGCACTGTGGCGTTGAGGCGACAGAGGCATTCGTGCCGACGTCGGCATCTCCCATACGTTCCCACGCAGAAAAATAGAGAAGCCCGTCCGAGCGCACATCCTCCTCCTCCGGGTCCCAGTCGCACGCGCTAGCTTCGGAAGTAAGTAGCTGCCTTGTGCTGGACACAGCCAGAGGAATGCCTCCCCGAGAGTGCGTGCGATCGCTGTCTTGAAGATTCAAAGGTAACCAACGTACGGCCAGACGTTCGATGACCTGAACATAGTGGGTTTCAACCATGCAGATCTCTCTTTTTCCGACGAACAAGCGCCGTGGGAACATATCTCTAGGAGGAGCTCTGGTACCGCAAGGTCCCATGTTCCTAAGACGTCTGAAATGAATGGTATCGTGAGTCTTCTATTCCGTCAAATGCCTCAGCGTGCCTGCTTCATTGATTTGACATGTGCCAGTTAGTAGCAAGTGACTTTGCCGCGGATCATTGTACACTCGTGATATGTTCCTGGCCGTCTTTTGTCATATGCGCGTATAGCCTCTTGGTGGTCCCCATAAGAACACTGACCGAAGGTTCTCCATCGTCGCACTTGGTGACCCGACATTTAGCCCATGGATTTTCCTTGAAACTCATGTCGCTGAGGACAATAATAGCTCTTTGCTTTGCTCAAAGGCATATAAGCGTTCCGCGTTCAGTTTGTTAAAGGGCGGAACTGACCTCTCAAACTTTGTACACCATGTTCAAGATCTCTGCCGCTTTCGCTACTCTGGCCGCGCTGACCCAGGTTTCCTTGGTTCGTAATCCTCCCTTTGATACTTTGACGTCAACGAATAGAACTCTTGGCAGGTGACAGCGCACGGCGGTGTGCTCAGCTATAATATAGCCGGGACTACCTACAACGGGCATGTCGTATCTAACGTCTGCTCGAGTTTATCCGCTCACTGGGCGATCCTCACGATAGATTCGTCCCGTACAATACCCCCGTCGGGCAGTCCAGTATTCAGCGTGAATGGGACACCTATGATCCCATCCAAGATCCCACCGACTCGTACATGTCTTGCAATACAAATGGCGCCAACCTTGGTTCTGACCAGTTGTATGCTACTGCTGCATGTAAGCTTTACGCGTAAAGTACCTTTGAACACCGCTCAGTACCTTTGTTTATCCACAGCTGGTTCCACGGTCATCGCCTACTGGAACAAGTACGCACACTTCCAGAGCATTGACCATTATGTTGACCGTTGTCACTAGCCCATGGCCCCACACCATCGGGCCAATTATGGTTTATATGGCGAACTGCAACGGTGACTGCACCGACGCCACTACTTCGGACCTGGAATGGGTAAGCTCGTGTCTACACCAACGCAGCCATATCTCTAACTGCGTCTACACTAGTTCAAGATCGAAGAGGCTGGTCTCATCTCTGGCGATCAGCCCACTGGTGTGTGGGGTATGGGTGAGATGGTGAACGACAACAGCTCTTGGACGACCAGTATCCCCTCGTCCCTTGCAGCCGGCGACTATTTCATCCGCCACGAGCTGCTCGCGATCCACCAATCAAACGTGCCTCAGTTCTACATGGAGTGTGCGCAGCTCAAGATCACTGGCAGCGGCACAGCCAGCCCTTCTTCGGAATACCTCGTCAAGTTCCCCGGCGCTTACTCCATGTGCGTATCTCTCGTTGTGGTTGACCGAATCGTTTTCGATAAGATGTTTTGATGAAGGAGTGACCCCGGTGTCGACATCAACATCTATGGCAATTCCGGTGTTACCAACTACACTATCCCCGGACCTGCTGTCTGGACTGGAAACTAAGCGATGGACACCATATCATTCTCTTTGGGGTTCTTTCGGGATTAGCTTTAGGAATATGTATAGTGGGTTTCATGAGAACTTGACGATTTTGGATGGTAGTCTATGATGTATACGACATGCTGCCGATAAGCGGGAAGATGACAGTGGTATAAGCTGGTGTGAGTAGTGCAAAGTAGAGAGAGAACGAGTGGTAGAGAAGACCGTGACCGAAATCGAGTTCGAGGGAGTAAAATAGGATTGAGTTCCACACATAGTAGCTACGACGTTGAGGAGTATTGTCACGTTTCCCAAGCCAGCTACAAGGAGAAGAAGGGTCGGGAGAATATAAGCAAAATGAGCGTGTGGCACACATAAGCGGTAGCGTCATACAGGGCTAGGATCAAAGTAACAGCACGAGAACAGAAGGAAGCTAAAGCAAAGGGACGCGGTCTTGCTGCGGGAAAGGGTCGAAAACCAAAGCACAAGGGTCGAAGCGCCAGAGGCGGAGCGTTCGGAAAGCGAGGGAGAGCATCTATCAGGAACGTGTATAAGCGATCAGATAGGGCTGATAGGGTCGAAGCGGGGCAGTACCACTACAGGCAAATGCGATAGTTCTGGGCCCGAAAATAAGGAGGAAAATACACTGGAAAGTAAATATTTCCCTCCATATTTCCCTTTGACCAACAGAGGCCGAAAAAGATTTATGTTCCGGTGAATTTTCAGGCGACCAAAAGAAGCTTTTCTTCCATTTATATCAATTTAGCGCTGGCGGAGATTTAATTGCCGCTTCAACCTGCCTTGTTTGGCCTCTTGGCGCACCAGAAAATGATAAATTTCCGCGGGCTTATTCCTCGCCTGAAAATCTGTAGGAAGATGTTTACTTTCCAGGTCATTTTCCTGCTTATTCTCGGGTACAGAATTAGCTCATTTGCCTGTAGTGTACGTATGTCGAAGCAAGACGTGTTCTGGCGAGAAACAATGAAGGCACACTACAGGCAAATACGCTAATTCTGTGCCCGAGAATAAGCAGGAAAATGACCTGGAAAGTAAACATCTTCCTACAGATTTTCAGGCGAGGAATAAGCACGCGGAAATTTATCATTTTCTGGTGCGCCAAGAGGCCAAACAAGGCAGGTTGAAGCAGAGATTGAATCTCCGCCAGCGCTTAACATCCATAAATGGAAGGAAAGCTTGTTTTTGTCGCCTGAAAATTCACCGGAACATGAAGCTTTTTCGGCCTCTATTGGTCAAAGAGAAATATGGAGGAAAATATTTACTTTCCAGTGCATTTTCCTCCTTATTTTCGGATCCAGAATTATCGCATTTGCCTGTAGTGGCAGTACTGTCTGGGCACGCACACTGCGTCCCTTACAGATGTTTACGTGAGAATTAATGCTGTGTAGTTCTGTGTCGATTATTAGCCAAATCTTCCTCGTGGACCATCAATCAAGTGGCCCTTACTTGGCTCACAAATGCATTCATGGACAATAGGTTTACGACCCTGATTTCCTGTCGGGTTCGGTTAGTGCGTCTATTTAAATGCTCGCACAGCGTTTTCTAGACTGTCACTCGACCTTTGCTCTACCTTCATGCCCAACGACTCATCCCAAAGCATCGAGCTTCCCCGGAGCTTCCTTCTGGATGTCTTCCGTCTCCACCTCTCCCTCATTCACGTTGGAAATTCCGAGATGATGACTCCCCCGCCTGAGTAGGAGGTCTGGTCACTGGTACATGTCTGCCGTCACTGGCGAACCGTCGCAACAACTTGTCCATCTCTCTGGAAGGCTGTATCCCTTTCTTGGTCATCGGGTCTAATCTCCAGTGTCGTCCGGTGGTCGCAAGACGAGGCCCTCATTGTCCACTGCGCTCAGTGGCCTGTTCCACCGCCGAATGATCCCAAGCTCGTACCGTTGCTCCAGAGCGCCCGCTGCGCTGTGGTGAACGTGCTGCGCACGGACGACGTCAGATCTCATGATGCGGCCTTTTGGCTTACCCTTCTTTCATTCCTGCCTCCCCCCGTTGCGATACGCGTCTTTTCGTACGCTCCAAAATCCCTCAGTGTACAGATCCCCCTTCCTCTTGTGGTCGATGCGGTGCCATGCTTGGTGACGACTTTGAGCATCATCTCCAGGAAGCCTCTCACTGGTGTGACACTTGGTGACCTCGTCGCTCAGCTGCCCCAGACATTGAAGGTATTAAGCCTAGTGAACTCGGTTACCATCCCCGCGGATGTTGTCGTAGGTCTTGGACACGGCCGGATTCCTATCCGCGAAAGTAGCCCGAGTGTTGAGAAGATCTATATCGAAGACGATATTAGCACGATCAATGCCTTTTTCAACCTCATCGACGTTCCTTTCAACACCCGCCTTCATGCTCGCCGCTACCCCTGCTCTACGTACACGAGCGCGCCGGAGGGCCCCGGCTCCCTGCTTTCGATGGTGTGCAGTACCGCAAATGGACGCTGGCAATCCCATCCTTTCGCTATTTCCTCTTCTCAGGCCGAGTTGTCCCTCCGACAGCTACGAACTGCCGAAGGGTATGGGCTGGTAGTCTCCTGGGGACGGCGCTCGTCATCCTCAACGGGAGGGAAAACAGAACTTCAGTTTTTGATTGAAGACAGCTCGTACGCCTCTGAGGCCTCCGCGTTCAGCGCACTTATCGCTTGTACGGGTGTCCTTCCTTATGACGATTTTCCTGTCGTTCATGTCGATGGGTTTGACACGCGCTCAGCTCGCGTGCAGCGCCGTTTTTGGTCGCTCTTCACCTCAAGAAGTCGGATGGTCCGCCTCAGTGTTCGTGGCTGTAACTCCCAGGGGTCCATCGCGGCACTCGAACGTGGGTTACAAGATGATGTCAATTCTCCATTGAACTCGCTTGTTGCGGACCGAGCAAATCCGCGGAGCTGTCCCCAGCCTGACAGCCGGTTGTCCGCTCTGTTTTCGCGCGTTTGGGACCGGCCTTCTCTCCCTATAGCCATGTATCCTTCAGCACAGGTGTACGCGAACTACTTCGCGCCTTTGCTAGACGAGCTTTGTATTGATGAAGCTATCACTTCCGACATCCATGACGGGGAGAGTGAGCTGAGAGCAGCACTTTGCTTGAGAGAAAGACATCGCATGCTCGTACATACTCTTAAACAGATAGTAGACTAATATCTAGTTTCGTTTTCCTTCCTTAAAATGTCGTATCGTGAATACACTGATTTACTAGAAACCAGTTCGATCTCACTACGTTTTACCGCGAATCGCTCAAGTCGCGAGTAGGCGGGTTAGTTGCGGCTACTCGCGGCTAGTCGGACCGGCTCGAGGCTTGTACTGGCTTGTAACCACACGCGGTATTCTTTGCTTCGATCAACGCGACCACTACGTTGTATTCGAACGTTGTACTACAATCAACCTGACCGCCTCGCTCCTTGTCGACTATCATTGACTAATTGTTAGCAGCTCACACTCTCTCCTCGAATACCGCGTGCGAGTACGTGACTCGACTAGGCTCGACTATCCTGGGTAAGTGCCATATTGACCACATCCTCTATCCGAGTCCCCCTGTGACGGACCAACTGGGGAGGACTGCGGGTTGCCTTTGCAACTAGGTAAGCCCGGTTCAGCCCTTAGCTCTCTCCTTCTTAAGAATTTTTTGCTAAGTGTCTCGCACCGCCCCCAGCCTCCCGTGCGCGGCGCTCTCGTCCTCCCGCGCTCTTGTCCTATCGCGCACCTTCAACCTTCTCCCACCTTCGTCCTCTCGCGATCTCGTACTCCCGCAGTGCGCACCCTTTCGCATACAATGTACAACCGTACACGGACCACCCGGGGCACAATATCTGTCGACGCGAGGTAAATAGATGTCACAAAACCTATTTGAGAATTGGAATGCTGGCCGAACCAGCGCGCCCAAACGATGGGGCAGCCTTGTTATGGTGAGTCCCAGCTTATTATCGCTCCCATCGCCTCTTTCTTCCTCCTGCCTCAACGTCAGCCCTCACACCATCCGCTCAAGACATGCCGCTCCATAGCACGTTCATCCAGGGGAATAGCATCATGCTGAACATGGCAGACGATTCGCGATCTCCCGTTAGTGCTCATAATGGCGACTTCATCTTTCAGCATCACCTGTTCATGGGGTCGTACTGGGGCAACCTGGTAGGGGATATGCCTTTGTATGAGTGGTGCTGACCTTTTCTCCCAGCACATTATTGTGAAGCAATATAAAGCAGAGGCCGAGATCGAGCTCGAGCACGCCGCTCTCACGCAGAGGGCATACCAGGGCGAGTCCATTGCGAGGTGAGCTTTGACCTTATCATTTTAGTACAGGTTGACGCATACTAGGCCACGACCCGGTGTACCAGAAGGAGCCGGGCCCATCGACATGTTGTCTATGGGTCGCTCCTGAGCGTGGGCGTCGCTGGTCGCAGTCTCCGACGTACGTGTCTGCGTACGTTGGCGATGGCGAGGAGGCGATTGAGATCGCTCCCTGTCTGAGCACGAGGTCGAGTGAGGGCGACGTCTGGACCTGGACGGCCAGCACGAGCCATCACGCGAGCCTCTATTCGGGCTACGCTGCGCATCGCGGCCCCGTGGGGATTCCCTTCACAAAGGTGAGTGGTCGGGTTCTCTGAGCGAGTGTATGAGCACTTACTGTTGCACATACGGGTTAGGCTCGGGGTGATAGCGGGTCCGACGATGGCTATCGTCGTGTCGGTGCCTGACATTGTTGTCGACGAGCGCAGGATCGATGACAGTCATGCCAAGGTGCGCATACCACTGGACCTGCTGCTGGTATGGCTGCCGGTCCCATGACTCCTTTGTGATGGGGAGACCAGGAGGGAATGGGAGACTCATGGTGGGTTGATCTGCGAGCGCAAGGGCGTGTAGGGGTGGGCAGGAAGGCAGCTGGGCAGGAAGGTGGGAGGAGCGGTAGGGAACGGTGGGATCTGGGCGCGCTCCCATGCTTTCATCTATTCGAGGTCGCTCTAGGTGATGTAATTGAGTCCAGTCGAATCGCAAGTAGCCATTCCAATCGAGCTGCCGAGCATTCCGGGCCGTCTATTCGAACGTGTAATGGGTGATGTAATAAATTCCATTTGCATCATTAATAGCTTTGGTATTCTAACGGTTGCCTGAACGCTCGAGCCAAGGGTCTACTGGACCACCTAGTTGAGCTCGACTAGCCCAAGAACTTGCATGTGCATATCTACTAGGGTAGTCGAGGACTTGAATAGATTGATTTGCTTGCTCACGACCATTCCCCAAGTTATGTCAAGTTACATCTATTTAAGGCCGGACTCGTCTACTAGTTGCAAATTCGACTGTATACAATCAAGCCATCCAGTTAAGGCTTGACTATAGGTGCGTGCGACCTAGTGTCTTGAGTTTCACAATGCAAGACAGTTACGATTAGCCAGAAGCTACGCCTCGAGTGCTTGTAGAGCGGAATTGCTAAGAGTACGTAGAAGCATACTCGTACATACTCTTAGCAACCCTGCACCGCTCTAGTACGATTAGTATAAGGACAGGCATCGCAGACTGACAGCTACTTGATGGTACATTCATACCTAGATTGAAAACCTCTGTCGGGCCACAAGATATTATGGTTCATCCCATTCGTGCATCTTTAGCATTGCCTTTCGTGTGGAGTAAGCACGATAAGAACGCTCGCCAGAAGCTCTTTGCAACACTAGCTCTACGTATCGCCGCGCTAGCAATGTCGATGAGGGCGAGTTGATTCAGGAGTAGCGTCGACGGGTAGGCAGGATCAAAGCTCGCTGCATCTGCGAATGGTGGAAGAAGGTAACTAAGGATACCGCGTCGGGCAGATGAAGGCAGCGACAGGAGTTACTAAAATTTAGGGTAGGTTGAGGTAAGATGTAAATTGATAACACGAGCGCGCGAATTGATTACCAAACGCATTCATTTTGCTGACTCGCTCCTCGTCAAGAGCATCGTGAAGGGCAGTTCTGCTGATTTGACCTTGGATGTCCGTACACCTCGTCAAACTCAGGTCCAGTACCATCATGATCTTACCTTCGTTTCTGCTTTAGAGTCAAGCTGCATAACTCGCGTTCACTGAACAGACTCCAGAGGCCTGCAGTGCGCCTTGTCCTGCCTTGCCCGCGGAATATTCGGCTCCGAAAACGCCGACGAGAAAACAGCGCCAAACACGACATGGCGACAGCGTGGTCTCCAGGAACACTTTGCGTTGTACCCCTTGCACGAGACGCAGGCACAAATTTCTCATTCGTTCGCCCCCTTCGTCGTCGGACGTAACCTCCTTATCTCTTTGGTCAAGCTTGGCCGTCGACAATGCCGAGTGCAAGCCGATCGCCTTGAGCAGATCTGGCCTGGGATTCTCTCTGAGCTGTTGCCAAGCTCTTTCCCGTTTGCTCGCCAAGATTCATCGTAAGTCGTGCATGTTCTCATGTTGCAGATAAATACGATCCCAAGGTCTCATTTGGACTCGTTCAGACATGCATCGCGACTGGAGAAGCCGCAGAAAATGCTCTGGGGCCCATATAACGCATTCATGCAGGATTTCAACACAATTCATCCCCGCAATCTCGTGCTGTGAGCTGGCATACAGGTACGTACCTGACCGCACGACTACTTCCCCTGAGTTCTACGGCGTTGTCAATCTTTGGACTCGACTGATAGAAACATGAACCCCAGTGCTGTCGTCCAGGCCATCCAACACCTCGCGTCGTACATCTGGGTCTGCTGGATGACTATGAGCCTGTGGACCTCAGTTATACTTGCGGGCATAGTGGTGATCCCCTCGGAGGGTTTCTACTGTATGCTCGTCCGTTCTCGCAAAGACATGTTCAAGGCTCTCTGAGCCTGGGATTGGTTGGTGTACGGCCCAACGTAAGTGTAAATCATATCTTATTTTGGTCTAGCTCGCTAATCTTTCCGCGGCTTCCCCAGAACGTCCCGGCCTCCATCACCCTGCCTCGCCGGCATCGTGCTCTCGGCCGTGTCTCGTACCTGAGCGCATGGACAGATCCTATATTCCTGTACAACTCTTCATCCTTCCCAATCCTTCACGGTTCTTCAGTCCTTCGCGCTCGCTCGCCTACTTATCTTCATGTTGTGCTCCTACTTGCATCTTCGACGTCATCACCCTTGTGAGCACGTCGTCAACGCTCCGTTCGCGGAATGGAATTTCTTTTGGGGGCGAAGGCTGGAAAGGATACGGATGGTCTCGCATTTTCTTCGGTCCCGCTGGCTTGCAAGGTGCGCGTGATAATCCCTCATGTTGATATTCGTTGCTCAGCATTGCTCCTTTTCTCCATTCTCCAACGTGTTACGCCGCACAAGATCACAACTTTCATGCTCTTTGTCTCATCAATCAACACAACTCGGCAGTAGAGACCATCATGCGACGGCACCTGACGGCACGGCAGTTGCAACGCGTGGGCGAACGTCAGGTAGCGCGCGTTTCTTATCAGGTTTCGCGCGTCAATTATAACCTTCGTCTCGCCATCCCCAGTGCCAGCGTGGCGAGTCGCCTTCGAGCTGGTGCTACCCGGTGCAACACCTTCGATGGATGACATGGAAGCACATTTCATCGCTTGATGGCGCTACCGAGTGACGCAGCCGCACTGTGCACCGGAAGGCTGTTAGTGTATAAAAGCGCATCAGAGTCGTCGTTGAAATAACAGACTCCCAGTTTTCGCATCCTCCCCTGCTCGTCTTCTCCTCTGCTCTCTTCAGCCATGTTCAAGGTCGCCCTCCTCACCAACCTCCTCCTCGCTGCCGCAGCTCTCGCTGTCCCCACCTCGTCCGAGCGCCACGCCGCCCGCGTCGCTCGCCGCCAGGGCAAGCCCATCATCCGCATCGAGGGTGCAGAGGACGCCAAGATCTCCCATGTCCAGTACTCCAACAACTGGGCTGGTGCCGTCTACTCTGAGGCTGCTGTACGTTCTCCTGTATCCTTGACTTCTTGAAACTTTGGATGCTGACGAAGCCGTCCGTGAATGCAATCGTTAACAGGGCACTTACAGCGCCGTGACTGGTACCTTCACCGTCCCCACCCCCTCCGGCTCGGGCTCCGCCTCTGCTTGGGTCGGCATCGACGGTGACTCGTGCGGAAACGCCATTCTCCAGACCGGTATCGACTTCAACATCAACAATGGCCAGGTCTCCTACGATGGTACGCACCTCCTCCCCTTTTTACTAGCCCTTCACACTCTTCTAACCTCCGATCGTGTCTTCCTTCACAGCCTGGTACGAGTGGTACCCCGACTACGCCTACGACTTCTCGGGCATCAGCGTCAACGCCGGCGACCAGATCAAGCTGACCGTGACCGCATACAGCACGACGTCGGGCATCGCTGTGATCGAGAACCTGAGTAACGGGCAGCAGGTGCAGCAGCAGCTAACGTCGAGCAGCGCGCTGTGCGAGCAGGACGCGGAGTGGATCGTTGAGGACTTCGAGTCCGGCGGCTCGCTCGTGCAGCTCGCCAACTGGGGCACCGTCACCTTCACCGACGCGTCTGCCACCACGTCCTCCGGCAGCCAGGGCCCCGGAAGCGCCGGCGAGATCGACCTCGTCAACAGCAGCGGCCAGACTGTGTCCTCGGTCCAGATTTCTGACTCGAGCGTCACTGTTACCTATACCGGCAACTAAGATGCTGGCCTTGGGAGGCCTTTTGGACTTGGGTTTTGGGGTTTAAGGGCATAACGTGTTGTAAAAGCTTTCTGTACAATAACGTTACATTGTTGTATGGTTATCATTTGGGATTATGCATGGATTGTTTGGTTTATAGCAAACGTGAAACGAGGGTCCTCTGATACTTATTGCATAGCAGTCAGTGATGATAAAAGTACAGTCGAGTATGATTGTAGTCAAATTATAGTACATTGAAATTGTAAGGCAGTAACTAAGCCTTTCCTTTGGCCTTTCCTTCGTCTAAGTTCTTCAGACGACCGTCAATGGCGGGAGATATCTTTGGAAGATCGTTCTCAACTGCTACTTCCTTCTCTGTCATCTCGACATGCCTATCTCCTGCCGCATCATCGCTTCTCGTCGATGTAATCCCAAGGATATCGCTCGTGATGTCAGCTCGAGTCAAAACAACTGAAATGGAGCCCTGGATCGTAATCCCCCTTTGCCTCCTATCATATGTGTCCACCAGACTCATGTCTTCATGCTCGGCTACTGTCAAAGCGAACTTCAGCACCGCGGGAGAAGTTGTCCACTTGCATTCAACCACGCTTTCGTGGATGAATGTGACCAGCTCTGGGTCAAGCTGTTCCGGTCCTCCGCCTTGTCGGATGAAAACTCCCCCGTCTGACAGAGGAGAAGTAATGTGCGAGAAGGGCGAGCGTGCCGCTGCTACTGCCGCCGTCACCGTCGCCACAGGATCAAGAGACGGGAGATTCAGCGCGATGCGAGCCTGAGAAACGAAGCGGAAGGTCTCTGGGAGGAGGTTCGCGGGCTTGATTTCAGGATTGTGCGAAACCTTGTTGACGTAATGTGCACCTAGACATCATGATAATTAACCCTCTCAGATTCCGAGAATTGGACGTCGAAAAGGGTGCCCATACCCGACAAAAACTGTTGTATCAATGCACTCTTCATCTTGGCATTTTCGTCGTTGATAACGACCTTCTGATCCTTCAAAATGCTGTATCCGTCTCCTCCCTCCGCCATATAACCGCCGACGGCAACGGTGTACATACGATCGTGATTTGGATGAACCTCTTCTGAACCAAGTAAAATCTGCTCCACACGATGACCTGCCTTGTTCGAAGATCTCCATGTAACCCGGAATCCAGAGATAGCAGGGAAACGTCTAATCGGCTTAGTTTCTAGGTGCAAATTCGGAGCGAACAAACACACCCTTCCGTCTCTGGCCATTTCGAGAGTCCAGAGTCGATCGCCTTCCAAACAGCTTCTCCGTCCATTTCCAGAACAACCATCGGATCCGTAAATGGAACCATATCCATGAGGTTTTCTAGTGTGAGCGGACCTGCAAGAAGAACACATTGGCGCGAACAATAGAATGTAAGCCTGAAGGTTCATACCTTCGGAGAAGTCACCCGCTCGGATATCTCCTGTACAGATTATCACCCCATCCACAGGGCTGTGGTTATTTTTACGGAGCACACCATCATATACTGGCTTAAGGCAGTCTGCAACCCAATTGGCGAGAGCGGACTGTGATCGAAATATCAGTTTCAACGGCAACTCGACGACCCAGATCAATACCTCGTCTGTACGGGAGACTCTTGGGATCTTGAACTCGGTTACGCAGATTGGGTAAGGCAGCGTCTCATTGATCTTTGCTACCTCTGAATGAATGAGGTTCTTCATCGGTTCGTTGTCTTTCAGTTCCCAGGTAGTAACATGGCGAGTGCCTGAGAACATGTCAAAATATGAGCCTCGGAACACGCCTCCAGAGGAATGTTTATCACCATGAATAGACTCAATGATCTTACGTCTTACACAAGCGTTTCCGGTATCCTTTAGCACAAGCGAAATGTCGCTCAAGTCCTGGAAGTCAGTGCCGCTCTTAATCACCAAGACATCACCACGATCATCTTCGGCACCCAGTAGCTCAGTGCTGAGGTCGTAGCCGTCCCAAGAAGAGACGCCTTTAGAAATCCAGTAGTCGTGATCGTGTCCTCCAAGAATTAGATCCACACCATGCCTAGTGACAATGTCATCCGTCGCTTGTGCCTTCGGAGACAAAGCGAAGAGGTCTCTAGCCAGCGCGATATCCTGAGTAAAGTTAGTCAGAAATCCTGCGTTAAAATAGCGACCTCACATTTGTGTAACTTATTCAGAAACTCTGATAGTAAGCAGCCCATGGTGACGGCAATGGAAGGAGCACTTACCGAGAATGAGTCAGCGCAATCAGGAGATCGCATTTGTGTGGTCCGGCAGGGTCTCGCAATGACTCGGAAAGCTTCAAACCCACTTCTTTCATTTCCATCCATTCGAATGACTTGGGCCAACCGGTGATGGTCTCGAGCCACTGCCTTCATGTTTGTTAGAAAGTACGCAAAAACTAGGTGTAATATTGAGTACTTCTCTACAAGGCCTATGAAACCTATGCGAACTCCGGCGTGTTCCACAACATGAAACTCTTTCATTGGTTTAGGAACGGCATTGGTCGTGGTATCGACAACGTTGCTTAAAAGCCAGGGCTGCGCGTACATATTAGCAACAGTGTTCAGCTGAGATACGATCCACAGAGAAGCTCACAAAACTGGCCATTTCGACTAGTTCAGCCAGTCGGGGATATCCTGCGATTGTTTTAGCTGTATCGAGAAACCGTTAATCACAGCCGAGATGGTACCAAAGTCAAATTCGTGATTTCCTACAACTCATGAGAGACAGTGGGAAACTGATGAAAAGGGACTTACCTACTACGCCAACATCGACGTTCAGCGCGTTCATCACTGATGTCTAGTTTATGTTAGTGAGATGACCGTTAACTTGAGGCGCATAACGGAACCTACCATATGTTTTCCACGTGTTATCGAGCTATGGGGAGACGGGGAAAACACATCCCCGGAGAACAAAGTTAGACCTTCTCCGTGTCCGTTATCTTTCCACGTCTGTCGGACATTGTCCAACATAGTTGCAAACTTGGCGACGTTGATTTTTTTCTGGGGCTTCTGTAGGTGAGACTAGATGTCCCTAAGACGACCAACTAGAAATACGTACATTGTTAGGCTGGGGTTGGTCAGATACTTTGTAGACATCATTGAAGTGCGCAATTTTGATTTCTGTTTTCCTGACTTCCACTATTTTTACATCACCGCTCGCCTTTCGCCATTCTGCAATCCCTTCGATATACTGCTTCCACGTAAGTCCTCCGATGCCCGTAACAATCAGAGGCACCCCTGTTATAATAAAAGGTCAAAATACTCCGAACTTACTGAAATATAGGCTGCAACGTACCTTTCTGTACCAGACCCTCGTCACTCTCTTTGTTGAAGTACACCTGAACTCAATCAGACACTGGCTCAAAGACAGAGGTTAGACGTACCATTTCCTCGTAGTCGCATTTCTTCCAACCGCGAATCTTATCAAAGGCTTTTGTTTTGGGATCTGCGCTTATGTCAATACCCGGCGTTGACATCGGATACATTCATCATCCTTACCGTGCTTTACCTCGTCATAATCGACCATGTGAATGATCGATCGACTTTCCTCAGTTGCTGGATCGACAGCGTGAAAGTAATATAAGGCTCTGTCGCATCTGAAGTAATACTAATCAGTGAGCGTCAGTTTCGTCTCAGAGGCGCCCCGTACAATTCTTTGCTATCAGCGCTCGAGACAATAGCCAAGGATGCCCCATTTTTCTTGACATCGTGGATTATCTTAGGGATATCGTCATAGAGCTTTATCGTGTTCTGGTGATTACTGCGTAATTATCGCTTAGCTTGATAAAATCCTCGACATATGGGCTGATCACCTTTTATCTCGTAGCAGATGAGCATCAACACGCTCTATGTTATTGGCAAGCTTCGCGCTCGCTTTGGGACCTTTTCCCCAAATATCGTCGCGAAGATTTCCCGAGAATAGCACACCACTAGAGTACATTAGTAGGAAACGTTATTCCAAGAACACTGTTCTGTTCACCTAGTTTCAAACGCGATCACTTTTGGAAACATGACAGTAAATGGATTGAGTACAAGAGGAATCTGTGGAGTTGATTAACTATAACGTCTGGAGCCGTCGGGATTATATTGGCGAGCGCGGTAAAACATGCGCGGAATGAACCCTGATATACGAAAGGGCATTCCCTCGATGATCTGTACCAGAGCGTCTGATCAAGATCACGATCGAATCAAAATAGATCAGTTCATAAAACTCTAATGCTGTAAAGTTTCATTTGTTGACGTGTGACCTTCAAAACGGAAAGAAGGCTTGATTGAGCGCCTGAATAACGTGTGAGCGCCGACGGCGAATGATTAATGAGGAACTGACCCTCCTATCGGCTTCCCTTATCTTTACAAGGTGCGATAACCCCACTGAACCTCAATCAGTCGAGAAGCGGGGTATCTTGCCTGATTGAACGAGCCCACACTTTTCTCAACGTGGAGTGCGATCTATTACACCGTAATTTCTTTCTAATACGAAACGGAAGGATAAGTCTCTGGCCGCTATGCTGTAGAGCTTCCGCCTGTCAAATTCTTCGATCAAACGTTGTGCCTAGCGAGCGTGAGCAGCACTATTGGAACCCTGTTGAAGTCGTATAGCCAGTACTTTCCCCCTGTTCCGTCGGATAATCAATATCAAGCCTGTTATCACCTCCATATATCCTGTGGGGAATTAGGTTACCTCCCTAGTAACATCGAGAACCTTCCTCACGATGTTCCTGTGGCCATTTCAAGTTCACACCGAGACGAATCCTTCATCGTCTACTACTTTAGTCAAGTAAGCATTGGAAAAATAGGTGATTTTCGCCCAACGGGGTTGTCGCGTCCAAGTTTATAGCACCCCCTGTACGTCGTTTTTGAGATGAGGGGGCAGTGTGAACTACTGATCCGTCAAGTACTACCATAAGTACGGCGCGGCGCGGCGGTCACAGTTAGGTCTGTACTCGAAGTCGATGTCACCGTGCGGGTTAATGAGCGCCCGGGCTGTTGTGCATCTCACTCGGGGAGGCATCCAACACTGACGATGGCTTGTCGGTTGCGCTTACGACATGGGCATGGTAGACTCGAAGTTAGACACGTGAGATAAACACACTAACGTCGGAGCTGCCCGAGAGTATGTGTAGTTCTAACCTCGTGTTACGTTGCATGAAAATAGCAATTGATATGCCAAAGACGTAACATACAAACTACGCGCGTAACATGATTGCGATATGTAAAAGTAGGGTTACAAGTCCCATGTTATGTAGTCATGTGTCCCGTAACTGATGCTGCGGGGGGCGGTCTTTGTGGGCAGACTCCTTCACTGTAGCTTTAGGAAGCACTATGTTCCATTCTTTGATCCGGTTTTCATAGCGAGAATACCGACCATTAAGTCTCTGCTGTAGTTGCTCTTCGCTCAGCGGTATGGTTAGAAGGAGGGCGTCCTGGACTTGAGTATATACCACCATCTCGTTGAACCTTTTTTCCCCATCAGGAAGATGCATGCCACCCATTTGAAAATGACGAGAGAATAGTATGTATGGCGTCTGAACACCCCACTGACTCGCTACCGTTTGATCACGGCTTTCTTGCGTGCGGGCTATTGCGCGTTGGTTATGACTTTTGACGCCTGTGTGCTTCAGTTGGGATTCGGGAACCCATATCTGCGGTCAAACTAAGGACTTGACACGTTGGAAGTTGAAAGCTCGCTCACCTTGTTGGTTGCTATGAATAGATCCATATCCCTGACCCACAGCTCACAAACATATGTCTGGCTATGCTTGAACGCGTCCTTCTTGATCCATTGCCGAAAATACTGGGCTCTATGGGCAACAATTAGCTGATAATCAATCACAAGAAAGGCGTTGAAAAGGAGAAGCAATCTTACACGGCGGGATTATCTGTTATATAAGATGCATAACCCCATCTGGCTGACTCCTCCATATCAACTCTGTTCTTTCCTTGCGTCAGAAGCTTAATTGTGTCCTCGTCCATCCCCGAATAGCCAATCATCATCTTTTTGGGATATTGTGTCAGCTTCTGACCTAGATACGGACTTCTGATCTGGTGGCAGCGCCGCCAGTGATCAATGCCTCGCTTGTATGTCTCTTCTGTTAAGCCTCGCTTATCCGGACACAAGTGGAAGGTCACGCCTGCCATAGTTTGATCAGCACGAAATAGAACCTTTAGTACGTTTACACACCCAAGATTACCCGCACGATGTTGTTGGCAGCATCGTCATCGAATAAAATCTGAGTTCAATAGGTTTCGACAGCTCGATGGAGTAGACACAGAGCTATACCTACCATATCCGAGTAGTCAAGTTTTGACCACTCCTTGATCTTGCGAAAGTGAACAATCTTCTGCTCTGATGAGACGCCAAATTCATTTTGGAAATCATCAATGTCACAATCTTAAATCACGCTTACCTTCATAGATCTCATCATATTTGACCATATCGATTATAGAGCGGTGCTGTCCCGACTTAGGATCCACGGCGGTGAAGTGGTGCAGTGCTCTGTCATACCTGTGTATGGATATTAATCATCTGAAGGGGTCGGTCAATGTTCAGACCAGTGAACATACAAAGGTTTGCTTGTGCTTCGAGCCACAATGGCGAGTATAGCCCCGTGCTCCAAGATGTCAGTGATAATACTGGGAATAGCGGGGTATAGTTCAATAGCCCGATTATGATGCCTTTGTGGTACGCATAAGGGGTTACAAGAGCCTGGTATGAGTCTATGATGCGCACATGCCTTTTATCCCGAACCTTCAGGGCATTCTCTTTCTCAAGGCAATCTTCTAGAGGAGTGAGAGGGTCGCGACCTTTTCCGAACCTCCTAAGGTCAACATCGCTCCTGAATATTGTCCAGCTAATGCAAGTAAGGCCACGCAAGAAGGAGATGTATAGGACCCGAACATACTCCGTGTCGAGGGCAACAAGTTTCGGATACATAGTATTTTTCCCGAAGTAAGAGCGCGTGGTACAGGAGATGGGAATTCTTGTTCTACTAGGCTTAAGCATTCGAACTTCCTTTATATATTGCGAAGGATAATCGTAGTCCATCGATTCTTCACTCTGAGAGTTTGGGGTAACTGCATCCTTCAATCAACTGGTGCCTAAGGAAGGAATGATTGGTTTGCTCTATCTCATGACTTGTTTGCAACGTGCCACATGCAAGATAGCTACATCTCTTTCGAAGTCCCTGATACGTAAAGAACCGGACCTCAGGGCAACAGAGAGCATGCAGCTAAGCCAAGAATTAACCACTTACCCCGTGTATTTTTCTGAGCGTCTCCAGACTTGCAACGTTGGAAATTCCACGGTTTTATTGAATAGTGTAGCAAAGAAAGATAAACCTGAACACCGACATTAGTTTGTTATATACGATAAACTCCCACCCAACGTCAGGTAAGCCAGGCGCTTGGGACGACTGAAATCCCTCGATGAATGCACCCGTTAGCCCGTTGCCTTTTTTTGAACCACGCACACATTCACCGAGTTCGTGTCTCCTAAGGTCTTTCGTACCTTTACTGTGCTCACCGGTTACATATCAAGGTTAGTTTGAGGCTTTCACCAAAGGCGCAAGGTCCCTTTAAGGTTTCACCGGCACCCACCACCTCGCGTATCCCGGAACGTTCTTATCAAGATTAATAACGACTCTTATCCGTGCGCCTCTTTCATTATTTATGCCGGCGCTAACTTTCATATGCATGCGCCCAAAGAGCACCTTCGATGCATTGAACACGGGATCTCACTTCACCCATCACACTTCAGAATTTGGGCCTTGATAGCGGTGACGGAGATTCATGATATCGATATGAGATCGCATCAAACGCAACATATGCAACGAGGCTGTCCAGATTGGCTTCTTGATTCGGGTGCTGCCGTACAACCCGACAGTAAGGCTGATAGCTGTTAGTGGCAGACTTTCTGAACGTGTTTCACGACGTTCTCGTACTTCGTAACATGTGCTGCAGACAGTGGCGTCAAACTTACCCCTTTCAAAATGCAAAATCCGCGGACCAGGGACGTCTACTTCACAAAATGATGCTTGTTCATCACGATGTTCTGTATGAAACAAGCCAAGACTTCTTCCATCATTGATATTTCCAATGTAGAGAATGACCTGAGGTTCGACGCGTGTTGCTCATTACACAGCTATTTGGGCGAATTTCCCGGAATATCTACTTTGGCCACTGATACCAAACGCTTGGAAGCACGAGCCCTAATGTTCAGCCTGTTCGTAAAGTTATTGAGAGATTGACAGTCTAACTAGGACATTCCTGTATTTAGGTACTCTTTTCATCACCACATACTCGTAGCAATTATATTCATGGGATTATGCGCACTCTGATCTCGCCGAGCCATCCCATGAGACGAGAGGAGCGCCCTGCTGCGTGGTCAAATTTTAGGGCGAGTACACACTTTGCGATTCCCTATCATTCCGGCAATATCTCAGACTTTGGAACGTGATATCTGTGGTACGGTTCGACACAGTGGTTCCATGAAGTGCTTCTTACACGCCAGCGCTTCTCGTGAAAAATGACGTTCAACGTTCAGAAGAGGTTTGCCCAAGTGCGTGACTGACACATTATTGGCGATCCCAGGGCAGCTGATATCGGGTTTTTTAAACAGTGGATCACGTTCCTTCTGATTAGGATCTAGATAACTTGAAAGGAGAAGGTTTTTGGCTGCAAATACCAAGTACTGTACACGTGTAACTTGCCGCTCCCTTCTAGGCTGTGGTATAGCTCTCCTGTCCTCTATCCAAATACTGGGTCGACTTTCACTGGAAATCCTATCATAGCGCTCACGATGATCATCACCTCTGAAGCGACCTTCAGTGGCCCAGAATATACAGTTGATAATTACCGCTCATCGGGATCTAATTATCCATTTGCTACTAATGCGGGTATCCAAGTTTCCGGACATTCACTTTGATGGTCACATCTTCAGAACGGAACTGTGCATCTTCCAGTAGGGTACTTTCAAAAGGTCCGGCGGGGTTTATATGGTCCATCTTTTTGTGGTCAGTTGTGCAGCACACCGGTACCTGGTCCAGTATTAGAGACCAGGCATTTCTCCGGCCCCGAACGTCAGTTTGATGTCTCACACGCCTTACCCCAAACTCATCGGACTAGACACAGAGTAATTTCGTTTTTTGCGTAACGCTATGTGCACTCACATTTGTTAGGTGGACCCTTTTCTGGGGTTGGCTCAACCCAGACCAGTACGGCAAAGGTCGCAAGGCTGTCAATCCAGTGGAGGATAACTTGGAACCTCACGGCGACTGGACAGTTAGGGATAAAAGGTGGGCAACGAACATCATAGCACCTGTTCTCGTTCCTCATCGCCAATGGTTGCACGTAGTAACCATGCGCATTACATAAAGCTGTATCACGACGTTCCAAAGGTCATCAACGATATACTGAAGCATGGAGCGGAGATCGCCATCGTTTCCAACAGCGGAAACAAGGCAATGTAAATGTCCTTTTAGCTCCTTAGAACCATTCGTATTAACAGTCTTCAGGGTCGATCGTGCTTTGTATTACTTCAAGGCTACCGACAAGAAGGGCTCTAAAAAGTCCATTATCCACCTTGTCAAGTACGACGAAGTGTATTGCGCAAGTGAGTTTTCTCGGCGAAGACAATTTGGCGCCCGTGTAACTCATTTCTGAATAGATTCAAAAGTAAATCATTTCAAAAAGATCAAGAATGAAAGCGGAATCGATTACTCTGATATGGTATGTGCAGCTCCTCCGACGGGGTATGTAGGCGTGTTGAATCGCACCGTGCACCTATAGCTTCTTTTCGACGATGAGGCAGTCAACAACGATGTTAGACACGAGCTCGGTTCGTAGCGCTTCGTCAACGGCTAACCAGATCACTCAAGTATTAGTAGGCGTCACTTTCCAGGTTTCGAGGGATCAAAAAGGACTATCTTGGGAGAATTATCAGGGTGGTATAGCGTTGTGGCGGCGTGCAAAGTCTATCAGATCACCTTACAGGGGCCAACAACTATCACTTTACCCCCGAGCGCGCCGCATAGGATTTGTGGGTGTTGACGAAGGCACCCTACACCTTTTAGAAAAAGGGGAAAGTCGCGTGGACACTAAAGAGTCCGCAAGGTGGGGTTACGCAACATACATTACTGACAATCCCGCCATGTGAGTTCGTCAGCTTGTCTTTAGTCGTGCTAGCATTAATCCCGAGAAAGGGCAAAGTTCTTCGCGAACTGGATCAAAGAAGATACGTTTGGTGCGCAAGCACTTACATTTGTATGTGAAGTTTGGGTCAGGGACTGGGATCTTTGGCAAAAGGTTCCGAAGGCAAGTGCGAGCCGAAGTTCATCTAGAGAAGACATTGACAATGGTCGTCAGATATGGTATCCCGAAGATGGCAGCCACATGACAGATAATAAACACTGGGAGCCCAAATCTATAGCGTGGAGGCAAGAGGACCGCGACGATTGGGTTGCTGCTATGCATGTGCAAGCACCGTACGTGTTCTTTTCTCGGCATCACTGGATGGAGGGTATGCCCATCCCTCGTGGCCAGCGATTCAACGAGATGGTGATCTACAGACAAGTTCAGGATGCTCTTCTACTTACCTTTAGGTTAAGCGATCGTGACTTAGACAAACAGATAAAAGGTGGATATGTTCCCTATGATAAACAAATCAAACCTTGGGACATCGTAGTTCCAAAAGATACGATCAAGGACTTCCGGAAACATGGCGAATCTTCTCTACTTGCGTAGATAGCACATATCATGCTACGTAGCTAGTACGTGCACGCGATGTAGTCCCTTGAATTATATGCCATGGGTGCTCACCACTCAACCCTCAAGCCTGCAAAATTCGAACCGAGAAACATACAGCCTCGTTGACTCTGGAGCCGCGCACCGCAAAACGCACAGTCACCTGCGACTCCCGGACCGCACTCCCGCGGACGAGACAGCCCCACTAGTAGTTCATCATGGCTGCATGCAAGGCGAGCGTCCTGGGAGTCATCACAAGGGCAAGTTCGTGGCGCTACCTACACGCTGGGAGGAAGGTATGAAGGCCTATGTGTGTGGTGCGAGATGACGACGCTAACGCCAGCCGATTCATCGGAGTGAGCGCGATTCTCCAGTCTCGCGGACTCGCCTTGGACAGACGGCATCTGGCAAATCGCATGTGCGACTGAGTCAGATAAGGACTGTGCCTCGAGATTAGGACCCGAGGGACTGTTTCGCCCGAATTGGGAAAGTAATGAAGGGTTACGAGCGCGGTGTTGTTGCGCGGGATAGCTAAATCGCATCTGGTGGCCCATATCCATATCCACCCCTGTCTGCGTCCATCCACGGTCCTCGTATTGTGGTGAAGCCATCGGCGTCCACGGCGCGGTCCAAAAGGGCCTGCTACCGTTTGGTGTCTCCGACGCTGTGTTGAAGGTCAATGGTGCCGACGATGTGGAGTGGTGTATTGAAACGTGCTGGTTCTCTTCAGTTGGGTGGGTGAAAAGGGGTTGTGAGTCGAAGCTCACTTGTTATGTAGCGCTGTTTTTGATGTCCGTCGTCCGACGCGAAAATGATGGAACAGTAGAGATGGCGTGGTGCGGGGTGCGTCTCTACCTTCTTCCCGTCCCTTTGTGGCTGCCCGTAAGGCAAACACTGGCAATGAAGACCTAGTGGGTCATTAGCCTTGCGCTTACCCTTCGCATCGGAGGCGGGCTGAGTGGCGTTTGATGCGCCGTCCGCAGCTGCGAATCACACAGTCATAGATAGCTGCGAAGTGATTCAGTCAGTGACCTACGGGTACCAGTATGGAGATCGGTCCATGTACATTTGACAAGCTTTGGTGGGTATGGTTCACGGGCATGTACAAGATGGACCGATTGGCGGATTCGGTGTATTGGCGTGTAATGCCTATGGGTATAACACACCAGTACACCGAACCTTCGTGGAGGACCCATTTGATACCAACCATACGGGTGGAGAGTTGGAACCCTTGGCCATCTGAGTCCATTGGTGTTCACTCTGCAGGTACTCCTGTTTGTCTGCAGCATTGAGTAAACGCGTAACGTCAAGAAACATTATCATGACAACCGCAATGTGTTGTCACAGGTTCACCAGGCGAAAGGGGCTCTTGCATTTAGAACGTCAAGTTGATGCTGTTGGAGAATTCCGAAGGTGGTTCTGAGAAAGGTGGAGTGAGCGAGGGAAGCAGCATACATGCGCGGGAACGTCGACGCCGGCGCACGTCAGCCCATTTTCTTTCCCACATTCGAGCGCGGCACGTCAACGTCAACGTCAACGCCGAGCTTACCCAACCCATCGCCCTTGTCAAGCCCTTGTATCCCCCCAGCCACATACATACCTCTTCTTTAGTTATGATGACAGACTTCTGTGCAAGCTCGCACTAGTCGGGAAACCTCCTTTTGGCGTAGCGTTTCGGAGGGAATTCATTCGTCTCGTCTCCGTTCTCGACCCACGGAGCTCTTCTCATATGCGCATATAACAGACAAAACTTACGTATCTCTCTTTATCTTACAAGGATGGAAGATCCGAACTTGTGCATCTCCAAGGTGCAGGACGATGAGGTCGGCGACGGGCTAATGTGCGTTTATGTACTCACCGCGGAGCTGTTGGAGGAAGCAGAGAAGGTCGTTTCGATGAAGATCCACCCGTAGACGATTGTGGATGGGTTTAGGATCGCGAGTAGGGCGGTGCTCGAGGTGTCGGAGGAGCTGTGGTGGACCATTCGTGCGTCATCCATTATATACCAGGGATGTGACTCCTTCGCGCGTTTTGGCGCTGACTTTGCCTGGCTTGTAGCTCGCATCCCTCATGGTTTCGGCAGGATCTGTTCAGTATCGCGCGCTTGACCCTCTCCAAGGTTCTCTCGCAAGACAATGGTTGCTTTCGCCAACCTCATCGCCGATGCCGTCCAGCTGAACGTTAGCATTACGCCATATCATCCTTTCAGCTGTTTAACACTGGAGTCGTCTTTAAGGCTCGCCAGAGATTGTCGGAAATGTCGCGGGAACGGACTCATACCTCGACAAAGGTAAGCCCTTCCGTCCCTCCTCTACCTCAGCTTCATATACCTCTCGCTCAGCTAACACTACCCAGGTTTCACACCCGACAAAATGATCACTATTAGCTCGGTAAAACGGGTCGAGAACGCGACCATTTTGATTGCTAGCACAATGGAGTAACGCCCTGGAGTCTCTTCGCCCGCAGAGCTGCGCCGATGGGGTTGTTAGCCATGGATGCAGACGTGATCAAGGTGTTTGGTACGCGGACGAAGCTGGATGGGACGGGATGGCTGGCTGAACTTGAGCAGGCGGAGAAGGTATGCCTCCTAATCTTCACTCTTCTGCACCTATCCCTCCGTGTCCTTGGCAACCGCTAACCTACCCCTTTGTTCTCTCCCTGCGTTCTCATGTTTATCCATTCATCACTCTGACCCCTTGGCAAACGCTCACCCGTGCTTCTCTACACACCCAGGGAAACAAAAATGAAAGCAAAAGTGGATGCACTCGCGTAGCAATGCATCAACGTGGCGGTGGCCGACGTCGCCGCTCGCGTGGTACACGGTAAACAGGCGATCGCGGTCGAGGCGATCTTGGGTGCGCTGAAGCAGATCCCGACGATCATGGCGGATAATGTGGGGTATGACTTGAGTGAGCTTGTTGCGATGAGAGCGGCGCATTATGAGGGGAAGATGTATGCTGGGCTCGGTTTGTGTTTTTCTTGGGGCTTGGACTTTGACGGATGTATCTGACGATTGCAGGAAACAGACATGGACGAGGCGAAGGTGGCGAGCGTCCGCGAGCTTATCATTACGCAGAGCTACAAGCTCAAGCGACCGTTGGTTCTCATCGCGACTGAAGCTGCTGAGATGATCATTAGGTGCGGTGTCTGCCATCCATCAACAGCGTGTAGCATAGTTGCTAACATCGGGGCCTTACAGGGTGGACGGTATCCTGTGCACGTCACAGCGGAGACGATAGGACGCATAGGAGAGGGTTATTGACTAGTTGAGGCAGCTTTCTTGTGCATACTCACCTCCAGTGAATGTTTTTCACTCGCTGCGCAAAATATCCATTCATGTGATACTGAAGGAACTCATCTGAAGAGGCACAGAAAATCTAACACTTGAGAGGTTCCACAGGTGATTTGAGATCAATAGTCTTCGAGAATGCAGCATAGTACTGGCGAAGAGCGAATTGTGTGTCCAAGGGCCTGACGTACCTTCCGCGGCGTGCTTCCTGAGATGCACATCAAAACAAGCGCGATCTACCCCTCATCCGCGTTCAGATCTTCGTCGTCAGACTCCATGATGTCGTCCTCGTCTTCAGATCCGACCATGTCGTCGTCCTCTGATACGTCAGATTCGTCTTCGTCTCCAGATTCTTGCATATCGTCGCCCTCTGAACTATCCGATTCCCCTTCACTGTCGCTTAGATCCACATCCGTGCCCATCTCCTCATCCTCTGAAGATTCTTCATCATCCACGTTCACAGGAAGCCCCAAGCGGAGGCGAGAAACGATCACCTCTGTCCTACTCCACCGCTTTCTGTAGCGCACCAGGTCCTGCTCCCACTCCTCCGCGTCGTCTTCATACTCTCTCGAATACTTCGAGCTCCACGCGACTATCCGGTAGAGCTTCGGCATAACAGCGAACAACAGCCTTGCGACAGCCTCGGGCTCGTTGATTTTCGCGTTGCCGACGCGGAGCGTGCGTATGAAGCGATTCACTGGCATGCCAGCATATATCGCGTGTCGGAGCCCTTCCGGCGGGGGCAAGAGCTCCTCAGTCGTCTCCGCGCTAATCTCGAGCCCGAGGAAGCGCAAACGCCGACAAAGGCTCAGTACGCTCAGGAGACCGTAGAGCGTAACGAGCGACGTGGGCCCCTCGGAGTTCATGGCCCATCCGTATTCGGCGTTCAAGGAGAGGTTCTCAAGGAGGGGAAATGCTCGCGCGAGCTCGATGATCTCTAGGTCGCTGAGGAGCAGGTTGCACATGACGGTCACATCCAGGGTGCGGAGCTGGCCGAACTTGAATAGGGGCCGGAATGTCTCGATGGTCATGGTGCGCCCACGGATCTCGAAGTCGTAGTCCTTTGGTATGGGGACCTCGCCGCCGTGCTCGAGTATGCGTATTCTGGTCATTTGGCGGTTTCCGTTCGCGAGGACCCTGAATACTTCCTCCATAGCTTGTGAGCAGAGGTTGTCCGAAGCTAGGAGTGTCACGTCGACGAGTGATAGGCTCATTTCTGTCGCGAACGCGATGAACGCGGCGAAGTTGACTGAGCAGACCTCGACGTGCGTCAAACTGGGGAACGGGGCAGTGGTCAGCCGAGACCTGATGTCGGCAAATGCGTTGTCCGTGGTCAGCCCGACACACAAGTCTTGGAGAGTTGGCAAGCGTGCGATGTGAAGCAGGGCCTCGTCCGTCAGTTCCGAGCAACGCAGCGAGGTCAGGTGGTTCCAGCAGACGACAGATCGTGAAAAGGCCGCAGTACCGCCCTTGACGTTCGACCCAAAGCCGATGTGCGCGATCTTGAGACGTGGACACCAGATCCCGATGTTGGCGAGGATCGACGCGTCGCGTTTCTTGCCCCAGCGTGGATGGGCTTCGTAGCGCAGCGACTCTAGGCTGGGAGAAAGGAACATGCGGATGTGAGATCGATCGCCGTCAGATCTTATTTGCCATTCCAGGTGCTTCAGGCTCGGTAGTAGAGGGTGCATGTCTCTTGGGGCGAGACCGAGCTCCCAGAGGATGTCTGAGGAATCCCAGCCGTTCGATATATGGTAGAAGCGGCGGACGCGAGGAGCGTTTTTCTTAATGATCTCCCAGTCCTCTGGAGTAAGAGGACGTGTATAAGTCTATGAGGACTTTGTATCAGTACCATGGAGTGCTAATGCCCAGCTTACCACCGTGCTCTTTGACTGAGGCACATCTGTCTGGGAAAATTAATACTGTTAATTACAGAAGTAATGTAAATTACACACTTCAATGGCAATAAACGGGTCATCGTTGATCTTCCATGCGTTCGATGGAAGACACTTGACGAAAGCATCGAGACTGGCGACGTTTTCCCAGAGCGCGTCCAGTGCCGACTCGTTGAATGCCCGGCAAGTTCTCGCTAGTGCAGACAGGGTGCCACCATTCTTGGCGCCCTCCAACCTGTCGAAGCCTTCGTTCAAGCATGCGAATATGTGCTCAAGGATCTCGGTGATGAGCAACGCGCGATGCATGATGAAGGATGAGAAAAAGAAAGCGACGCGTCTCGCTTGGAAGATGCCGGAAATCTGACATGTTCGGAAGCAGTAAAGTGCTTAACGTGGAAAGTTTTGCCACAGACGTGTATTTGGTGTTTTCTCAACGTGCACTCAGAGCGTCCGTGTACGTCTTGTTACTGCTTTGCATGGCGAGACAAGTTCAATTGCTATCGCGGGCTGAGAAATAAAAGATACACATAAAGTATCAAACACAAGTCGACCCAGCCCCTAATTCTCCTCGTTGCCCTCATCTTCTGATTCGTCTTCATCCCTCCACTTCTTCAGTACCAAGGCTTTCCCCCACTGGCCAACTTCATCTTCTTATTCCTCACTGACATCTGTATTAACTATTGCCATCAATTCGACAAGAGTTTGGTCGTCAGGGTCTGCATTCGCGATATCTCTTGAGCGGAGTCGACGAACTACGAGCTCGGCATTGGCCCATCGCCGCATGAATCGCCTCCGATCCCTTACCCAACCTGGATCGTCATTGCGCATATGGCGGGGTTTCCATCCGTATATCCTATCGAGATTAGGCATGAGGATAGACAGATATCTTCCTACGAGAAATGCGTCTTTGATTGGCGAGTTCCCAACGTAGAATGCTTTCAAGTCTGTGGCTTTGGGCATTATGAGTACCGGAGTGCTCTCTTGTGACGTTTTGGGCGAGGGACATGTGATTATGGGATCCGTTGCTGTAGCATCAAATTCGATGCCGAGTTTCTGCAGTTTCGGGCAGAGTCTAATCACAGAAAGGATACCGACAAATGTAATGGGGGACGGAGACTCCCATCCGTAGTTGGCGTTGAGGAGTAGAACTTCGATTAGGGGAAATGAATACGCGAGCACCATGATGTCAAAATCGCTGAGCACCATTGAACAGCAGAAGGTCACGTCAAGGACGCGCAATTGGTGGAATTTGAACAGCGGTTGGAAAGTTGAGATAGTAGCAGTACGTCCCCGGATGACGTGGGAGTAGTCTGGCGGGATGAGTACGTCCTGGTCGCGGCAGCTGAGTATCCTCAGGTTACACAGTGAGCGGTTTCCTTTTGCAATTTCATCGAAAGACTCCTTGGCACTTTCCGAGCAATCATTGTCTGTGATCCACAATTCGACATCTACAAGAGACAGCGCCATCTCAGTGGTAAACGCAATAAACACTTTCAAGTTCAGTGCGATGACTTTGAGAGTTGTTACGTTCCCAAATGGGATACCATCAACCTGAGACCTTGTGTCGGCGAAGGATGCCGTGGAGTATAGCGTGATAGATAGGCCCTGCAGTGTTGGTAACCTGGCAATATGAACGAGCGCCTCGTCAGTCATTTCCCTGCAGTGTAACACAGTCAACCTCTTCCAACAGAGGACAGATCTTGAGAAGGCATCCGTTCCTCCTTCGACATCATTGGAGAAGCCGACAGTAATTTTCTTGAGGTCCGGACAGAAAGTGCCGATAGCTGCGAGCATGGAAGCATCTCCCTTGCGCCCGGAGAGCGGGCCGATGATGTACGATAGAGATTCAAGGGTAGTTGGAAGGAACATCCGCAGGTACGGTCGAAATTCTGTAGGCATGGCGACCCAATTTAGGTGCTTTAGGTTGGGAAAGAGATGGTGGCTATCGGACGTCGCGAGGCTAAGCTCGAACAGTGCATCCAAATAAGACCTATCGAGTAACGTCATGTGGAAGCGACGCACGCGAGGCGTGTACTTTCTGAGGATTAACCGGTCCCCCGCAGTCAAAGGGCTGGTGAACGTCTACACCATGATAGTTGTCAGTAGTGAACTCTAAGGGACGATCGAATGAGCGACGGTTCATACCGGTATGTGCCTCGTTTGTCCGTTCCACTCCAGCTTGTTCAAGTCAGCTTGTACGATTCGAGACAAAGGAGAGACTTACCCTAGTTGCTTCGATAAATTTCCACGCTTCATATGGCAGGCACTTGATGAAGGGATCAAGGCTCGCGATGTTTTCCCAAAGTGCATCAAGAGCAGGCTCCTTAAACGTCTTGCAGGTTCGTGCCAATGTGGAGAGGGTGCGCTCGTTACCACTGGAACCTCTTATTCTATAGAACTCGTCACTGAAGCAGTGAAAGATGTGTTGAAGTATCTCGGCGATGAATAAGGCACCATGCATGGTGCGTGACGGTTGGCAGTGGCACGGCGTGAAGGATGAAAAGGAGCTGTTTCCTCGGATAGGGGTGCGTCGTCGTGTATTCGGGATGCTGACACTAACCCTAACCCATTTCATCTAAACTCAATGGCAGCCACTGTGGTGACGATGTGTACACGAAGCCATGGGTAAGTTTACCACGGTATATATGTCTACAATACCCTTCCCTATCCACGGATACCTTATTTCCGTGCTTCTATGCACTCTATGAATTATTTGTGCCACAGTCGTATTCAAGCAGCTGTAAGCCGTAACCCAATCAATATTAGCCATCCTCATGAACCAAGGTCACACTTTGCAGAAGGGCTTACTAGGTATAGCCTCCGTGACGCCTTTGATCCCTAGCTCCTCTGCAAGAATCTGCAGAGCGACATGGCGACTGTGATACCGTGCCTGCTGGAACCCGCCCAGGAAGATCCACAAGCCTTGCTGTCCCGAGGGGCGCCACGTGCGGCGCAGCTCGCCGACGCTGTCGAGCCCCCACACGGGGCCTACTTTAGCTGCAATATCGGGGCCCAGGAGCGCTTCGATGCCTGCAGTAGTGGGATAGTATCCAGTGCTGAATCATATTAACGAGTTGATTAGAAAGGGAGTATGCTTAGGAGTGCATTGTGGAAGTGGACGTACGCCAAGACGACGACATCGGCCTCGAGCCTCGAGCCGTCGTTTAACACGATGGCATTCTCCTCAAAATGCGAGGGCTCGGCTCCCTGCTTCACTTTGACGTGCCCGTCGATGATGAGCTGGCCGATGCCCGTATCGAGCACTAGGAAGTGTTACGTCAGTCATCGGTACTTCTTCATCTCACGGTATAACCAGAAATTCAAGTCAGACTCACTCGTGCTCCCCGCCAGCTTCTCATACCCAAAAATGAGCGCGCCCGCCTTGATGCCCTTGTACTCCCACGTGAGCTTCATCCCCTTCTCCTCGAGCGCCTTATGCAGCTCCGCGTCTTCCTTTTTGGACTCTTCAAGGGTCTGCTCTGCGACCTGCAGCATGAGCCGGCGCCGCATCGAGTCCATCATCAGGTCTGCATCGTTGAGGTCGCGGTTCTCCGGGTAGGCCGGGCCGAAGCGCGTCTCGCTCCACTTGAGTGACGCGATGCACGTCGCGCTGCGCTGCACGAGCGTCGTCGATGCCGCACCCTTGGAGACAAAGTCCTGGCATACGTCTGCAGCTGCATTGCCCTGCGAGAACATAAGCATAACCAATATTCTACATATAATTAGAGAGTGGTCTTTCCCCACCGAAATGCGAGCTTTTGATTGGCTGAAATCCTTAAACCTGATTGGCCCGAGACAAAGCTTATATCTGATTGGCTGCTGTCGGTGCCGCGTCTCGGCTATCTTGGGCCATCACCTTTTTCGCTCTGTTTTCTCACGGCGTGCCGCCGCGTCTCGCGTCAGCCTTCTCTCCCTTTGTGAATTTGTCACTACAGGCAAACACCAATATTACCTGCCAGAATATCGATCAATTTTACATATAATGAGTGAGGTATTAACATACTCTGACACATACAAGCGATCTGAGTGCCTAATGTTGGGGTTGATCCAGGGTATGTGCGAGTGAATTTGAACTGAGGGTTGTAAATGGGTGAAAATCAAGTGAAAATAAGAAATACTATACATATGGGTGGACTGTGAGTTTCACAGGTGAGATGTGAGGCACACGGGTGGACCAAGGTATTATTGCATCCCTCATCATAAAGGTTTTCACTGAGCAATCTTCCGCCAGAAGTTTAATTGATAACTGCTTATTACAATATTAGCTCTATTATGTCTACAAAGTTTTGTTGAAAGCCCTGCCATGTCTTGCATTAATCTCAAGGTAACTTTGTTTGTGACACAATGGATGCTTTCTATAATTTCTTTCAGCATTACACTCAATCTGAGAGCTTGAAATCAAGGGGGTATATATATGTTTATGCGAGGACTACCAGTCAGTCACCCAGGTAATGATCCAAGCAATAGAGTGTGCAGATTGCATGGGGAGTATCGTGGTAATCTGGATGTTCAAACAAAACTCGGTGGGGAGAATGAGTGATGTGCCAGGAAATGAAGCTGGGTAGAGTACACATGACTCGGGTAACATATCAATCAGTCAAGCAGTAGTACAGGTGTCCCAGGGTAGCGTTTTTTTACAGGTGGTAGTCTACATATAAGATATGGATAATTTCTTTGCCAGTGCTTTGAGCTCTGTGTCCCGTGGCTGCCCACGGGTCCTGCACCTAGTACAACAGTAAGCGAACATTGTCCAAGCCTAGAACTTTTAAAGATGGAAATCACGCACAGCGCCAATCACAACAACCTTCTTGCCTTTGTACTTCACAGCACCTGGGTGTAAGTCCGAGTGGTACATGTCGCCCTCAAACTTGTCCTGCCCCGGGATGTGGGGGATGTACGGCGCGCCGATGCCCGTCGCGATGATGAGGTGCTTTGGGTTGAGTGTCACCTCATTACCTGCGCGATTAACGATCACAGTCCAGCGCTTGGTCGCCTCATCAAACACGGGCGCGGGGTTGGACAGAAGGGTTGAGGATGTCCACACAGTGAGTTCTTGCTGAATGACATATGACTCCATGAAGTCCGCGAGCTTCGTACGGCCGATGTACTGGGGGAAGTTCCTGGGGTAGGATTGGTAAAGGACTGGGAGGTCGCGACAGGTTCATGAGGGTAACTCAGAGAAAGCAGATGAGTTTGGACGTACAAGAACTAAAGTGAGCTGCGAGATGAAGAGTGAGAGTCGGATATCTTGAAGTCACACGTCAATAATGCTAGCTGAATGAACACCATCAGAGATGAACTCACCGGTCACGCCAGACATCACCAACGCGAGGAGTCTTCTCGATGATCAAGGCCCGGATACCCATGCGACGGAACCGTGCCGCGACCATAAGCCCACACTGACCACCACCAACTAGATGAAAACGCATTATGAACATGCAGAAGGAGGGACATCGAGCCGCTTACCAATAAGGACAGTAGGATCACTCTCGATGGCCTCGACCTCCTTCTCCCTATCCTCCTCCCACGTTGTCATCTTCGTTGCATCCAGCGGAATCCCCCTCGGCCTCTCCGTTGGCTCCTCGTGGCCCACAAGCTTGTGCATCGCCGTATACACCACGAGCGCCTTGTACCCCTCCTGCGATGGCATAAGCCTGAAGAACCCCCTCCCTCGTGCCGAGGGCTCGCGCAGCGCGAAGCGGAACGCGCCCTGGACCCCAACGATCTCTGTTCCTGGAACGGGGAACGTGGAGGGGCCACCGAGTGTGATGTCCGTGTCAAGCGCGATGTCGTGCATGCTGACGGTAGAGAAGCGCGTGTCTGCACCGAGGGACTCAGAGAAGAAGGAGGTGAGGTTTGCGTGTCCTTCGACAGAGCGGAAATCCCAGGTAAAGCAGAGGACGTCTATAAAGGATAAACGTCAGAAGAGGTAGCATGAACCGGTGGAAGGGTGTATGCATACCGCGAAGCCACCCATTTGGGAGGAAATGCTTGACAAACGCGTCGAGGTTGCCGTCTACCGTGGCCTTGTTGAAACTGGTGATCCACTGGGTGGCAATCACGTACGCGTTGATTTCCTTAGATATCATGATGGAAAGTTATCAAAGTCCTTGTCTAGTTGATGAGGATGTTTCAAAAGGCGGGATGAAGAGACACAGGTCAACCAGCAGTCGCTTTTGTAGACGAAGGGAGGGCAATGATACAACGAGGTGTCCACATCGTTTGGCGAAAGAAGTCGGGTCTGCTCAGTAATAATGAGGATAAGCAGTTATTTTGGAATCATGATTGAGTATGATGGCGAGCAAGCCTTTGATGAGGAGAACTGGCGGTTGGTTTCGAAGATAAGCAGGAACACGCGATGACGAGAAATGCGTTACGCGCGACGCCATATATGGGCGAATATGCTGACGTAATGGAAAAGCCTTGGTCTCCTGGTGCCAGAGTTCCCACGACGCGGGGGACAGCTCGGTGCATTACTTAGCAAAAAGCGGGACACAGCTCGGTGCTTGACATATCAAGAGGCGTAGAGAGCTCAGAGAAGTGCCGGAGAGACGTTAGAGGTCGCAAACTCTATATGAAGGGTTGACGGCCAGCAAGGAGCTTACTTCTGCTGATAGCCTCTGTTCTTTACCGTCCTCATTTCAGAATATATGCTGACGGTCGCAATACTCCCATGAGCTATGTTGAAGCGAATTAGTGTATTGTAATAGTGCAGATGTTTCCCGCCCTGGGGTTGATTGAATTTAGGTGATAGCGTCAAAGAATTCCATCATGATCTACCACCGGCGGTACCAGGAGCCTGAGCGGTTGTGTTAAATAGTAACGGTAGCCCTCCATCTGAGGCCAGCTACTCAGAAAGAGTGACCATTGAACAAAAGAAAACCAGGCAGCGAATCCAAGCTAAGATTACAGGTACAAGAATGAAGCAAGACGGACTTGGGCTGAGGAGAAACAGAATATTGTCTAGAAAATCATGACAGGTTATCGGATGAAGCGAGGCTCTAAGCTAAGCAAGGGAGGAGCGGGACTGCACATCCGCTGCCCCAGGTATGTTAAACCAGTCCGCGATATCCCGCTCAAAGTCGATCTCCCCGTCCTGCCCGGGCATGAACATGTCGCCGAACGTGTCCAACTTGAAGTTGCCATCTGGGTCATCATGTTTGTGTCGAACATGTTGTCCATTGTATGGATGTTGTTGTCCGCCGATATTGTACTAGTTGAGGGAACCACATCCGTGGAGTTATCGCCGCAGTCTATAACTGAATAAACACCGGCACAAAGGCTTTGAATCATCACCTCCACGTCGTTCCATTGCTTCAGGAAGCGTTTACGGTCTCTCATCCAGTTCGCCTCGTTGCCTTCGTTCCGATAATGCCACCCATCGACACCTTCTAGATTGGGGAAGACCCGGTGTAGCAGTCCTGCCACCGCCCGAGGATTTTCAATCCGTGAATTGGCGACACTGAGGGAAATAAGGACTTTATTCAATGGTGTTGGCGCACGCTGGTTCTCTGCGAGTAAGGTGGGTGGAAGCTCCGTTTGGTCAGTCGCTGTCGCATCAAACTCGATACCAAGTTCCCAAAGATGCGGGCAGATATGTGCTACGGAGAAAAGACCGGCAAACGTGATCGACAATGGCACCTCCCAGCCGTGGTTGGCATTGAGAAGTAGATTTTCGAGGAAGGGGAATGAACGGCAAGTTCAATGATGAAGGCATTGGTGAGGATCATGGAACACCAAAGAGTTATATCAAGGACGCGCAGTTCCCTGAACCTCAATAACGGTCGAAATGTTGAAATTGTTGCAGTGTGTCCACGGACTACGTAGGAGTAACCAGGTGGTTTGAGAATATCTTCGTCCTCAACCTCCCATGTGCGGAGGCAAAGACTCCTCAGTGGACGCTTGCCCTTTGCGAGGGCCTTGAGAGCGTCGACAGCGCTTTCCGAGCAGTTGTTGTCAGCAACATCCAGTGTGACATCTACGAGTGACAGCGACATCTTGGTAGAAAACGCGACAAATGCATCAAGGTTCATGGCAACGACACCCAAGGTGGTCAGGTTTTTGAACGTCTTGCTCTCAAGTCGACGCTTGATGTCGTAAAAGGACGTTGTCGGTGATAATGTGAGGGATAGGTCCCGAGTGTTGTCAAGCCGGCAATGTGAGCAAGTGCTGAATCATTTATCTGCATGCAGTGTAGCGCAGTCAAGTTATTCCAGCAGCAAACTGATCAGGAGAAAGCCTCAAACTGTCCTTCATTGCCATAAGACTCGGAGTAATCGATATCTGCTCTCTTGAGGAACGGGCACAACGTTACAATGGCCGCAAGCATAGAAGACTCTCTAGTCTCGCCGGATTCCGAGTCGACACTGTATACAATAGATTCAAGAGTAGAAGGAATGAGCATACAAATGTAAGGCCGGAGGTCCACTTCCATGGGTGACCATTCTATATGTTTCAGGTTGGGAAAGAGGGGAAGCATATTGCATGGTCCGAGGCTAAACTCGAAGAGAATATCTGCATATGGACCCTGGACGGGCTCCATGTAAAAGCAGCGTATGCGACAGGCATACTTTCTAATGATTGACCAGTCGTCGCCGGTTAATGGTCGTGCAAGTTTCTGAGAGGTGAGTTGTATCAGCGGTGAGGACTGAGTACAATGATATCAGCCCTACATACCGGCGTGGGTCTCCTACGGAACACCTTGTACATGTCAGCTTATGCGTAGATAGCGGGATGGAAACCTTACTCCGTGTGTTTCATCGGCCTTCTGTAAACCATCAGGAAAACATTTGATGAGAGGATCGAGACCGATGAACATGATGTTTTTCCACAGCGCATCGAGCGCGGGCTCTGTAAACACTTGACAGGTCCTAGCCAATGCAGCAAGAGTGCGCTCGTTGCCGCAGCCGGATCCTTTGTCGAAATCCTCAATCAAATAACCAAAGATGAGCTGAAGAAGTTCAGCGATGGTCAAGACACAACGCATTGTGGGCAACGGGGCGTGGTGGTTGAGGGTAAGATGACGGTCTCGATAAAGTGAACCGTGGGACCTTGTGGGGCTGTTAACATGTGGCACCTCCCCAACGCGTTCGCGGTATCGGAGCTTTTAGTTGGTTCTCTGCCGTGAGCCGAATTCCGTAGGATCACAAGGAACCATACTTTTGCTAGGCGGAATTTGGCGGAATGGATGTCTCATCTGGATACGAACAGAAAAATGGGACTGAACATGCATATAGTTTACTATCGCATCTATCTGTTGGCTGGCGCGTGAGCAAGCCGGCCGATGCCGCGACACAGCCACATCCTGGCAAAGGATGCCGCGCGTAAGAATAGAAGACACCCGAGCAGCCCGAAGGGCGCTCGGAGCGGATAGACTAACACACATCGAGCAGAATATGCTCGAGGAAATGTATATACAGATGTATACAATGACTGTGCAACGTTCGCGTCGAACGCACAGACTACTCACATAATGTAGAAATAGCTTACAGAGTACTATAAGTACCAGAGATATTTCTACGAATAATCTAATCAATTATCTTATCTCCCACTGTGAGATCTGATTTCCAACACTATATGTTCCTGTATCCGTCTAATCTTCCTCCGAGTCCCCCGGATCATCGCTTTCAGGCTCGTCCTCGATATCAGCCTCCTCATCTACGCCTTCATCATCTAGTTGTTCTTCCTCGTCTTCTGGAACCTTGACTTCATCATCATCATAAATCACTTCTCCAAATGCATCTTCATCGCTAACTCCCTCTTCAAAATCGTCCATGAGTTCAGCGCCGTCGTCATCACCCTCGAAATCCACAGATTCTTCATCGTCGTCATCGTATACGTTGACTTCTGTATCAGTGGGCATCAGGTCCTCGATTTCAACGTCTCCGTCCGCACTGGCAGGATTTCGTGCGCGAAGTCGCGTAATAACCGCCCCAGCCTTCCCCCACCGCCTCATAAACTCGCTGTAATCCGGGCTCAGCCAGTCAGGGAACCCACTTCCGACCGTGAACGGAGGATACCATTGGTGAATATGTTCGATATTCGGGAAGAATCTGAGTAGCAGCTTTACCGTCGCGATTACGTCTTCGATCCGCGAATTTGCAACCCCAAGGAACTTGATGTTCGCGTTGGGCGACACTTGCGTCTGCTCATCCTCTGGAAATGTGTCAAGCAAAAGCTCTGCTTGATCCGTTCCTGTGGCGTCAAACTCGACGCCAAGATCCTGTAGATGCGGGCAGATACTAGCTACAGAGAAAATGCCGGAATACGTGATCGCAGACGGCACCTCCCACCCGTGTTCAACATTGAGGGACAATTTCTCTAGGAGAGGGAATGAGCGTGCAAGGTCTATGATGTCGGAATTGGTGAAGACGGTGGAGCACTTGAAGTCGACGTCAAGAATGCGGAGTTCTCCGAATTTGAACAGCGGCCGAAACGTTGAGATTGTCACAGTCCGTCCGCGGATATGCTGGGAGGAGTTCAACGGCATGGGAATAAATGTGTCGTCACCCCAACCATGGATCTTCAGGCTATAAAGAGGACGACTGCTGTTTGAGAGCACCATGAAAGCGTCCTTAGCGCTTTCAGAACATCCGTTATCGACGATCATGAGTTTGGTATCTACCAGAGACAACGTCATCTCTGAAGCAAGCGCAACAAAGACGTCTAAGCTTTCAGCTCTCATTTCGAGCGCGCGTAGGTTCTCGAATGCGTTCCCTTCGATCTGAGACCTGATGGCACGAAAGGACGTCACCGGGGGTAGTGTAACGGATAGATCCCGCAGTGCCGATAAGCCTGCGACATGAGCTAACGCCGCATCTGTGATGTCCATGCAGCGCAGCGAGACCAGATGCTTCCAGTTGCAAACTGACCGGGAGAAAGCTTCAAGGCCGCCCTCGACATTTTTGGAGAAGTCGACGTCTACCTTCTTGAGGGAAGGACATAGCGATCCAATAGCTGCAAGGATAGAAGCATCTCCCCTGCCGCTGTTCGAGCTAATCGCGAACCGAAGTGATTCAAGGGTGCTTGGAAGGAACATCCGCATGTAAGGCCGAAAGTGCGTATGCGTGACTGTCCATTCCAGATGTCTCGTGTTGGGGAAGAGAGGAAGCATTTCGGATGGTCCAAGGCTGAGCTCCAACAGAACATCGAGATAATCCAGATCAAGCGATGTCATGTAGAAACCACGTACGCGATTAGCGTAGTTTCGAATGATCAACCAGTCTGCACCGGTCAAGGGCTGTGAGAATGCCTATGCGGTAAGTTGTACCAAATGATGAGTTGATTGAGCGAGGTGATAGGAAGGGAGTGGCACTGCATACCAGCCTGAACCTCGGCGCCTCTGCTAACACCCATTGATATAACTTCACAAGTTAGCTTACATGCTGATGATAAAGGGATGAATGGCTTACACGCGGTAATTCGACGAGTTTTTGCGATCCTTCGGGAAGGCATTTGATAAGAGGGTCAAGGCTGGAAAGGTTTTCCCAGAGTGCGTCGAGGGCGGGCTCCTTGAACGTTTGACAAGTCCTTGCCAGTGCGGAGAGAGTGCGCCCATTGACGCAGCCAGATGTTATATCAAAGTCCTCGTTCAAGTAACCAAAGATGTGCCGAAGGAGCTCGACGATGTCCAAGGCGGGGTGCATGGCTAGCGGGGTGAGATGATGGTCAAAAGAAGATGAGATCGATGAAAGGCACGCGTGGCCGCGGTAAGATTACGTAAAACCATGTGAGCCCTTCAATTCTCCGACGTACCATCCGGGCATTACAGCTTGCCTTCTCCAGGTTCTCCTTTGTCTTCCGGCATCCTCTGAAAGTGAGTTTCGGATTTTCTCCAGGTATTGACAGTACTAGTACTTGGGCACCACCTTAGACCACTAGATCTATAGTCACCAGATGAATACAAAGAACATCGCCCAAATTCTCAGTCGTAAAAATTATCGTCCTACCCCTGGGATATCAGCTTCATGTCCTCGGCTGCTACGAGCTCTGATAACCCTAGCCACGCCTTCACGCAGACCGTCGTTACTCCAGCTAGTATGTGCCACAACTGACGCAGCATAATGGCAGATGATGGTAACATTCAAAATCAAAATCAAATAAGTCATAGGTTGTGACGCTACCCAAGAAATACTAAAACACTCAATAACCAGATAATACGTGTATGTTTACGATTGAGGGCAATGATTATCCCAAAGAGCCGGGAAAAAAAGATGCTCGAAAGCGAGCCTAGGCCAAGGACCAAGTCAAACCCTTGATCTTGCCATCGGAAAGCGGCGCGATGTTCTCGAACGCGGACGGCGAGAAATCGAGATCGGCTGCCGAGCAGGGGTTGCAACTGTCGGTCACCTTGACGGTAACGTTCTTGCCATTGTCTACGTAAGAGACCAGCAATCAACACAACAGTTCGAACCAGGCCTGAATGATCAAAAGATTCAAGAGACATACAGGAAGCGTTGATCTCCTTGTTGCAAAGTGACTTGTCGAAGACGCTGGTGGCGACAGAGGTGACCAGGTCGGTGTCCTGACTCACAATTCCGCAAGCGGCGGCGACGCGGACGAGGAGTGGTAGTATCCTGCGAGATTGAGACTGGGTTGTTAAAGAAGAGACGCGACGGGCATGCGAGACGTGTTACGCACCAGTACCGGTCTGGGTGCCGGTGATGGAAGCAGCGTTGGTAGCGACGGCGAGGACGACAAATGCGAGACCCTTGGAAGCGAACATGGCAAAGATTGATATAGTAAGGTTTGGTGAGCGGAGAAGATGTGTCGAATGTGTTTTGAGAATGGTTCCAACGAGGCGCCCTTTTATACACCTCAAAATCCATGCAGAGTCCGAGTGGCCATATGCGTACGTGGTCCGGATAAGCAAGCGCAGAGAGACTGTCGTGGCGATCACCGCACATTTCCGTACCTATCGTAGGAGAATCTAGTCCTCGAAACGAGATCATGACGAAGCGGAGAACGACCAAGGGGATCAGATGCGTATTTACGCAACGGAGTAGCTGCCAACACATCGCATCCAGTACCCGTACCAAGGTTGCAGCGTCCAAGTAAAACAAAGCCGAGGTAATGTGTGAAGCATGGCACAGTACATTGACCCACATACGGGCTTATTATGCGGACTTACAATTGTAACCCTGGGCACGAAGGTACGAACTCGGCGATGCAATGACTGTGAGTTGACGACGGAGGCGGGATTCTTTACGTGTCAAAAGCCTATAGTCAGTTTGACAGGAGAGCACGATCACGGATAGATAAGGGATTCACGCACTGTTCTGCCCAAGTTATCCAGGGTAAATCTTGGATGTACTATGCCCTGCAGAGTAACTGGAAAGGGGAGGTTTGAGGTCGTAAACTGTTGCGCCAATGCGTATCATAGGATCGAGGAGAGTTCTGAGGCATAAGAGCAGGTATACCTAAAGCTTTTATGCCGCATTTTAGTTGACATACCCCGGCGCTGAGCTCAAATTGATGACAGACCAATAATCCATACGCTTGGAGTCGTCCCGTATTCCGCGAGGCCACTGGCACTACAGCTGAGGTAAAGTGAAGCGCGAGATTGTGTGTCCAAGCCCTAGGTCATGTCTTCAATTCATGAGGTCGTAGCAAAGATGAGGACTGTGAACGAGTAACAAGGCCAGGCAAGAACTAAACAAGCCAGGACGCGAGTTGGACGCGAGTGTCGGGGGTGAACGCGACACGCTGCGCACGTGGTTTCTCATCCGCAAATTTCCGGCTGGCAGAAACGGCGGTTCGTCCTTTTCTCCTCTGCACTTACCTTCCTTACGACCCCATTCAGTCGTATAGCTATCTTCTATCGACAGCAAGCTGCAATAGTGATGCTCAGCGGACTATCTCTCTAGCTTCAAAGGATAATTCCTCCTCCTGACCGGATCATCTCCCAGGATCCGGAACGAATCGCTGTAATCGATACTCGAGTGGCTACGGAGGACCTTCTCGGATAGAACTTATCGCAAAGCCTGGCTTGTCTTCCTCGCTGTTATTTATCCGCCTGTCACTGCATGGTGCTCTCAGCTCATCGCGTGGGCCCCAGACAACGTCCACTTTTTGTATGCGGGGTATCACCGGTGGGCCTTTGACATGCCTTCAACGCGTCACGGGTGCCCTTCACCAGGGGTGCCTGATGCGGGCGTCAGGTACCAACGCTCGAACCACGCGTTTCAAAGGTTGTAACTTTCGATATCAATGCTTCATGGCGCCCATCGACGACGTCCTTGCAGACCTCAGCGCGAGTTTTCGGGTCAATACAGGTCAGTGCCGTGCCTGGATGATCTTGTAAAACTCCGTCAGTGTCAAACCTTCTCGCAGACATCCCGAAGGCATCTACGGCTTGAGCAGGTGGCTCGCTCGAGTTCCGAGCTTGAGGCTAATCGTCGTAGGATGATTTGTTTAAGATGAGCACCTGCGACGGCTATTAACCTCAAGCGCACTCACTCGCCATGGTCTCCACTCTTGCTATCTCTGGCTCTATTTCTTTCGCAGCGCTGGCCGCTGCCAAAGGTGCATTTGATAGGGACCTCCTTTTCGAAAGCTGAAGCTAAATCGCACACAGAATGGCATTTCGGTGCTGCGTTTGGATCCCCGTTTGACGTTACCACCGACTGCGCCGATATCGACAATATCTCCCCCGAGCTCCTTATCAACTGGGGTCCCGACAACCGCCACGACGCGACGATCAATGTCTGCAACAACACCAATATCAAGTTCTTGCCCTACCTCTGGGGCCAGACCTGGGACGACTCCGAGCTCAACGCACTTCCCAACGACGACGCGCCTTGGGCCGTCATCTTCGAGAACGAACCCAACTGGTGGGGCGGCGAGCCGCTCACCGACGATCATGGCGACGGGTGCAATATGACGGCGACTGCCGCAGCCGCCAAGTACAGCGGCCACACGCAGATCATCAACGAGAAGTGGGGCGTCGGCGTCGTGAAGCTCATCTCTCCCTCGCCTGTTAACAAGTACTACCCGATGTGCATGTACGAGCCCGAGCAGGGCTGCGCGTTCCAGACGCAGATGGACTGGCTCGCCGAGTACTTCGCCAACTGCGGCACCTGCGAGCAGGACATCTGGGCGATCAACATCCACGACTACAACTGCAACCTCGCGGACACGCAGTCGCTCGTCGCGGACATGGCCGCCGCGTACCCAGGCAAGAACGTGTTCTTTGGCGAGCTCGGATGCAACGGCCCCACCGCAGAAGAGATGGCACAGTACCTCCTCGACTTTTCCGGTTGGGCATATCAGGAGGACACGGTTCGGGGGTTCATCTGGGCGGCGATTACTAACGACGTTGGCACGCCTGGCTCGGAGCTCTCTACTAATGGCCAACTGACGCCCGTCGGTCAGGCGTTCAAGCAGATCCAACAGCAGTACCCTCCCGACTACAACCCATAAGTAGTCTCTGCCTGGCACTCTCGTGGTGAGCCGGGGATTTTTAGAATGCAGAGACGCAATTTTGGGTTTGGGTTTTTGTAGATTCTCGTCGCACTTCGTTGTATTGGGGCCCTGGTTGTGTACTAGCTTGGCTGATGTCTACCATTTGGTATCATGCACTTGACAATGATTGCAGACGACTCTGTATGCTTGCAGCGATGCCTTGCGGCAGTATTTATGCTGGCCCACGAGCGTCGTTATTGTCTTACCATTGGCCAAGATGTGTACTGGTCTATGTCAAAAGCCCTTCTAAAATCAGCGGTATTCTAAAACATTTGCTGTGAATTTCTGAATTTGGGTTTCTGTTCTCACGGATTCGGCATGTTTCCGCAATATAATCATTCACTGTCGCAATCTGCCTCGGTCTCAGGCCTTGCACATGTCCGACGATGACCGAGATTTCTTACTCAGAGCATGCATGTTCGTCCACCCCGGCGTCTATCAGCTGCTAGGATAAATACTTCGACCGGCCCGACCAGTACTCTCTCTTTGTCCCAGACCATTCTATCAGGGTCTCTCGTCAGTTCCGGAAGTAGAGCGATTGTTCCCGCTGCTTGCACTCTCCCAACGATAAGAAGCATATCCCGAAGATCAGACATGTCTGCACCCCCGTTTGACACCAGCAAGCGCACGACGTTCACGCAGGGCCCGAACCCTTCTTTCCAGTGGGGAACGCGCGTCGGATCGTCCGAACTCGGACGCCAGTGGCTCGAGGGCGAGAAGGAGGGGTGGACGGGGATTGATACGGCTAAGGAGGATCCTATGTGCGTGCTGCTATGTTTTACTCGCGTCGAGGATTTACCTCAAGCTGATGATCATGGTGATAACACAGGAAGCTGTACAAGCTCATGATCAGTGGCATTACGCCCCGCCCGATCGCGTTTGTTGCGAGCAGAGACGAAAACGGAGTGGACAACCTTGCGCCGTTCAGCTGGTTCAACATGGTGTGTTTCTCCTTTTCAGCTTCACCCTCATCTATTGTCGTCCTCTTATCCTCATATCTGCCGTTCTCACCTTCTAACGCGCCTTTGATGACATCATTGGCTGGAATCCGGGCCGATCTTTCAGGTAACCGCGCACCCGCCCCTCATCGCGTTCACCGTCGCCCGCGCTGGCGGCAAAGACAAGGACACAGCCGCGAACGTCAAGAAGACGGGAAACGAGGGACAGGAAGGTTTCACAGTGAACATTATCAGCGAGCCCTTCCTTGAACAGGCGAACTCGTGCGCAGTCGATGCGCCTGCGGGTGTGTCTGAGTGGGATCTGAGTGGGCTGACTAAAGGCGAAACTGTACGTCATTCTCTGTTTCTTTGCTTGAGCATGGAAGTGGCGTTCGAAAGCTAACGACGTCTGTGCACGGGAGTAGAAAGTCGTCAAGGTGCCTCGGGTGCAGGAGAGCGTGTTCAGTATGGAATGTGTCGTACGTGCCCTCCCCACAGCATTTCCTCTCGTTCTGTCTCTTAACGTTCACCCATCCGTCGGCCAGCTCCACCAAGCCATCGACATAATACACCCGACAACCAAAGCACACACCGCGACACACATCCTCGCATACGTCAAGTACATCCACGTCCGGAACGACATGTGGGCCGGCCCCTCCCCCTCCGCAGCCGCTACGTCTGGATCGCGCGAGGAGCGGGGCGGAACTATTGACATCGAAAAGTTCAAGCCTGTCGGACGTGCAGGTGATATCTCGTTCACGCGCACGGGTGACGCTATGAGGATACCGAGGCCGGCGTGGGCGACGGAGGAAGAGACAGTGAGGAAGTTCTTGGAGAGTGTCAGCGGGGACGCGAGGATGTAGATGTAAGAGTACCCAGGAAGCGGTGATACCTTTATTGACGAAACTGCAGAGCTGTATGTTATACATGTGTGTCGCATCGTTCTTGTGCTGAATGTCTTCTGTCATTGCAATACTCCGAGGAACAGTCAAATCCAACGTATACAACCTCCCGGTCCGTATCTCAGCATGGTAACACATACTCATGTTTGCGTCAAGCAATACTTTTCATATACTGCGTGCATGGTAAGCGAAATCCAGGCTCTTAAAATACAGCAAAATTTAATCCATAATCAACGTGCTACGAACCATTGAAAGCTATGACACTGAGGCCTCAATATTGGGAACATCTCTATCTACTAAACGTACCCCACGGATCCTGTCAACTAAATCCTACCCTCTCTTTATACCCGTCACAGCCGAGAAGGGCTTGCCAGCCTTGCTTCTGAGAGGGATGCAAAAGCAAACCACATTGACTTGCTCGTTGGAGCGTGTACTATCGTTCTCATCTAGTTCTTCATCGTCGCGTGACTCCGTTTCTTCCTCTGCGTCACGGCGCCTTCTGCCTTCAGGAGTTGGAGCACGGTAAATGAGCTGTATGGTGCTGGTTAAATGTGTAGTGAGTGAAATGAACATGAAACACGCACCTGCTTGGTTCTACCTGTGGATATAGGTACGATGTAGCGTAAGCTGAATGCGTTCGTCTTCGGAGGGCGCTTATCTAGCCCGGAATGGTCTGAATCGCCTCCAAGCTGCGTGCGCCGTCCAAGGACCCTTTTGAGAAAGCCTATCCCTCCACGTCCCTCACGTGCATAATGCGATTCCGATTGTGGTACTTGACGTTGGCGAGAAGGTCTTCCTGTTCGAAGGCCCTCATGGAGTATATCACGGTCCCCAGGGCCCGCGAGCCCTTGTGGTCTACGAGCCAAAGAAAACTACTACCCGTTTGCGAGATGTAAAACGACAGAAGAAGTGCCTTACATTCATGGTAATGCTATCATCAGATTCATGAGCCCCGGGCCGCTACCAGTCATCCTTCAGTGGCTACATATCTTTAAATAGGTAGGTTACCCACCTGTTGGTTCGTTTCTCTTTCTTCTTTGTGAGTAGAGTCTTCGTCGCTGTCATCACATTCCTAAATAACTTCGTTATGGTGACAGAACTGACTTCGATGGTAGACGTACTTTTCCCAAGAGTAGTTTACCGCTTGCTGTCTCCCAAACTCTTATAAACCCGTTAACCGTACCACCAAAAACCCGTGATCCATCCGGCGAGAAGGACGCCACAGTCACTACGTGCTCGTGCTGCAGCGACCGAAGAAGATTATCGGTATTCGCATTTCAAACGCGAACATGTCCATTACCTTCAGACGTGGTGAGGAATGTTTGTCCGTCTGGCGCATACTGTGCGCAGAACACTATACCGGGATGCACAACTGTGAGCACTTGATTTCCGGTCAAGACGCTCGAAACCCTGGCATTTCCGCTGTGATGACCACTGAGTATGTATTCCCCGTTGGGCGCCCAGCATACTGTCTGAACGTGGTCGTTGTGCTTGTATGGCCCCGCTATGAGAGTCCTTGTTATGAGATCCCAGATGCATACTGTACCATCTACTAAGCCGGTCGCTAGATGAGTACCAGTGGCTGAGATGCTGAGAGCGTGGATATTGCTGCTGTGTCCGTCAATGACGCTGAGCAGGCGACCTGCCTGTGAATCCCACACTCGTACGGTTCGATCGCGACCAGCAGTGACAATCTGGGAACCGTCAGGCGTGAACTTGATGACTACGGGACGTCCTGTGTGTTCTTTGGTGAGACTCCAAGCAAGGTCCTTGGTGTGGGTATCGAACACACTGATTTCTCCATCACTAGAACTGCTAGCCAGCATCGAGCCGCCAGCAGATATGTCGACGGAGGTGATGTCCCCGCTGTGATAAAGAAAGGGATGGTTTGATTCCTCTCCCGTTTTTCCATCCCAGATTTTGATAGTAGGATCACCACCAGCGCTTGCAAATTGGGATCCATCAGGAAACCACGCCAACGATGTGACCATCCTAGAGGTATACATTCTGTGCGATGATATCAAAACGAAGAACAACATCATGAAATGGTGGCTATACGCACAGGTCTCCCTGGGAAGGTTTTGAATCAGGACCCTGGCCGCAGAGAAATGCGTTGTCAGTAAAGTAGCTCCGAAATGGAGCCGGCTCACTTACATCAACTTGAACAACATCGTCCGAATCAATGTTCTGGATACACAGCCTATCCGAGTCCGATTCATCCCTTCCACATGCAACAACACGTCCTGTCCAAGAGGCTGAGAGGCACATAACTGGCGCCTTGGTATATATCGGACCCCACAAGCAGGCAACTGTCTTGAGGTCCCAAGCGCGTATACTCTTGCCCCGCGACGCACTGATGAGTACTACCTGTCCTTCTGAAGTAAACACGAGGTCCGTGATAGGTAGCCGGTGTCCTCTCAAAGGCTCTTTGAATGGTTCTCCAGTTCCAGCGTTCCACAAACGAACAGTCCAATCCGCGCTACCACTCGCCAGCAGACGTCCATCCGGCGAATAGGCAACCATACCTACTTCCGAATGGTGCCTAGCGAGAGGGGGAAGGGTGAGTTCCTGCGTGGCCACGGCCCAGACCCGTACAACATTATCGGTGAAAGCACTTGCTACCTGGTTTCCGCAGGGAGAGAAGGCTACGCGTTTGACAATAGCTGGATGTTCCATATTGCTGATGACCTCTCCCGATGTCGCGTCCCATAACCGAAGCTGCCGATCTGCCGATGTAGTGGCGATGATTTCCCCATCCATGGAGTATTGGACTGAGGTAAAGTAACTATTCATGTTCCTTCCCAGATTGAGAGGGCCTAAGACACACTTCTGCGTTGTAAGGTCCCAAACATGAAGGTAAATGCGAATGTTTGTGTCAAATTGAAACGGTCCAATGGCGAGGCAAGTACCGTCAGGGGAGAATGCAAATGCGCTGCTCACACCCCCGTCTAAAGACTGTCCAACTTGCAATCCGGCCTTCGAATCCCATATTCTGATTTCTCCATCGTTGTGTGCTGAAGCAGTAAGGATCCCCCCGGGTGAGCAGGCGACTGCGGTCACCGGTCTGGTTTGGTCTTTGAAGGTTGCTGGAACACTAGTGTCACCGTTCGAACCCGGAGGCGCATCTGAGGGATTGATAGGGCCGTCTTTGGAGTCTGTAAACGTATCTAAGCAGGGGGTGACAGTGGTGTCCTCAAGGCTTGAGGACGAGCTAGGTCTGAGGCGGTCTGACAACGTGTTTGAAGAGGGCATTGGCGTTCTGAAGTAATCGTAAATAACGGGAGAGAGCTCACGAGAACGGGTACTTACAGTGGTAACTGGAGGGAAACGTTTGCCCTGTAGCACAGAAAGTGCACAATACTTATTGCTTCGAGACCAACATTGATATTGATGCTGAGGGCACTGGCCACTCTCACGCTTGTCGTCTGATCAAGTCACACTGCAAAAATTTCACCATAACTTGTGCCCATTTACTTTAAATAACTGGCCCAGTTAGTTAAAATAACTTTATCATAACTTGCCGGGATTTATCCGGGTGTGGATACACATTGTATTTTAAATAACATTTGACAGGTTATGCTAAAGGTGGGACACGCAGTTTTGACAGTTATCTTAAATTGTAGAAAAATAAAATGGAGTTAACATAAATGCGGATAAACTCCGCATTTGGATTAGTGTTGCCGTGGCTCGGGAGCTGGCTCAAGCCGATTGGATGGGCTTACAGCAGAGGCAACAAAATATTTAGTGAGGTGATAATTATGTCATAGTTGCCATCGTCGCTGTCCGGTCGTCGCTTCAAAACATGACCTTACGCTACAAAACTCAAGTGTTATTTTACGAGGAAACAGTTCAGCTTCGAGCCGAGCCGAGCCGCGGCAACACTAATTTGGATGGCAACAATCAATGGCCAATCAATGGCCAATCATTTGCCAGTCATTTGCCAGTCAATGGCGGGTTAATGGCCAATCAATGGCTGGTCATCAAATTTTTATGTGCAATAAAAAACCACTTATTCACTCTAAATGATCAGACTAATCACCAGCTATTGGTGATAAAAAGGAAGGGAGTACTATGGGACTTCAGGATTCATATTGTTTGTGAAATGAGGGATTAAAAGCATATTTCTCTAACTAAACAATAACTTTCTATTTGGCCATTAACCCGCCATTGACTGGCAAATGACTGGCAAATGATTGGCCATTGATTGGCCATTGATTGTTGCCATCCAAATGCGGAGTTTATCCGCATTTATGTTAACTCCATTTTATTTAAAATAAACAGATGAGCAATGACATGGCTGACAGCCGTGAGAAAGTACAATTTAAGATAACTGTCAAAACTGCGTGTCCCACCTTTAGCATAACCTGTCAAATGTTATTTAAAATACAATGTGTATCCACACCCGGATAAATCCCGGCAAGTTATGATAAAGTTATTTTAACTAACTGGGCCGGTTATTTAAAGTAAATGGGCACAAGTTATGGTGAAATTTTTGCAGTGTCAAGGACTCGGGTGCAAAACCAATGATTATTCTTGTGTCAAATATGTGAAGGAGTGTTTGAAGAATTGGAGATGTACGTATGTTCATGCTAGGAGTGATAGACTTTGATTCGTCGAAATTTTCAGTCGAACTGTTGTAGGGGCGCAAGTTATGCACTGTATTTCACAAACACCCGCGCTATGTACCTCGTACCACTGCGCGGTAACCCAAGTAAGACCCAGGTTATGATATGACATAGCACACACCATAAACTAGGTCCATGTCTTTGTATGCATGAGTTCACCGCCCCATATGCGCTCATGATGCCCTGTGAAAACCCGCTGTTCGCGTTAAGGGTGGTTTCGGGCATTTTATGTAGTTATTGATGGCGTCGAAGCAGAGTTGGGATAGACATAAAATAGCAGAAGAATACTACGTGAGGCCGCTTTTGCATAACGCCTTCGCGCAACAGAGTTGAATTTCATGTAATCTTTTGCGAATTCTCGTGCATCTTTATGTCAATATATGCTGGCTTGCGTGCACCTAGTGCAGAAGTCTGCATTAACTGACATAAACTTACTAAATCGCATTATGCGATTTTATGATGCTTTCTGCTCATTTCGTTCAGTTCATATTTGCTCGTTCGCCCTGAATAAAAATAGAATCGCTTCTATTCTCGCATCGCACACTAAAATGGTACAGGCACTGCAGGATAATAATAGTACAAAGCGTCAAAATCTCGCCAAGTCCGAAAAGCACAGGGAGAGCGCGTCGTGCTCCTAGAAACGGGTGCCATGGGCGACATCGGCCTCGGTCTTCCACGTCTTAGAAGCCACCTAACGAGGGTATGAGAAATAAAACAATGTAAGAGCGTGAAGCTCACCAATTGCTTCGCGTCGTTCGCGTAGCTCTAGATCGGTAATAAGTCCACCGATAAGAAAATACGCGATCAAACCACTTACCGATTTCTGAACCCTAGAAAGACCGCTGTACATGCTCTCTACCTCCTGCTCGGTGACGTTTTGACCACTAGGTACAGAGGCGATGTAGCGGATCGCCATGAGAGTCCTCAAAATACAGTAATGAGAAACATGTACTGTCAATAACGGAATAAACTCACTTTCCATTCTTCTGGCGCCCGGTTGTACGATAGACCACGGAGTCGACGGCCTCACTAGTGTTCTCGACGCTTGTAGAGCTAGACGAAACCGCCGGGACGACGTTTTCCTTGCCGGGGCTTACCACCTTCTCGAGTTCGTCGAAAGCTCCAGGTACGGGCTCGGCGTACAGTTCCTTTTGAGCAGCAGCTCTCTTCGCCACCTTGGCTTTGCTAGTAGGTAGATAAGTATCAGACATGTTGAACAGAATATAAGCACACTCACCTAGGATTCTCGAGCGCGTCCTTTGCCCTCGAGCGGAACGCTGTAGAAGCTGGCATCGATGGCGTTGTTGTTTTCCTGGTCTTCTTGGCAGTAGGAACGTTGTCTGGAGGTGCTGCATTCGCCCTCTTGGAACCTGCAGCATTCGGATCCACGCCGCCAGCACCTGAGCCTGCCGGCGCCTGCTTCTGGATCGAGATATCGCCGAGACTGGGCTGATTAATCTCCTGCGGGCTAGCAGGAGCTGTAGGGGCTGTGACGACTGTCGAGACCCTCCTGGAGACACGACGCGCGCCAGCGACACCTGCAGATGCAGGCTGGCTGGCCTCCCGAGAGGCAACGGCAGCCGATGCAGATGGCCGAACCTTGGTGGCTGTTGCAGCGGTTGAAACGGAGTTCGTTGAGGCGGCGCTCGCTCTCGATGGCTTGCGAGCAACGGCAGCTAACGGCGTGATGGTCGGCGTAGGAAGCATCCGAGGCAGAGCTTGTTGGGTGCCCTCAGCCCCTTGTCTCGCATGCGAGCGAGTAAGAGAGACAAGTCCGGCAGTGCTGGCCATGGACTGCAGGATGCCTGTATCGGTCGGGTGAGGGGGAGGATGGACTATATCTAGAATAAGATACACAACAATGTTAGTATTAGCCATGAATTAAACAATAACTCACGGATAGTATTACCCTGCGGCTCAACGTGCTGCGGCACAACGCTGGCATATTCGAGAGAAGGCGAGGCCGTCTCGGTGCCACCTAGCCCATCAGCCTCGTAGGGGGACAGCGAGCGTGAGCTGGTGGAATCGGGGCCGAATTCTTCATCGTCCATGGCGAGTTCGGGATCGGGTTCATATATGGGCTCACTACCAGCGTCAGCGTCGTCAGCACCAACAGCCTCGTCATCCATGGCGAGCCCGGGACTGAGGTCATGCGTGACAATATTACCAGTCTCAATGTCCTCCATATCCGCGGCCGCTGGAACACCATCCACCTCATCAACGAGACGATACGCCGTCTCATCATGGAGGGCCTCGTCCATATTCTCGCTGTCCGAGTTCGCGTCAATGCACTCATCCAATGCTTCTTCGTGCGCCCCAAGCTCTGGATGACGCGCAGGAGATCCTTTGTAGTGTTAGTATAGCATAATGATAAGTACGAGTAATATAAAAGACAATACCTTCAGCGGTAGCCTCAGCCTTGAGTTTTGCCGATGCCTTGAGTCCTCTCGGACGTTTGATGGGCCCCTTGACAAGGAGATTACCTTCGTTGTCAAGCTTGGTGCGTTTGAAGTTGGGAAATGTGTGGCGCCCGAGGATGTCGAACTTCCAGTGGTTGACGCATAGTGCAAGCCAGGGATATTCCTCGTAGATAGCATCACGAACAGCCTTGACAACATCGAAAGGCAGAGCCCGCCAGTTTGATGCGAGCTCTCCCTTCCTCGCGTGCTTGATGAAGAGGGTGCGCATGGATTCTCTGCAGGCTTTGACGTTAGCCTTGGGAATGGGCTTGCCTTTCGTATTTTCGAGCCATGGAGTTGGCCCGAACTTGGTCAGGTCTCCAACCTTCTTCTTATCCCAGCCGTTGTAGTCCTTTTGATGCCAGTATTGGACCTTTGTGTTCGCACGCATATCCGTCAGACTCCTACCGAGGCAGTCTACATCGTCGTCGATCTTCGAGAGTTCGTCGGGAGTTGGAACCGAGGATCCGCCAGGCACCATAGAAGCACCTGCAGGGTTTGACGCGCTATGCTTCAGGGAACTGGCAAGCTGGTCAAAGCAAGACCTGATCGTGTGTTGGACGTATGCATGTATGTAGATGTGGTATACACGTACTGAATCGAGTTCCTCTGCTGCTCGTAAGCGTCCCGATGCGCTTTGACTTCGATGAGCTGGGCTTCGAGCGTCTTGATGCGCTCGTTCATCAGGTTCAGCTGCGTCTGTTGCATATATGCGTCCTGGTGATGGTGAGAGAGAGATTGGCACAGTAATGTCTTGCTTACCTGCTGAGCATGAGTCCACTGGCTCTGATTACCGTAGCCCCCAGACATGTGCGAATAGTTTGACACCGAGCGAGAATGCGACTGGTCATCGTGAGCGTCGATACCAGAGTTGTGACCACCATAGAAACTCGAAGACGAGAGGGAACCGTGGAGATTATGAGACAAGGCTCCACCGCTAGCAAGAGACACCGCAGAAGAGCCCATGCTGAGCCCAGGGAACGTGTTCGGAGGGATGGATGACATAGCAGGAGGTCTTACGCGTACACGTAGAGCAAAGAAAAACGAAGAAAAAGAGCACAGGGAGGAAGCGCCGACGCAAGCTAGTAGCATTCCATACCAGAAAAGGCTTCTGATTATGAAACCACAATATCCTAACATATCACTCACCTTGTCCGCCTAGATATGTTTTCCCCAGAGTTAACCGCCTAGACAGAAGCAAGCTGTGTTGTGTATGTGTTTCATTAGAATACATTGACGCCCCCACAATGCGCCCACAATTCATTTCCACAACCGAGCTGCGTCGGTCTCGCTTAGTGTATTCTGGGAAGCCGGGATCCGCGTCCCTGAGCATGGACCGGCAATTCGGCTATTTCATTCCGCGTTCCTTTTGCCACAGTTTCCATAACATTGGATTTATTGTACATACATTCACGCGTTGCAAGGAGCTAGAACATGGTGGCGAATTTAAACTAATATTACATATCTACGCGTTGGGGAAACTCAGTTAGGAGATCTCCTCATCGGAGTCGAGACCAGTAATATCTACCGACCGCTGGCTTTTGTAGCGCTTGTGAGTACGTTCGAGCGCGTCAATCAAGCTGCTAGTGGACGTTGGAATCAATCTCTTGCTGTCATCTTCGATGTCTGTGATGTCTGCGACCATGGTGGTATCGTGGTCGTCTATCGCTGGGAGTGTCTCGTCTCCATCTCTGTTGTCTCTTGCTGCAAGGGTCGCATCTGCAGGAGGGGCATTGGAGACGGGCAGTAGCAGTGTCTCGTTCTCGCACAAGACGTCAAGAGGAGGTGCTGGTGGGAGAAGAAAAGGTGGGGCTGGCTCGTAGAGAAACAGAGAGCGTCGCCCAGGTGTGACAAGGTTGAGACGAGGGTTGATGCAGTAGAACCCATTGGGCTCGCTGAATCGCTGGAGACGCGCACTAACCGGCTCTCCAACAAGGTAGAGCCGGTTCTGTGCAGCAACACTACTCGCCTTGCTATAATACAAGTGATATTGAGTGACTGGATGTATGCGGAACGTTCGTAGTACTCACTCTGCAATTGCAAGTCCAGTGTTCCATTGGTGGTTGTTCACGGACTGGTTCTCCTCGTAGAACTCGTCTCGCGATGCCCGCTGACGGACAATTATATTCTGTATCTGTAGTTAGATATGGTCATAATAGAATAAGAGATTACACGCACCACTTCACGCTCTCGATCGCTGGGCGGAACGGAAAACCTGAACAGAAAGTCTCCAAACTCAGATCCAGCAGGTGTGTGAGAGTTGTCGGCCATGTTCAGGATGACGTTGTCCCCGGTGATGTTGATGTTATAGAGCGGCATGGTTTGGACGACTTTTTCGAGGGGAGGGGGACGAGGAAAAGAGAGGGATGGGCGGAGGTGCACTCGAGAAGGAGCTGTGTGATGTGCAAGGAGGATATTGATGGAATGTGAAGGGTTTGGCGTGACGTCAGTGTAGTGTAGGTGGTGTGCACGCAATTTGAATGAGTATAATGCTATAAGAATGAGAGACAACAAAACATACCTATAGTTCGATATCGTCTCCTCCTGGGTCGTCATTCTGAAGGTCTGTGGGGTCACCTATGTAAGTAGCGACATCAAATCCAGGTTTTTCTACGAGGAAAAAGCGGTCTTCGGCAAGTCTGGTGCTGGGGATGGTGGGACAGTGCGGCGGCATTGCAATGAGCGATTTTATTTGACGGACATCGATTACGGTCGCGGATTCTTCACCCAGATGGCGACAGGTCCATAGTGTCTGTGAGGACATGCGAAGGAGGTCGGGATCGGGTTCGGAGTATTTCCAGATCACCGCGACTGTGCGAACGTCTTCTGGAGCATCCAGGTCGTCAGAGGGAGGCGCCATGTCGATTTGTGTGTAGTAGATTACTTCTCCAATATGTAGTCGGCCTTCGTGTTCGTACTGACAGTGCAATATATTAGCTTTTGCCTATTAAAAAGAGAGATCTATGTGGCTTACCTTGATATTGCGAGCTATCCGAAGCTGCGCTCGCTGCGTGGCATTCTCTCGCCACGCCGACCGGGTGATCTGACCGTTGGGTAAGTGTAGTCGGGCCCATCTGCGAAGGCGATGCGGCTCCCGACCCATGTAACGTGCTAAGGCAGTGTGCGCGGACCCTGTCGGAAACATACGGTAGCGGTCTCGCGCTCTCAGTAGAAAATAGCCGTCCCCGACGTCTTCAGCCAGCGAGGACATCGTCGGGGGAGGATCTAGCTCGGGAAACATCGCCTTGAGACCATTTTTAGCGCACCGTCTGACGCCTTCTCGTGAGTAGTTCTCGTACGGATTCGAGGGCTGTCTGATCTCGCGGCCGAGGTTCCCTATAGTCCGTTCCATAGTCCACTGAGCGTAGCAGATAGGCGGCCCCTTTGCGATCGTCTCGTCGACCAAGTGCGTTACCTGATGAATACTATGACGAATAAAATGGAGGCGGTCTTCTCGTTTTTGATAGTAGAGGCGCTCGTACTCTTCGTAGAATGACATAAAGCAGCGCTGGGCCTCGAGTAGTTCATCCAGAGAAATAGAATGTTGGCTGATGATTCGGAAACCTCGGATAAGCTTGCATATATTCATCCAGTACTCGAGGGGCAGGAGCTCGTACATGAGCGCGGAGACGTAGCCGAGCAACCAGATCTCAAATTCAAAAGTCCTGTAGCCCGACGTTAGCTCTTGCTGGATGTTGCGGGCCTTGTGATCGAAAAGACCAGGAATATACATGCCGAGCATCTCAACGTCGAGACCGTGAGCTGCCCAGACGTTCTCGTCGCGTAGAACTGCGAAGGGCCATGTCTCGGGGTGATCGTGCAGGCCGTGGTCGATCTCGCCTCTCCAGAGTTCGACGAAGAGATTAGCTAGTAGGCCGACTAGATGCATTTGATCGGGTGCGAGGCAGCGAGGAACCTGGAGGGTGTGCTTGGGGTGTAGACCGAGCAGTATGCTGGGCTTAGTTAGCCCTGTGTCCCTTCTAGCCCTGTCGTATGCTGTGATCCCTTTGGCCGAGACAATCTTCTTCAGATTGTCGTAGTAGTCCGTCGACGCTGTGGGTGGGAGGTCGTAGACAGATATATCAGCGTGATTTGATCCTGGTAAATCGTACGGCAGATCTGGGCGGGAGAGCGCTGGATAATAATTCTTGCCGTGAGTTTTGCGTCGCCCGAGAACCCCACAGTACATGCGGCACCCGTTTTTGCCGCAGTGACCGCACATTCCGTTGAAGTATGTGAGTCCGGGTCCGTCAGCAGTGGCGAGGAAGTGGTGGATGTGCGATTTGTATCCACGTTGCTGCGATGCGTTCCAGATGCCGAGACCTTCCCTCTGAAGGGCTGAGACATGATGATACCCGGGAAAAAGAAACGAGTCGACGTTACGAGGGTTCTTGGGACCAGGAATGAAACCACCGGGGAAAACGTGAGTTTTCTTGTAGCGCTTGTCGGGCGAGAACTCGAGTATAACCCATATATACATCCAGCAGTCTGAACCTCTAGTTTTGAGGAGCTGGGCGCCATCGAGAGAGGCCATAACGACGATGTCATCGTCGGTGATCTTCTGCTCGATCAGAGATTGTATATAGTCAGTGCCACAGATATAATCATCAAAATTTTGAATAATCCTCCCGTTTCGAATCGCGTCTTCGAGGACCTCGTGAGTCTTCCTGACGCGATAGCTGAGATCTTCGGCTGTCTGTCGATCTCGAAAGAGCGCCTGGAGAATCGGACCAAGGGGAATCGTATGAAATTTGCGTGATACACGTTTTCCACTGGCCTTGAGAATGTCCTGGTCATAGCGATGTCGTCCACACTGAGAACAGCGTTGATCGTTCTCGAAGGGGCCAGTAAATGCCAGACAAGTATCCCAGCACATGTCGAACTCAATAGATGAAACACCAGTGATCTCGGTTATGAGTTTCTCGAGAGCCTCAAAGTGGAGAAGGCCATCTGCGTCAGCAAAAGTCTGGGCTTCCGACACTCGTATCTTTTCAAATGTGTCCCTCGAGGAGTGTTCGAGGGCAAAATAGCTTCTGATGCTGTGTTTTTGCAGGGGAGTGAGAGGCGTCGGGGGTTCTTGAGGCGGATTACGCAGTCGTTCGATTGTTTCTGGTGTCAGTTTCGAGACAGGATCGTCTAAGGAGGCATTGGCTATCCTCTTGATGAATCCGAGCGCGTTCTTGGACTTCTGGTTTCTAGCGAGACGGATGAGCTCGTCGACGTCTACCTGTGGGTATACACGAGCTTCTTGCAACACCATTTCGAACTCGGGGCCCTGATAGATAATTAGTTAGACGGCTATGACATCAGATAGATTGAGAAAATATACCCTGTCACTGCCTGGTGGCGGTGGGGAACTTGCAACATGCTGTTCATCAGAGTTATACTCTGGTTCTTCAGCACGAAGACGTTTCTCTGGAGTAGAACGAGAGTCGTCGCCTTGGTCGTCGCGTGCATGCTTGCCCAGAGCGCTAGATCGATCACTAGATTGATCGAGATCGACAGAGTCCCGAGAGTCGCCAGTAGTCTGCTGCCCAGAACCTGAAGCCAGAGGTTGATTCGTTCTGTAAGGATTCTCGAGATGACGCGCATTTCCCTTGCTATAAGCTCGGAGATATTCGCGTTCTTCCTCAGTCTCAGCCAGACCGAGATGTGTGCGAAATGTTCGCAGGGCAACCGAGTGTGGTTTGCCGCCATAGTAGTACTTGCATATGCAGTCGACGCGTTTGTTGGGAACCACAGCATTGGCAGGGTTAGCCTTTGCGTTACGGAGCTTGCCAGCGCGATCGGGCATGTCGAGGTGCAGGTTAGACTTATGTGATCGATTTTTTTTGCAGTGCTGCATGCACACGGCGCAGCGTCAATGCCATTGCTATTCGTAGGGACAAGTGTTAGGGGATCTTATGCTCGTTTATGGTAGCCGAGACGCGTCTCGGTCACGGGTTTTTATTTTGCAGAACACGACATAAGATCACATAGAGCGTTTCCTAAATTGGGTCAGGTACATAAGATTGCCTAAGAACACCTAATGCCCAACAACCGGTTTTCACAGGGCATGATGAAGGGATTATCGGCATGCGACGGCCTAGAAGGCTGTATGGAGGGTCGGCGGTTCGCAAACACCGACGTTATATATCTGACGAGCTGTCTACCCAGCCTCTCTTTCCGTCGCTCTTTTGCTGCCTCCGCTACGTCCAGCCTCCTCAACCCCTGGTCCTTGCCTATGCCCGACCCCTTCCATGGCGGTGTTGACCAGTGGCCGTTGGCGATCGATGGTTCACTGACGTCGCCTGACCCCGCGCGTCGCGTGCAAAGCTGTCTGCTGCAGTTTTGCCCACGCTCCGGGCTCCGCGGGCAGAGGAGATCGCCTGCTCCGGCCTTCGAGGCGCCGGTGGTCATTTACTAGTACTTTCTGTCGACTCGTCTCTGGGTCTTTGAGCTTTGTCTCAGCGGTGTACACTCGATCCCATTTCACTGCTATAGAACGTCTCCACTTTAAAACCTCGACCCATAATAGACTCACGATTTCACAACGCTCGCCCACTAAACGCGCAAATTGACGCAATGCCCGCCAACGACACTGCATTGAATCCACACGGTTCGGAATATTCGATTCCTGTCTTTGACGTTGACGAGGCCGCTCGTACATTCACATCCGCCCCTGCAACAACAACCTCACATCCTCAGCCGAGAATCGATGTGAAGACGTTCATATGCCCACCAGACCATGTCTATCCCCTACACATTATCGCGAAACGGTATACGTTTCCTCGCCCACCGCCAAGTACAGAAGAGGAGAACGAAGAGGAAGGATTGACACTGCTTGTTCTCCACTCGACGTCGTTTCATAAGGAGACGTGGGAGCCGACGCTGCGAGAGCTAGCTGGGGTTATTTTTCGGAACCGGCAAGGTGACTCACAGCACGACAGCGAGTACAAGAAAGGAGGAGAAGGGAGGAGAGACGTGAAGGCGGATGCCAAGGCGAAGAGGGAGCGAGGCAGGCTTTGGGTGGACACTGCGTGGGTCGTCGAATGTCCGAACCACGGCGAGAGCGCGGTACTCAATCGCTCTATCGTTCGTGGGGCTCCATTCTTTGGAAACTGGAACTGTACGTCCTCTATATTCCTCTTGTTGCCTTACTCTGGACCCGCTAAACTTGACATGTACCCATTCGCTGTGCATATATGCGTGCAGTGGGATGCGAAAAGTACGCTCAGGCGGTTCACCGATTCATTCGTCTCGCACCGCGCTCCGCTGGCATGGACTTCTGGCGGAGAGGGATAAAGTTGGTAGGACTCGGACATTCGCTCGGGGGAGTTGCTGTGTACGTCCTTCCGATTCCCTATCTCTCTCTTTTCCTCCACCCCCCTTCGGTCCTCTTGCGGCCTCACACTCCCTTTATCGGTGTATGCATCTCGCTATCCTTCCAATCGTGGATATATGCGCACCCCTCACCTTGGTCATCACCACACGAACCATAAACTAACCCTTCTTCATCGGCCGTGGTGACCTAAATGAACACACGGAACAGCTCGACGCTCTCAAACCTACATCCTCTCCTCCCCCTCCGCACCCTCATCCTTGTCGAACCCCTGCTCAGCCCAGGTCCAGACGGAAACAAGAACATCGAAGCACTGCGCAAGGACCTCATCGCCGTCGCATCAAAGCGCAAGAACCGATGGCCATCGAGAGCGGATGCAAGCGCTTATTTCGAACGGTTGCATGCCCGCATACGAAAGTCCAAACAGAAGGCCCAGAATTCGGCGGGCGATACCAAGGATCCGTCGTCGCACCGGCTGGGTGGATGTGCGTGGGATAGCGATGTGGTGGGTGCTTTCGTGAAGTATGGGGTCTGCGAGAGCGAGGATAAGGCGGGAGGGGTCGAGTTGGCGTGTACACGCGAGGAAGAAGTGGTACGTGCTTTCGCCCTCATTCGTTCGTTTTCATAGGCTCAAGTTTCTCAATATCGTTTCACGTGGGCTTGTCTTGACAGAACATGTACAGCGAGCGCGACGGCGCGACGAAAGCCGTTGGCGACCTCGACGTCACGTGCGGGCGCTTACCCGTACATGTCGTGTTCGGGGAAGCTGGGGACTACGTGTGCGTTCAACTTCTCTCATTTCCGCTTTCCCTCGTCACTCTTTCATCGGCCCTCCTGCTTTTTACTCCGCGTTTGCCTCCCGCTTGATAAATTGGGCGCTTAATGTGGCGGAACTTTTCAGGCCCAAAAATGTTCAAGACGCGCTGGTTGACCCACGTTCGGGCCGACGGTTCGAGAGCGTGATTGAGATGGGCGGAGTGGGCCATCTGGTGAGTTGTTCACCTTTTCAAAATCATCTACAAGGGAAAGTGCTCAAGGCCGACCAGATACCCCAGCAATCCCCTCGGGCGCTGGCTAGCGCGCTCGCTGGTATCCTTGTCCGTGAATGGGACTCCAATGGCTGGTCTTGGGAAAGAAGTGCTGCTGCAATGACAGCGCTGGGGAAGCGGGAGAGGGCGAAGCTGTGATGATACAAAACTTCTGAAAAACGCAAGTCTTCGTTCGATGTTTCTGTTGAGCTTCTTTGATAACGGTGATTGGTTCCTAGGTTTAAGCCTTCATTTTTGTCTGCGGAGTTACATCTTAGCACGCAAATCCGTGAAAGACGGCGCGTCGTTGTTATAAGGGTGGTGCTCCCTCTCATATCACGTTTCTGATTGAGAATGATGTAGTGAACTACAACCATGAAATTTGATGACATGTACCGCTGAAGAACACGAATACATCAATGAATGATGCTCTTTACAGTCAGCAACGATAGTGTAGAGCAAAATACCCCAAGTAATGATACCATAAGAGGTACGCACGGGTATCTAGGCGATTTATATGCAGCATAAGTGAAATAAATATTATTATGATACAGCCAGCCAACATTGCAAGCAATCGAATAAAGAAACCGATAACCGCCCAATCACGAAGAACATTCCATCTCATTCTAACGCTCGTGTTCCCGAGTAAGTAGTTATTCATCAAAGATGGCTGACATAGCCTTAGGAAACAGCGCGAACCAGGTCCTCTGCTGCTCCGCTCGCTCTCACTGTAGCTGTCCTCCGGCCGTGCCCCGTCTGAGGCCCTTCCCACCTCATCAATTCGTCTAATCGCTTTTGCGCCTTCTCCCCTTCCCCATACCTAATGTCCATCGTGACGTCGAATATGCCTAAAAGGCAGTACGCCTTGTCCTCTGGACGCTCCGTCTCGCGCTCTTCTGCCCACTTGTGCTTGACGTCCCAGTTAGCGAGGCCGGGACTGAACCCGTCTGAGGTGAGATATCCAATTTCGATTCCAGTAACGCGTTTGATGGATGCGAGCCATTCGGGGTCGTCCTTCTGGTTGAAGAGACGTCGGGAGTCATCGGCACGCTCCAAGGTTCGCCAGTTCTTGGAGTAAAAGCGAAGCGTCTTCGGCGCAAGTAGTTCCTGTAAGGTCCAGCCACCGTAGAACCATTCACAGTGGCCGAGCCTGTGGCGTAGAAGCGCGTCTAGGGCATCCTTGTCGGGGAGGACATCTTCTCGGGCTGAGGCGAGGGCCCTGGCGGTCAAGCGCGACAGGGAACGTGGAAGGCAACTTACTGCTTTTCTTTGGGCCAGGCTCGGATCGGGGAGATCATGGAGGTAGACGATAGTGAGCGCAGAATTTTGGTACCAATTGAACATCGACGTGATAGACTCCTGCACCTCGCTGCTACTCCCTTTGTCGATGCAACATGTATCCGCCCAGGCCCACCGGAAACCGTGCTTCCACGCTGTGCAGCAGAACTCCCGGAGCTTCTTCAAACCACGCAATCGTCGGCCTGCGAGATCGACTTTATAAATGCTGGCTTCCAGCTTCAAGTCTGAAAACAGGACCTCTTCGTGCTTGAGCCAGCGGTGAGAAAACATGGCGTAGGAGAGAAGGTTGCGGACACGGCCATCCAAATTTCCTCTCGTGAACTCGACGACGCGAGCAATATGCTTGTATACCTCTAGAACAAGGGAGCGGAGGATTCCTGTGCGAGGGAGGTCGTGTCCTGCGAGGACGCTGGCCCTGTTCCATACGAGAGACTCGACCTGCATGTTTGTTGCAGCGCCCTTTGCTAAGGCGATCTTCAAGAAGTTGCTGAAGAGCTCGTATGGTACGTTCAAGTCGTAGGCGGAGCGTCCGAGAGATAGCTTCTGCTGCTTCGAGAAGAAGCTTGCAATAGAATCGATAGATTCCGAGGCATATAGGGAAATTCCTGCACGTTGGAGGTCTTGGCTCAGGACGTCGCCACGCGTTATGGACGTGATATCGGGATGATTCATGATGTTGTCTTTGATAGCGCCGTGGTCTTGCAGCATTCCCGTTTCCGTGTCAATGAGACGGATAGGCATGTCTGAAAGGGCTTTATTGACCGCTTCCTCAATGAGAAAGTGCTAGGATAGAGAGAAAATGGGAATGATAAGTTCATGAATTTATTACAAAAAAAATCCAGATTACATACCGTGGTCTCTATTCCTTGCTCTAGTAAGTTAGACTCGGACTCTGGTTCGTCGTACTACATGTACAAAAGCGTGAGCTCAGATTACTCACGGTGCATAGTCCCTGCACTTACCATCGACATGGGCTCATCAGTCCATTCTTGGTTGCCATCGTTGACATCGGAAGGAGCCGAGAAGTATGAATCGGTGAGCTATGGAGACGACCTGAAATAGTTAGGGCAATTGATATTTGGTAAGGATAAAGTATGCTCGCACGGTTGATTGCATGCGGTCGTTGCCGGACATGGTGACTGGATGGGTGCGATAAGTAACGGAAAGCGAGGAGCTGGGTCAGCGGTTGAAGTATCTAACGTCCCAGCCATGTCGAGCACAGAGCTTTTATACACCCAGATTCTCTCCCAATAAACGCATTGGTAAGGGCAAGGGACACCTGAGCACGAGGCATCCATGCAGCAGGAGGTGAAGGCGCGCCTGGTGTGCGCCGTCACGGTGCGCATAGGTAGTGCGGCGAGGCTGTTCGGTGGCTTCCTACCGTGACTCCGGAAGCTGTTCCGGGAACGCCATTACGGCTTACACGCGTATTGGTGAGCGGCTGGATAAATGTAGGGCTCGGAACGTACAAATCATGATCGTTCCTGAAGCTATTGTCTTAACCGGCGCCTTATAAATTATTCGTCTTTCAGAGGAAAACTTTGGTGTTTGTGGGAAAAAGAAAGAAGTGGTGTACATATCTAAACAAGAGTGATACGCATCCAGTGACAGCTCTTAAAGGAAAAAGAGGCTGTGGCGAGATCATCCTTGAGAGCTCAGTACGCGCTCGTAATAACACCACAGCACCTGCCACCTACTGTGGCTACTTTACCAAATAGCCTGCGTCTGTCGGGTTAACTGAGACTGAGATGCATATACTACATATCAACATGAAAGTTATAATCAGCACTGTTACTTGTACGGCTCCCTGGTGGAAGTATCTCCATGAAATTACCCAGAACATGATTGACTAGATACTAGTGATTTACAAGGACAGCGGAAATTCTAATGTTCTTAAGTGTAATTTTCGTCGCGCGCTGTAGGTTAAACAAGTGTTTCATAAATATAATAAAATAAAGCTATTGCTCAAAAATTGATAGCGCCGCGCTCCAGTGCACGGCAAAGCCCGTTACCTTTTACCTTTATAGTAGTAAATATTTTCAGAAAGCGTCTGACGCGCCGATGTACTTTCTCTTTGGGTCCTTGACGCTCAGGTGTGGCTCGTTCACAACCGTTATTGTATGGGAAGTGACCGGACCTTCAAGGAAAGGATGTCATCCGGATTTATATCTTCAATCATATCCTACGAATACCACACGGTGATATGATGGTGTCCAGACAATGCGAACTTGAAAATATCCATTGTGAACGTTCCGGATTGTTTACTATGTCAGCGACGTCCAGCCTGTGTATAAGGATAATAGTAGGTTTGGCGTACAACACTACCGTACACAGCTGAGCTGGCTGTTACCAACTTCGAAACCATTCCTGACTGCAAACTCGTCGATAACATACTACTGTGTGGAAGAGATTCTCTGGCAATGCGGGAGCTTCTATGCTGCTGACGAAGGCTTCATGGTAAACGACGAACTTGGCTGGTACTTCGCTAAATAAGGTCGTACATTGTTATCAAGGGGACAAATTAAAGGGAAGGGCAGTGTCACAAAAGCGATTGTCTGACAATAACTTGTCTCAATGCAGAAAATGGCAGCGCTGCAGGCACCAGTCACATGACTAGAGCCGATTTTTCAATCGCACCGCGAAGAACTGGGACGTTAGTGAGACCCTCTAACCCAGTTACCATAGACGGTAACGGGTATATACCTTTTTGCGCGATGATGCGGACGGCGGGGATGTCAGACACGTTGTTTAAACGCGGGAGTGTGATCTTTCCCAATCTGCTTGGAATTAGCCCATCTTTGAAATATGATGAATGAGATGACTAGTCGCCTTTCGGCGTTCGTGAATCCCGGATACGAGTCCGCAGCTGTAAATTAATCAGTCTCTATTGTTATCGGCAGTTACTAAGGCAAGTACGTGATCCTCACCCGCGAAGTCTTTAATTTTGATGCGATTGAAATGAGGGGCGAAATGAAGGCTTCGAGGCTCACCCGACGCCAGGTTAGCATGAATAACACGCGGATTGAGCGTGGAAGCTGGCGGGCCTCAATAATTCTGGGTGCTCAACATGTATCGCTTCCCGACAAAACAAGGCCAGCTACGGTATGACAAACATGTGGCCATCGGGGATGTTTCTTAGCCGCTTATAGACACACTGATAATTGCAAAATCGGGGCTTACAAAGAAGGGCCTGAGACTCGAATCGGTCAGAACGCTCAGCCGAGGAGATGAGATAACTGAGAGGGCAATTTCTACTGACAGGCGTGGAACAGCACGTTACGGACAGTGTCACTATATGTGGTACGGCGCCTAAAACTATTTGTCTTAGAAGCATATATACATCTCACCTGCTGCATTTACTTACTTGGAGTAGCATCACGCTTACCGTATACGTACTGTAAATTGTCGAGGATGGTGAGAATTTGCTTCCTATATCCCATCTCCAGGTGATTCATGCAATGTTCATGGATGACTAAGACGCTCTCGTGCTTCGACTTGCATATCCGCGTCTAGAAGACCTCATATCAAGTGTGGTATTTGGTAGAGAATCTGTTATACATGACATCCTACAGCCTCTTCTGTCTCCTGAAATTTCTCGACCATCTGAAATTAGGCTCGCGTTCGAGCCCCAAATTTTAAGCGCCGCCGACTCTATTTCTGACATTCCATCAGATAAGTACCTTTGTAAGCTCCGGCTCCACGACACGGCAATGTTTTCCCTTAGTAACTACCCACATGAGGTCTCCAAGTTCCTACAGGACTTCTATTTGTTGTCTGGACTAGGCTAAGGTTGGCGCTAGTGCTTTCACGCTGGGCTTAAACCTCCGGCCTCATCCGAGTTTAGGCGCCCGTGATGAATGCGATGACCCATCATGCATCAACCTTCACGCTGCTTTATGGCTAAGCAACACGGCACAAGTACTACAGTACTATGCTAACATGGTAAGCAGCTAATTGTATATCCTGACATCTTAGTTCACCTGGATTCCATAGGTATCGTATGCAACCGGTAACATGGTCCAGAAGACGAATACATTGTTGCCATTAGCAAACAAAGAAATGGCTCACGCTCGATTCAATGCTCCATTGCGCCTATGATAAGCTATTTCATTAACTTCTACATACTGAATAACTGATTTATCCGGAGTATAAGCTTGATAAATAGCAATAATTATGTATCACTGCAGTGTTTCAGACGTGTGCTTAAGCGAAAGACCAGGTCACGTTCTCGAGCTTGAGCTGGGAGAGATCAGCAAGCTTGCCGTAGGCAGTGGGCGTGAAGTCAAGGTCGGTGGCCTCACAACCGTTGCAGATGTCGGTGAGCTTCACGGTGACGCTCTTTCCGTTGTCTAGCGTATCGCACGCAATTCACTCAGTATGCGTTCTGAATCTAACAGGAAGCGAAAAGGGGGAGGATTACGAACAGGAGGCGTTGATATCCTTGTTGCAGAGGGATGCATCGAAGACCTTGCCGGCGATGGAAACAGCCAAGTCAGTGTCCTTGGTTACAGCGCCGCAAGCGCCTGCGACACCATTTGAGGAGTGGTAGTACCCTGAAATCGAAGAGTAAACCAAAGGACTAAAACATTGCCACGGTCACGTACCAGTGCCGGTCTGAGTACCAGTGGGGACCGAAGCTGCGTTGGCAGCAACGACGAGGGCGACAAAAGCCAAGGCCTTAGAAGCGAACATCTTGAAGGGTGCTTGAAATAGATTGAGGGATGGCAAAGGTACGCTGAAGTCGGTTTTGAGCCCTCCAAGCGGTCCTCCTTATATGCGCTGCTTCGTACACCGCGCAGAACTCGGCCTTCCGTGTGAGAAGTTCGTCGACAACGAGTAGGTGTTGCGGAGGACATAGCCAAGGTCTGTTAGCATCGCGTCGTTGCCGTATCATCATGACGCGAAGAAGGGTGGAGGCATGTACATCCATACGACACGAAAGCTGCCAACGCATCGACTTGAAAACTCGCGCATGAAGCCGCGGCGGAGGAAAGGCGGCAAGGCTAATGACGAGCTGGCGCCCAGAGCATTGTAAGCACAAGCCTGTAGTCTCCGAGGTAAGCTTTGAGTCAAAAACAACCTTGACCCACTTCTTAACCGTGCGGGATGTCGATGGATGTAGAAGACGCACTCAGGTGACCAGAGCGAGCACAAGTGAGCTGGTCAAGGTTGCGGCAGCGTTGGCAGGATCGCGGAGCGCGTGGAACCGCGGTCAAGTGTTTGCTCGCGCCAAACAAATACGCCCCTGAATTGGAAGTCACTACCCTACTTTGGGGTTAAGCTCCCCAAGTCCATCGTCGTGTGCCGGTACCAAACGCTCCGGGCGGTGTCCCTCGGTCAACCAGGCAGGGGCCACATGTGGGTCATCTTTTATGACATTGCAATCGTCAGAACACGTTCATAATTCCCTGAAATCGCTAACCCTGGCGAGGCCCAGCTAAATACTTCGAGCTACCCCGAATACTAGTAATAGTGGAACTTGGAGCGAACCAGAAGGCATCGCAAGTCTTACTTCAGTTTAGAGCCATGTATGAAGGCACGCCAAGAATGCTGAAGGAATAGCTCACTTCACTCTGGGTTTTGTTACACCCGGATTGAAGCAGTCGCCATCAATGTCACCACATGTTATTGCATTGTATTAAGTACTCGATTGTTAACACTCGTCGATGCTGTTCTTGCTGACGCCCCCGTATCGCCCACATTGCATCCATCTCCATCAGCAGCCAAAGTGTCTGCAAAGCTCCAGAGGGTGAGGGGGAGGATCCCGAAAATGAACAGAATATGGTACATGCACCCTTAAGCTTGCCTGTCGTCGCTCTTTGAAGAAATCTGATGAAACGGCTTGCTTTTTGCGCTTTCGGCGATTGCCTAATATTTTCTCACGCTTATCATCCATAGTGCCTTTCCCACGAGTGGGAACGCGAGTTTACGAAGTTCAAACCAACCATGGACGATAAAAATCTATTCGGTAAAGAGGACGGATAAGCCCAGAAACTCCTGAAGCGATTCTGGTCAGAGCAGTGGTATGTTCAATACGTCAAGGAACGTGGAGACGCGCAGGCAAATATTAATCGCCAGCACGTCTCCATGTTCTTCTCGTAGTACATAATTGGTTGCATGGGAAGCATTATATTACATTTAATTTCCTAAAGTACTAACTAAATTCTACTAGGGTACTCACACGCTCAACTCTTTGCAATAGAATGGTAAGCAGAACTACATACATAACAGTTTCGTTGCCGTGACAAGTTGACAGACTCCCGACACGCATGCATGTAAACAACCACATACACATGAAATTTTACGGAATGTATTCTAAATCGTGATTACGAAAGTTTCTCGAAACTACGTACTTTAGAGGACATTAGCCACAGTATATAGTCTATGTATTACACTATGCTGATCTTTACGCGGTTTCCCTTCGGGCTATTCTCCTGCCCGGGACAAACCACGCTCGCACTGTGTCGGCGAGCCCCAGCGACTTGAATTCCAATTTCCAACAGAATGAGCTAACACCTTACAATTCTCCCTCCGCCTCGTCTGTGCACTTGACGTCAACAACGTTCTCACCGTCTGCCTGCATATCCTTGTCTATTTGTCTCCGCGTCTGTTGTGCCCGGAGCCCAAACACAGTCACGCCAAATCCTGCAACAAGAGCACCCTGCAATATAATGCCCTTTCGCATGTCATACGGCGGATTCGCGTCCTCACCCCCACGGAGGGCGCCTTCAGCTGTAGAGTAGATGAAATATTGCATGAATGAGGACATGGGTTAGGTAAGTTCACGGGTGCAGTAAGCGACGAAGGTATCAAGGAAGGCGTGGAAGATAGATGGGCGGGGATAATGATAAAGAGGATGACGCAGCTCACCAAGAATCATAATGACACCAAATAAATTTCCACTACACCACAGCACTGCGGCGCTCCCATCCGCATTTCGCGTCAGCTCGCACCCAAGCTCGAGCCCAATCGGAAGCATGATAACGGAACCCGCCCCAATGACCGCAAAAATAACGAACAGTGCGCCAGCGTTATCCGGGCGGATAGCCCAGACAAGCGAAAGCCACCCGACAGAGACGAGCGGGACAAGCACTTTGATAGTAATGCCGTAGTGGTGCGTGAAATAGCGGTCAAACAGCGGTGCGGTAACAATGGCGCCCACAATGCCAGCGAGGAGCAATGTGGCTCCCATAAAGCCAACGATATTATCGCTATATCCAGCGGGTTCAAGGTACTGTGCGGAGAGGATGGAGAACCCAGTGGTTCTGTAATGGAAATAGTGAGCGACGTGTAATTGAGAGTGCGCGGGCGATAAATGTTACGTACGCGCCGACGAGGACACCAAAGAGCACGACTATAAGTGCAAAGTCGAGACGTTCGCGCGGGGACATACATGCGCGCTTTGAGCACTTCATGCCGAGCATCGCGCGGATAAGGGATGAAATCGACTCAGAGGGCTTTGAGCCGGAGTAGGCTACAGTATATGGGTGTGGTGTCAGCCTGAACCTTTGCCAGCATGTACTATCCCTAATTTAGGCTGAAAGACATACTAGGTGGTATGGTAGGGCGCTCGCCAATTAACAAAGTGGCTGGAGATGCAACAGTGGAGATGATAGCGAGGACGAGAAGCTGTTTCCGAGCCAAGCTGTCGTGTCATACACTGCGGATCATGACATAGAAAGGGGAACAAAAACATACCGATCTTTTCGGCGTACCCACTAACGGCGAGAGGAGCTGACTCAGACCACCTCCCACAGGATTCGCTGTTAACCAACGGTTTGAGCGTCATCACTACGTATATTAAGGGGTCTGAAAGTCAAGCACATACCTATGCCAATTAACATGGTGGCGGTCGTCCTCCCTTCGAGGTTGAACCATCTCTCAGAGTATAAGGGGCCAATTACTTGGTATATTGGCTGCACGACACCCGCTATTAGCTGTCAACCTATGTTATAGTGCTTAAAATGTTGCGCTAGATTAGAGACGTAAGCCCACCTGACCAAGGAATAGAAGCAAGTAGGCACCACTAGGGGGTAAATATATAGCTGTTGCGGCGAATCGGAGCCATGCCCCAATAATCATCATAAGGACGCCGAAGTGAGCCTTGAGGGAGTGCAAGCGAAGTATTGATCATAGAAGCAAAATTGGGTCGGGACCAAAACGCACCACTCTTCGTATCCCAAAACGACTGATAAACATGGGAATTGTCAACGATACGGGAAGGTACACGAGCGCGACAATATTTCCGAGCCAGTTGACCTGGATGACGGATATGGAGAACTGAGAAGCAGCTATTTCATAACACAAGACGTATAATGAGATTTTGAGTCTGATGGTGAGCAGAGATTTGCTTACTTGCGGTAGCTATAGGTCCGAACCATGGCCATGGCATGGCGGAGACGATCCCAAGCACCACCTACAATGACGTGTCCATGTACATAATTCTGATATCATTGAATGAATTGCTGGAACTTACGAGTGCAATTAGCCCTTGGAACCTCCTCTTGTCAAGCTTGTACGGTATGGGCGACTTGCCGTGCATATTGCTTTCATGTACGCCAAACGAAGGGTTATTGCTAGAGTGGAAAGTTTGCATCGTAAGGGTCTTTGACGATTCATCGGTATTGATAGGGTTGGAAATAGAACATCCTTCGAGCGGATTTGTGTTCCCCGTTTCAGAAAGTCTTGAATTAGACTGTATAAAGATGATATTTCACATAGAACAGTTTAAGCTGTAAAGTTGTTACTCTACATACCAAGTAATATGTCAGAGACACTAAGGGCCAGGGGGACATTCTGGCTTATGCAGGATGAGACAGAACGAGTCGGGAGGGAAGTTGTAGTCTTTATAGTCATGCAGTGGCACAAATAACTAATCAACAACAGGGAAAGGGACAGCCCGATAGAACAACACGCGGCCATTCTACGGTCGGCATTCTAAGTTCTGGGGATTTCTCACACCTTGAAGCTTGCGGTCTTATCTTCTGGGTGCTTCTAGTGAACCCATCGTATCCGCATTTCGGCAGGCGAGCCTTGACGATCAATCGGTTCCGTCCAAAACCCTTGTAGGGGCGCGTTTCAAATTCAAGAGTAGGGCGATCTAGATTGAGAATGGAAAAGAAACCCTGATCACAGCCTTTGTACGCGGAAGAGAAACCGAACACTAGTACTATATTTAGTCGAGGCACCAAACCTGGTCGTCTGTTCCCCTTCCCGCAATGCATTTCCAGCCCCTAAGTTCTGCTACAGGTGAGATATTGAAAGGCCGTGAAGTCAAGCACTCAGACAAGCGGATCTCGCAAACAGTGCTAGGAAAAGTGTGAATGGACCCCTCACCAAAGCTCGAAGTTTCTGAAAATGCAATTTCTCGGGCACTCAAGTACTCACCGGCACTAGCGATGTCTATTTTAAGGCTAACACAGCATGTGGTAATATTTAAGCGCGTTTGGGCACCAAAATTGACCCGACGGGGATGTACTGCGGCCCTGGACATCACAGTGTTCTGTTTCACAACGTTCGGGCGGCGGCCAGCTTTTGGACAGAGGTATTTGGAGAGCAATTACACATAGATTTACAGTAAGTCATGCCAATGTGAAAAGGACACAAGGATTTTTACTTCAGGAAGAGGCATTATTGATATCCACGATCTGGTCGAGATAACTTGTGGCCTTATCAAGAGGTAAGCGGAAAACACGCCCCTTCACAGGCTGGATACAGTCTTAGGGGAGGGTGCAGAAATGGAAACTCGGAATCATTCAAATTGCAGCAACGATACGACAGGCTCCACAAATATCGAGAGTCTGTTGGTTCAACAACCGGCGGTAACTGGCTACAGCTGACATGCGTTATCACATTGTTTAGATACCACAGTAAAATAGTGAGAATGAAAAATGTGAGGCTCGAGAATGCATTGAAAGTATTGGTTCATCTACTTCGCTTGACAGAGGGGGTAGCGATCCTTCTTCCACAAGACATGCCCACCGCGTAAATAAGCTCAAAAAGATGGCAGATAGACACGTTAAAGAATATTGTTATTCCCCGGTAAAGCTGGCTCGGCGTCCTAACAGTCCCTTTGAATATGAAACCCTGCCACCGGTTACATCTAGTTACCGAAGATCTCCAAGGTCTCCCCTGAATCTCGCTCTCATTGACCCAGGGCAGTATCCGAGCCTTGGAAATGCACAGGCCAGAATTATTGACGGCGATGATGCACTACTACAATTCCCTGGAGTGTTGTTACATTTCCTCTCCGATCCGTCCGTACCGTTATTTTCCTGTGTCCTGGTAGATCATCACACAAGTACGCCTGTAATCAATGTTGGATAACTATAGAAGCTATATTCGCTGTTAAGTGAGACCTGAAATTTCCACAGAGAACGGTCGCTAACAAAGTGGCGATCCGTGCTTAGCCATAGCGATCAACCGCACAATATGCCATATGAGCGTCACAAGACTCTTGGACCTCTTTTTATAGCGGTACTAAAATTGCTATCTCAGGCGGCCATGCATCACTGACATTGGACGATCGGCCCGGAAAACTTCCTGGCACTGAAAATGAGATTCCCATTGAATTGAGCGGGCGGTAGAGGAGTGAAACAATCGCTCCGTTTTCTCAGCACTTAAATACCCCCTGGTATATTTTCGCTTCCTTATTAGCTTACTTGGCTTCGAAGAATTTTCCCTGTTTCATAATGGCGAATTCGGTTGCGTCGCAGCAGCAAGAGCAGGAATACCTATTCGGACTTCTCCTTCAAACTGCTCATATGATACAAACTACGGGACTTTGTCAAGGTATGTTCTCCTTCAGAAGTGTTAACACTAGTGGAGAAGTTATACTAAATATGAATCTGCTTATTCAGTCTCTGCAGCTGTTGTTACAGTTTACGATCATGGTCAGAGCTTAAAGTGTCAGCTGGTTTGTAATGTTGACATAAAACGCGATTTATGAACAGTTCAAAGCTTCGATGATGAGGTATACATGACCGTTTTCATCATATAATCGTGACATATTGACTGCCTATTCAAGATCCGATATATATGGGTGAGTTCTAGGCCTGCTATCAATTGTTCTTCTCACGCGATGTTTCAATGCGCTGAGTCTCCACTAAGAAACGGCCTTTCTCTCTTGTCACTTTTTTCTATCTTGTGGTACGCATTTGAGTTTATTCACCATTTATCCTGATACAGAATACTCGCAGAACCGGTACATGGGAGATGCTATGATGGTGTAAGTGCTTATAACAGCTCTCGTATCTCACTAATCTCACTCAATTTGTAGTCTCAACATTCTACGTAGGTGATTCTACTGAGATGTTTCTAACGATAAAATTCGTTGACATGGAGCAGTGTCTATCAACGCATCGTTCACAACCAAAGTATGTAAAAGCGGACTGTGTCGGTTATTTTCGCATCGGTTAACACCTTATTCTCAGGCGTAAGATCTTCATAGAGCTATGTCGGATAGCTGATAATGGTTTGGGCGTCTTTTTATTCCCCCCCCGCTCAGTTGTAGGACATTCAACAACTCGTTTATCCACCTGCTAACATGCTATAATCTACAGGCAAGAATTTCGAGCTAGTCACCGTCTTTGGGCCAATAATATGCGTGTGGTCGACTCAAAGTACGCGTCATTCATACCTTTGTGTTGAGCTAATTACCTGAGTTTATCTTACTGCAGTGATTATGCAACTACGGCTTTACGTTATGTATAACAACTCCAGGAAGCTACTCGCGTTTACTCTCACCCTCCTCTTGGCAGAGATGGCAGGGATGCTGGTGGCGGTATTTGTGTGGTTGCGTAGTATTGCTTACACGAACCGTCCTCTCGCCCCTTTCATCAGCTCATGGCACATGTGCGCCTTCACCAGCTCTGGGAGAGTGTTAACAGCAGTATATGTTCCCATTTTCTCCTATGAACTCATGATGTTTTCCTTGGCGCTGTTTTCGGTCTTTAAGAGGTTAAGAGTAGACGTAGAAAGGTGGAAAATAAATCCTCTGCAAGCAACAGTGAGGATGTTGCTCAGAGACAGCATTATATACTTTTTGGCGTGAGTTATCTTCCGCTATAAACGACGATTGACATTGGCTTCATTGCTTATTCATTTTACGTCATAGATGTTTTACTGCCTGTGCAGTGGCAACCGGCATGTATCTCAGCCTGTCCGTGAGTTATATAGCTAGCTCGTATGTGGGACCACCCTGCCGATTTACTCACGAAAGATGGAATTTCTAGTCGGAATACATAGACATCATAACGGTGTTCCTTACGGCTGGGTCCGTGATATTCGGCAGCCATTTGGTCCTTGCCACACGAAATTTCAGACCTGCACGTTTGGTGTCCAGTACGAATCCCGTCAACAGGGGCTCGGCGTCAACATCTATGGTACCAGCGTCCGCCGAAGGAGAGATCGAATTAACACATTTAGGTTGATAATTCGTATAACGTACATGTATGATGGACAAGTACAAGAGTCACTATGAGCGTATCTCTGTGAAAGCACGCTGAGAGGATCTCTAAGCCTAAATCTCTCAGTAACTTCGTTTAGAGATCGAGAGGTGGCCAGTCGATCTATCTATAGTTCATATGGCGAATTGCTTCTCCCACATGTCATGTATATTCACGTGCAGAAAACACCCGATGCGGCGTTTGAAGAAGTGGCGAGGCAGGCTGCATATGAAACTTCTCTCTTATCCCCGTCCTAGCGAAACCATCAACTGAGGACACCTTTTGCAATACCATCATCGCCTTCCGCTCCAGTCATCACCCTACTTGAAAGGACCCGGTAGACGTAATTGAGCCTGTATGTGCCAGTATCCTAGTTTGAAACCTTCCCCTATGCACGATTAGGATAGGTCTCGGATCAGAGGCATACCATGCACATCATATCTGGCGACCTGAAGCTGCTTACTATCGTCATCGGGCTCGAAATACTTACGTTCTAAACGAGGTACTTCACAATCGTGGGCTTCCGCCGGAGGACCGGCTGATAATGCACATCCCATGAAGGGATTTTTCACATGTGCTTTACGCGTTTCAGGACATGGACGGAAGGACACAGTGATGCTACGAACCTGGTGACAGTCCTTGAGAGGCAGTTCCATCTGGGCCCAAAGAGCGTGCGAGATGAAGACGCCCAGACGAACCGTGCCTCCAATCGGAAGATTGGAGCGAGCGGTTCCGACGGGTCGTCTGTTACCTCTTTCCAATGTGATGAAACGAGTCGGCCCGGCACCATAGCCACCGAAACAGGGCGCCCCTACGACCTTCCACGCACCATGCGAAATTGACGGTCGAGTCCTTGATGCACAGATAGATGTATCTCCGGTGCATCAGAGGCATGCCCGCGTTTCGACGTGAGGAATGTATGTTTATGGAGGCCGTACTACGATTGCCCAGCAGTCAGTGATCTTGATGGTGAGAAGCGGTGGATACGTCCTGTGAGAGGCGTGGCTAAGCGCAAAGAGGCCATGCGAGCTGAACATGTTCAGCCTCTTTCGGCCAAGGTTGCACGCGTAAGGGCCTTGATTATGGATACTGCCCGGGCAGCGGCAGCCACGTACTGTCACGGAGTATTATAATCAAGAGATGGCAAGTTGAATGATATGAAAACAAAAGACCAAAGAACATGACACGAAGCTGTCATGTCTAGATCACTTGTCGCTGGTTGAGATGCATCGAAGTGTTAGCCTACCAAACTGAGCGACAGTTCGGACCTACTGTGACCAATGTTAATGAGCACTTGAATCTGTTACCATATCTCTGTAGCAATATTCTTCACTAACTCATATAACACAGAATATTTGAACGCTGGGCATGTCCTCGCAAGGACGTAGAGGATCATGGTGTCACTTTCCCCTTCTCAATGTCATACCAAGTTTCATACTTGACTAGAGCGACTTGATCATCGTCGAACGTTCAAAGCATGAGATATGGAATATCTTGTGTTCTAATCTCAAATGACGCTACAAAGTTTGATTATAGCGGATAACATCGAGGTTTAAGACAAGGAGGGGATGCGACGGTCTACTCACTTGGCATGATGACGGGCATCGGTTTACGCCTGCTAAACGAATCGCGTTCTTCCCGCTCATCTATATGGTGGACTGAAGTTTCTATTCTGTAGTGAAAACAATATATAATACAAGCGTGATTATGCTACAAACAAGCAATTGTTTAAGAGCAAGAAAACAACAAATTCCGAACGACGAAAGCTCTGCGCTCCTCTAGCGGAGCAGAACCTCAACAGACCCCTGCACAACAAACAAGTGCACCAGAGCCACGCGGCACGCCCATCGAAGATGCATAACTCCTCTCCGCTCTAGTCAATCTGTCGCTCTACGCCTCCTCCACCGCGCCGGAGTGCCTTCCCTGCTGCATCGCCTCGTCCATCTGGCGGCGCACCTGCTTTGCCTGCAGGGCGAACACAGTCGCGCCGAATACACAGATGACGACACCGTGCAGAATGATGCCGTTCCGCATGTTATACGGCGGGCTCGCGTCCGCGCCTGCGCGGAGAGCACCTTCGGCTGTAGAACGCACATGTCGTGTCAGCATAATAACCAACAATGATAGCAGAAAGTGGGAACCATCGACAACGATGGGAGGGATAAAAAGAGACGAGGAAGCTCACCGAGATTCAGAACCACCCCAAACGCACTCCCGCTACACCAAAGCAGCGCCGCACTTCCATCCGCGCTCCTCGTCAGCTCACACCCCAGCTCGCGTCCGATCGGGAGCATGATCATCGACCCTACACCGATAACGCAAAATATCGCAAACAGCGCGGCGGTGTTGTCCGGCTTAACCGCCCAGACGAGAGACAGCCACCCGGCGGCGACGAGCGGGACGAGCGTCTTGAGCGTGACGCCGTAGTGGTGCGTGAGGTATCGGTCGAACAGGGGTGCGGTCGCGATGGCGCCGATGATGCCTGCGAGGAGCAGAGAGGCGCCCATGAGCCCGATGAGGTCGTCGCTGTACCCCGCGGGCTCGAGGTATTCGGCTGAGAGGATGGAGAATGTGTTGGATCTGTATATGTCATGCAACGAGATCAGATAAAACGATAGAGTGGAGAAGGAGGAGAGCTGTACGCACGCGCCAACGAGAGCACCGAAGATGAGGATCATGAGTGTGAAGTCGAGACGCTCGCGCCAAGACATGTATGCACGTTCGGGGCATTTCATGCCGAGCATCGCACGGACGAGGGAAACTATGGACTCGGAAGGCTGCGAGCCGGAGTAGGCTGTGTGTTGCATTAGCACATTGTTCTACTCACAAGCATTCAATATGCAACGAAACATACTTGGTGGCGTGGGCGGGCGCTCGCCGATCAGGAACGTGGCGGGAGCGACGGCAGACGTGATGACAGCTAGTACGAGGATCTATTCCAGCAGAAAGCACGTCAGAAAACTGCACATCAACAGATAGATATGAAGAGCAAACGTACCGATTGCTTGGGCGTGCCGACCAGCGGCGAGAGGACCTGACTTAGGCCTCCCCCAATGGCATTGGCTATAAGCCGTCGTTAGCTACATATGCGCATGGCATGGTTAAGGAAACTCACATATACCAATCAACATGGTTGCAGTAGTCCTCCCTTGGAGGCTGAACCATCTCTCAGAGTATAGCGGGCCGATGATCTGAAATATGGGCTGTACGATAGCTGCAAGGATCTAACACGATGTTTGCGGTCAGATGCTCCGCCATTGTATTGGACAATGGCATTGCACAACATACCTGGCCGATGAACAGCAATGCGTATGTGCCTCCAGGAGGCAAGGAAGAGACTGTTCCAACATATCGGACCCACGCCCCGATGAGCATAAGGATGACGCCGAAGTCAGCCTTTGATGAAGGAATGAAAGGTCAGTAACGTCAAACAAAACAATGCGTACAGGAATCAGAGCTTACCACACGACGTATCCCAAACCGACTAATTAATAAGGGTATCATCAACGACACGGGTATGTATACGATCGCAACGATGTTGCCAAGCCAGTTGACTGCGTCGATGGATATATCAAAGTCGGAAGCAGCTGGAGAAGGAGAACACCAGTGAATTTCAGCGTCATGTTAGCAGCCATGATGAATGTGCTACTCACTGGCAGTAGATATGGGTCCAAACCACGGCCACGGCATGGCGGTCACGATACCGAGGAGCATCTGGAGCAGCGTACGTTCATCAGCTTACCATAGACGTGCAAGAAAGGGCGAACACTCACCAGTCCGGCAACTCCTACAAATCTCTCCCTGTACAGCGTGTACGATGCGGGTGTGTCCCCTTCACCACCCTTGTTCACACTGAGTACACTCGAGGCGACGGACCCGCGCCGCTCTTCGTACGACACCTTCGTGATGGAAACTGAATCGGACATGTGGGTGGCAAGCGTCTTGGAGGATTCTTGGCTGTAGACGGTGTGGGAGCGAGAACGCTGTTCAAGTTCGGTGCTGTTGTTCATAGTGCAACAGGAATGCAGGGTATGGCTTGAGGTATGAGCCGCGGAATATGCTGTGTTGCGCGTTGCGGTATGTTGTAGTGAAGCTGAGGATCCGCAGTCAACTGACGGTTATTGCACCTGTCAAATGATGACCTGTGGATGAAAGAGATGGAGGGAAGCGAGGAGCGGGATGAAAGGGTTAAATGGGTGCTGGAACTCGGCGGGAGTGGAAGCAAACCTGGCGCGGAACGTTTCACCACGTGAAACTCAAATCATCGTCACAGGCACCGAAGAGGGCGTGGCGTGGGAACCCCCCACAAAATCCCCCACGAAACCCCTATTGGGATATGCCCCCGCCGGCAAATGCAGATCTTCCCACGAACTATGTCATTGTGGACTGTCAAACACTCGTCCGACGTCGTGGACTTTAATTGTGGCAGTGCATACCTTAACTGCGTACCGATCGCTCCACCTAACTCGACCAAGCACATATGACTTCCGTATGTTGAGAGGAAACGATAACACCCCTGTATGCATGTTAAGGGGGGCCGAAATTCGAACACTTACAGGAGCTTTCCAGCAGGTGAACGCTCTTACACTCCTAGATTCCACCTGCTGAAACCCCGCGGAAGTTTCGAAGCAGGCGCAATGGTAACGTCATGGAGCAACTACATGGGGCATTGAACAGTTTGAACCATCTTTATCTCCTCTTACTCGCTACACCGCCTCTTGTAGAGTGTAACTAGACTCCAAGACCGGCTCTTCTGCATACACGGTACTAGCTGGTATTCGTTCTAATGAATGAGGAGCCATCGACCGCCATTACGACATGATATCATATTTTTCAGGTAAATGTAGAAGAAAGCGATTGCGCTCGTGACTGCTTCTTAGGTCTTGCGATGCCTTGCGCCGACGACTTACATCAGATGGGGAAAACGGAGATTCCACGCAAAGACACTAGTGAATCTTATCCGGGTAATCGGGGGACTATTTCGCGCCGTGCCATATCATAAGCCATTAGTCTCGATTTTTCTTCATGTGTCTGTCTCCGTTTGCTTTATCCTCCGTTTTCTCTCGTTTTCCTAGTGTGTTTTCATGTAATGAAACCAGTAGACACGCTCCGAGACTATGCATTTCCGTAAGCACGTAATACATAACTACGAGTGCGCCACATTTCCTAAACACTTGATATCGCTGTTACCTCTACACCCATGTGATACCCTCTACACATACTCCGGCTACCGGTTCGTGACAGGGCTGCTTTGGTTCTAGACGTCTCTCTCACACAATTAACTTGATCAAAATGCATCCCCAAAAGCTCAACGCTAAACCCGCGTTTTCAGTCTCATGACCCGAACTGCCTCGCGAATGTTGGCGACGAGAATGACCGAGATAAGGACCGCCGCGACCAACCGTTCTTTCGCTCGTAACATAATTCCTCAAATCACCCGTCCAGCGGCCGACGTCGTTGGTTCGACGGCCCGAGCTAGAACACACACAATGAGTCAGCGTAATGGCTGCTGGGAGTCGTCTCGGGAGGCTGTAGATGTTCACCCGTCATGTCAAAATCCTGCATGCACATCGCCGCATGCTAGTATCGGTCCCCTTCAGAACACCCCTACCGAATTTCATTCAACATAGAAATACGTGTCTCCGAAGACAGAAAAGAAGCGAATCAAATCTCAGCTGTCGTTGCACACATCTTTTGTGAAATAATAAAGTGCCCATGCTGCCAGTTTCTTGATACGTTCAAGTAGATATAGCCTTCGCCCTCCAACCAGTACCTGGTTGAAGTCTTCGTACATTGTGCCGAGATCGTACTAATACGTACACATAATTATACAACACAAACTTAGATAAAAGCATAAATCACAAACCCGCACCCTCCTACACGCAACCGAATATCCGATATTCCCAGCCCACAACCAAATCCCCCGACCCGTACTCAACGACTCGCAACATCTTACGCCTCCCCATCTCCGGCATTCTCAACCGCACGTGTGCCCTCCTTCTGCATTGCCTCGTCCATCTGCCTTCGCGCCTGCTTTGCCCGTAGTCCGAACACGGTGACACCGAACCCAACTACAAGGGCGCCCTGCAAAATAATTCCCTTGTGCATATCATGTGGCAGCGCCGCGTCTGCGCCAGCACGGAGGGCGCCTTCGGCTGTACGCCACAGCAACCATTGAACGTCAGCCAGATATTTACGATGATCGATGAAACCATAACCGTGAAATCAAATAAACCCAAAAACCCCACGCACCAAGAATCATAACCACCCCAAACAAATTCCCACTACACCAAAGCAGCGCCGCACTCCCGTCCGCATTCCGCGTCAACTCGCACCCCAGCTCGAGCCCAATCGGGAGCATCACCACGGACCCCGCGCCCACGACCGCAAAGATCGCGAACAGCGCGCCCGCGTTGTCCGGCCGCACCGCCCACACGAGCGAGAGCCACCCGGCGGCGACGAGCGGGACGAGCGTCTTGAGCGTGTGCCCGTAGTGGTGCGTGAAGTACCGGTCGAATAAAGGCGCGGTGGCGATGGCGCCGACGATCCCGGCGAGGAGCAGGGTCGCGCCCATGAGCCCGATGAGGTCGTCGCTGTACCCCGCGGGCTCGAGGTATTCGGCGGAGAGGACGGAGAAGGCGTTGGTTCTGGTTACGTTGTTTTGCGAAGGGGTGGTGTAAGTATTTTAGAAGAGGAGGGATGGAAGTGGGATGATACGCACGCGCCGACGAGAACGCCAAAGATGAGAATGACAAACGCAAAGTCCAGCCGCTCGCGCGGGGACATGTATGCTCTCTTGGGGCACTTCATGCCGAGCATAGCGCGGAGGAGGGACAATATAGACTCGGAAGGCTTCGATCCAGAATAAGCTGCATATCACGTTGGTTTCTGCATTCTCATAGGGCGAGATACACGTACTCGGTGGTGTAGGCGGCCGCTCGCCAATCAGAAATGTAGCAGGAGACGCAACGGACGATATGATAGCGAGCACGAGAACCTGACATCAAGCCAAGCGACAAGATCAAGAACCAGACACAAGGTGAAAGCCGAAAAAGAACGCACCGATTGCTTCGGCGTGCCGACCAGAGGCGAAAGCAGCTGGCTCAGACCTCCACCCACGGGGTTCGCTATACCAATCAACATGGTCGCAGTCGTCCTCCCTCGGAGGTTGAACCATCTTTCAGAGTATAGCGGCCCGAGGACCTGGAATATAGGCTGCACGATAGCGGATATAAACTGCACGCGAATACACTTGAGTACTCTACCGCGTCACGTTTTCGACGAAGTTGGCATACCTGGCCGAGGAATAGAAGTGCATAGGAGCCTCCGGGCGATAAAGACGGGATCGTTCCTGCGTATCGGATCCATGCCCCGATGAGCATCATGACAACGCCAAAGTCAGCCTTGGTGAGTATATAGAGGGAGGGTCAGTCGTCAAGGTACGAATATAACATAGATAATGACGGAAACGCACCACTCGCCGTATCCCGAACCGGTCGATAAATAAAGGTATCATTAATGAAACAGGGAGGTATACAAGGGCGACGATATTGCCGAGCCAGTTGACCTGGTCAACGGATATATGAAACTGGGCAGCGGCTTTCGATGGAGAAGCGTTGGGGTATGACCTCCATTCTACAGTGACAGGGACTGATCCACTCACTGGCAGTAGATATAGGCCCAAACCATGGCCATGGCATGGCAGTCACGACGCCGAGGACCATCTGGGACATCGTCCATTCATGGACTCACCAGGAGGGGAGAATAAAGCGCAGGCACTTACCAGTCCAACAAGTCCTACAAACCTCCGCTTGTATAGCCTGTACTCTCCCGGCGCCTCCTCCACGTCCTCCTCTCTCACGCTGAGAACACTCGAGACATCCCGCTGCCCGTCCAATGACCCCTTCTTGATAGAGACTGAATAGGATCTCTGCCCCGTGAGGGTCTTTGATGAATCCTGACTGTTTGTGGTGTGAGAACGAGGGCGTGCCTCGAGCTCGGTACCGTCGTCCATTGCGGAGCCGCGCCGTCTGGGAACCTTGATTAGGGTATGATAGGCTTTGGTATATGATGCGTCGTGTGACACGGTCTACAGCATGAAGCTAGAGTCCGCGAGTCGAATGGAGGTAGCAGCGACTGTCGAGGCTGCGGCAGGATAGCGCTACCTATGCTCGTGCAGTGATAAGAGGGAGGCGGAAGGAGAGGGAGGTGGTGGACGGAGGGAGAGAAGCTGAACGAGCGAGTTAAGGAACGGGCGCCGGTGAGCCGGAGCCAATCACCATGTCATCGATTCAGGCACAAGGAACGGGGGCGGCCCCACATCAATCATTCACCCGCCAGCAGCTATCTCAATGTACTAGCACGCAAGTAGCACTATATGTTAATTAGAGCTTAACGAGTCTATTTCAATACAACGACGCCCTAAAGATGCTGGCCACCCATAACTACGGCTCAGTGAGTCACGATCTAAGCCAGAAGGAAAGGAATGAGAGCGCGTTGCTCGATTTCTAGGAATACCAAGATATCAGTAATAATGAGAGTATCGTGCACATAGTAATCTTTGCTTTGTCTCGTCCTGATTTGAGTGGCGTCTTCTGATTCTAACGAGAATATATCAGACTCAAGTCGCCGGACTGCATAGAGATTCGCTCACCAGTGTGCTACCGTCCCTCATTGAGAAATGCATTACATCCAACGCTTCCCGAGTGTCTGACTCAGGGTCTCCCTCCAAAAGCCAGTCCCACATACGCGCAACTACTAGACCTGGTTCCTCATAGCGTTCACCGGGAAATTCATCACAAAGCTCATACATACGGCCAGTCTTCTGCGAGCTTTCCAAAATAGCGTTGGCTTTAGGGGAAGATTGACAATCAAAACACCTAGAATTTGGGCACGATGAAAGCGGATGCATCCATCTTTAGTCCGTACCCATGTGTAAGAACGAAAGGTACGAGTACACAAACGGATGCCGATTACTCACAAGGAGGCTCAAACAACGCAAAGCGAAATCCTTCTCCAGCTTTATGCGACCGACGAGAATCAAACCCTACTCCTGATTCAGGATGTCAGAACGGTAAAGGCTCTATCGAAATGGTAATACTAGAGTCTCACCTGAATCGCCACCGGGAGGAGCGTTGGCAACTTTGGCAAAGTCCTCCGCAAGACCAAGCAACTCTAAAATTCGCCATGCCCTAAACCACATCACTACACCCCCGCCTATCTCCGGGAAGCGTCCTGCAGACTCGTATAGTTGCACGTTCACATCCGTTACTCGGCTAAGTGCAACTGCGAGAGCGAGACCTGCAATGCCGCCACCGCTTTTGAACTTGAAATCAGTTGCTTCAGAGATGCGAAGGCAACCGCAACATATATCAATTCTGAAGAGAGGCACTTGCGAGCTCATTTAGGGCTGTTACAGGGCCGTCAGAGATGGTATGGCCGCAATATATGTATATGTAGCGAGAACAGCCTGTTGGTGCCGCGGAATGTAATGGTATGTCACCAGGGCGATTTGTCGCTGGAGAATTCTAGTGGCACTAAGCATGAAATGCATATACAGCTGGAAAAATCTACCGGTAGTATACTGGTTGAGATCTGCAACTGTGGTACATGTCACGGTGGTGTCGATCATCAAGCACTTGCATTTTGCATGTTACAGGATCGGAAACGTCCCAATTCTTTTCCTGGGGTTATGTTGGAGGCCTGTGGCACCAGCAAAGTTCTAATAAGATCATTGAAAATGGGGTAGGACAAACCCTACCACCTTATGAGCTACCTCAGAACCTATAATGTGGACGAAGAAAATGAAAATGGGGATCGAAAGCATGCACATATTAGGTCCAGAGGATGTTGATGAAAGCCGTCAAGAACCGGCCTTGGTCCTCTAGACACAACTTATCGCTTGTCGCTAATGCCATTTAGCCTTCTGAAAATATAGCAAAAACAAATTAATGTTCCTTGAGATTTCGGGGAGTAAATGTCAAGACGCATAGTACGATCCTTTTTGTTACCGCCCTGCTTTTCGATCCGCTTCGCCCTCGACATGCAAGCCCTTCACAGTCTCCCTCCTCGCCCATTCTCCCACAGCGCACTGTTCGCTCCCCAAAATCGCCCGCCACACCAGCAGCCGCCCGGTGAGCGCTTGCCAGACATGTGACTCTGAGCTTGAAGATGCAGACCCAGCTGACGCTGTCTCGCTGATGCACCGCCACAGTTCTTCTACCGAGGCACCCCAAAGGCTCAGCCTCCTTGCAGGGCACTGCGTCTCGTCTCCATTCTGTGCCTCGGAAGGAGAGACATCGTGGGAGCGATGTGGAGGCAGCGCGAGGTCCCAGTGGCGACCATGGGTGCATTCCAAAGGCGAAGAGGTGCTGGCAACGGCCAGAATTTCCTGTTCGAACGCCACGACCTTCCGCAATGCAGTGCGCAGGAGCTCCGTGTTATGCTCACACGATGAAGCATGGTGAGCAGGAAGAAGATTTAGACGGAGAATGACGCGGACTGCGTGTCGCAGAGTCCCCAGAGACAGCCCTGTGGTCCAACGGAAATGAGTCCACCATATGGTTGTCGCATATTGCGCTTGCTTACCTCTCCGTAGGATAGCTTCCAAACATCTCCTCACGTTACCTCTCCAAGCCCCGCCCGTAGCCCGATCCAATGTCCCTGCATCCACGACCACCAAGACATTCTCCAACACCTTCAACCACACGTCTGCAGGCGTCACCATCCTCCCGTGTCGCTCGCCACCCTGCTGCTCCATCAACATCATTTCGACCCATCCCAGCACCCCCTCCCTGACCACAAGCGCCGTACACGCCGTCGCGCACGCTGTCAGATTCACAAGCACATCTATCACTCCGCTCCTGAGCCCTGCATCCCGCGTCTCGCCCTGGTACACGCTCGCGAGCAATCCCCACGTGTGTCTCCGCTTCAGAACATGCCAGTCCGCACTGCGCGCCATCCCGTCAGCGAGGAAACGCACGATCCAGAGACGTTCTTTTTTCCAGGCGTCGGTGCCGCTATAGAGCATCGCATAGAGCAGTGGTACGTCAGATGTGTCGAGGGTGGGGCGTTGCAAGAGGAAGCGCGCAGTAAAGGGGTAGATGAAGTTCGAGGGGTAGAAGATGCCGCGGAGGGCCTGTGCAAGGAGGAGGGTGGTGTGTGATGGAAGGAAGGGTACATCGTCATTTTCGGTGCTTGGAAGAGTGTCCTTGAGGATATTGAGTGTGTAGAGCACGTGTGCCTTCTCGAGCATTTGAAAGTCGTCCTAGACAATTTCCATGCGGCTTTGAGTATCCGACTGATTATCAAATGGCAATCGCAAGCTTACCTGCAATAGCTTCCACACCCCGACAATTCCTGACAGCGCTGCACTTCTCAGCCCCGCGTCCTTAGCCGACAAACACTTCACCAGAATGCTGACAGCATTCGTCCGGAAGACCTCCACCCAGCCCATGCCTGTACTAGGTGGATGCGAGGCAAGCATGCGGGCAAAGAGCGCCACGACGAACACAGGGTCGTATACATCCGGCTCTCCACCGTGCATATCTTCCTCGTCGCCCTTCGCTTCATACTCCTCCTCGTCGGCTGAGAAAGCACGCCACGCAGGGAACGCCAAACACGTCCTCAGCGCTCTGATTGGCTCCAGGCTCAGCACAGCTTCCAGCTCCCCTCCGCTCTCGGTACCTGCCCTTCCCTCAGCACCGGCGGCGCCAGACCAGCGACCGAGCACCGATGCCGTTGTCATGCCCTTTGTGCGTTCAAACAACCGGAAAATGGTGAGTAGGGCTTGGTCGCCTGGCGAGGTTGTACCACCGTAGATCCGAATGAGTGGCTGGACATGCGACGGCTGGCAAGTGTTTGTTGGGTGCGTGCGGAAGAGGGCGAGAAGGAAGCGGGATAAAGCGGTATGTGGATTTGTAAAAGGAGCAGTCTTTAGGAGAGAAGGATGTTGCAAGGTGGATTGTATGAGGCGGTTGACGATGACAGGCTGGTGAATGTAGGCGAACGTTTAGTGATCGAAATCGGTAAACTATCGCGAATATGAACAGGGCCTCACCTTGAGCGAAACACGGCGAACAAGCGTCGTGCAGAATCGCACCACACCAGCATCGCCCAAACACGATTGAATCGCAGCCACGAGCACAGGCTCGACGAGATGTGCCTTCAGCTGCACACCCGAATGTCTAATCAACCAATCTACCACCAGGCTAAGATCAGCCCACGTTCCTAGTCATTCGAAACACGACAATCGACTCACCAAGTCTTCCAAGTGTCCTCTCTCCCTCGTTAGCATCCTTCTCAGGTAACCATCGCACTGCCCAGCCTAAACCCCTATCGACGACGCCCTCTATCACCCCGCTCAGACTCTCTCCCTCCGCTCTCACAGTTCCACCTGCAGAGCAAAGCGCCACCCCAATTTCGACAAACTCGGTCGTGCACTTCTCAAACGACGTCTTCTTCATCCGCGCGAGAAGCTTCTTCGCCATAGTCTCCCTTAGAGGTCCAGAGGAGAGTTTCAAAAACAGGGCAACACATGCAGTGCTACTCTTCCTCGTTACCTCCTCTTCCTCTTCAGCAAATGCGCGTTTCCCTTTCTTCGGATCCGGAAGCAGCCGCTCGAACACACTCCCCAGTACGTCTGCGTGTCCTTCCAAGAGCGAGTCGACAAGGTCGCGGCGACCCGTAATATCCACACAGTCAAGGAAGGCGTGCATCGCCTTTGCAAGACACGCCGTCTCTATCTGCGCCACCGCTTTGTCGGTACCCGGAACCCCGAGCCACGCAGCGAAGTCGTCCACGCACGTCCTGCGCGCATATATGAGAGCAGCGACGATCTGCGCCGTGTGTTTCGTCCACCGGTCCTGAGTGAGAAACTGCGAGAAGACGTTTTCTGGGAGTATGCTTGCTGTGTCCGTCCGCATACCGCCAGCGTCAAGCAGATTCCGACCGAATCCGTTGAAGCGCGGCGCGAAACCGTCACAGGAAGGAGGGAGCTGCAGAGCCACAGCGCTCGCGATGAGCTCTTCGAGGGCCTCGCCCGCTTCTCCCCCGCTTGGGACCAATTCACGTAGGTTGAACAGCTGTGAGCATCGGCGTCCCAGGGTGGCATCCGTGTGAAGGGCAGTACGGAGTGCATGAAGGATGACTTCGAGGACCGATGTTGGGAGGGAAACGCGAGAAGAAGAGGGGGACGTCGTGAAGTGCTCGAGGAGGTCGAACAGGATGGCGGGGTCAGCGAATGGGAGCCAGAGCATGAGAGGCGTAATCTGACAAAGTGGAGCCAGGTATCAGTAGCGTGTTTGCGCAACTGTCTCATATGATTTACTCACTTCGGGAAGTCCGCCATCCTCCACTGTACGCTTGCACACCTCGGCCCAATACGCGCTAAACGCAGCAGTAAGCTTCCTGTCATGCAACTGGGCAGGATCCAGCATCGTCTGTACCACTTTCGCGAGGGCTAGATATTCATGCTCAGCGTCGTCTTTGCGATAGACATGCGGCCTTACCTTCAGAGACCTCGCCCGCCATCCCCTCCTCCGTGCACAGACCCTTAAACACTCTATTCTCCTCAAACAACCATCGTCTCAGGTCTTTGAGGTCCTTCGCACTCGCTACGCTGCTTTCGCTCGCGGCACGACATATATCGCCCACAAGTAATAGCAAATCACGCCTGAGATTGGACAAGGTGCGGCTAGCCTCTATAGCCTGGCACAGTACGCACAGTGCGCGCTCGAGAGTGACGCGTCGCGGCGTGAATGTTGTCTCCGAGCCCAACAGCGCTGCAACGAGAATGCGACGGCGTGTGGGATTCGTGAGCGCGGAGGGAGGAGTGCCGTAGAGAAGCGACTCAAAAGACCTGGCATGATAAGATGATCAATCAACTGCCGACCCATACACCGAGAACGAACGTACCCGTCCTCATCTCCACCCCCCGCCTCGCCCGCCTCGCCTTCCGGCCACGCCAACCCCATCTTCATCCCCGCACACTCATCGCGCAACCTCTCCACCACGCCCCCATACACCTCCTCAGGCGCAACAACCACAGCAGCACCAAGCGCCTCACCCACAGCACCCAGCACATGCACATCCTGCGTCGTCCCGCGCAGCCCAACCACCACCCTCCGCGCAAACCTCACCACCGCAGGCGCAGAAGCAGCCAAAATATGCCGCCCAGCGAGCTTCGTGCGTATCTGCTCCTCCACGACAGCCAACAGCGGAGACACCGCCACCGCCGCCCGAGTCTGCGCCTCGGCTCCGCCCTCGCGAGGGCCGTCGGACATCTCGACGTCATCTTCGCTTTCTGGCCGACCAGTGCCAGCGCTGGCAAGACCGAACCCGTCGAGCGCCTCGTAGTACCGGTACGGCGTACGCATCCCGCGCTGCACGCACTCGTCGAGGAACTCAACCGTCGCTTTTCGGTGCTCTTCGTCGTTCCCGTTCCCGGAGCTCGGGAGGGCGGCGAGCCATACGTCTACGGTTCCCGGCGCGTTTTGGAAGAGGATGCTGGTCCCCAGGAGGTGCACAAGGAGCGCGTGGAGCGCCATGCGAAGTGCGGAAGCGGGAGGGGCGTGCGTGAAGGCCGTCAAGAGGACAAATAAGGGCGTGTGCGAGGAGTTAGCTGGAGAGATTAAATGACACGGCCGTAGTCAGCTGCACATTCTTTAGTAGCGGAAAGGTGAATAAAAACCACTCACCGATCTTCGCACTCCACACAAACTGCTCGCTCTCCTTCAGCAGACGCAGAATATGAAGCTGCTTTACGCGCTGAAGTGCTACAGCCGTCCCACCACCCTGTTTTGGATCTTCCTCTGACATCTCAACGTCCGCGTCCGGCCCGCTCGAGGACACAGAGGCAGGCAAAAATCCACCACCGAGGAGCAGCTTCCCGACATCGAACCGCACCTCCGCCACCGCATCCGGCACGCACCGATGATACAGCCACACCAGCCGCAGCGCCACCTCCGACAAGAGCGCCTGTTGAACCTCGTTGGGCGCTTGAACCGCCACATTGGCGTCCTTTTTTAGGCCCGAGTCCGCATCGGCTGCCTCGGACACCGTCGCACCGGACGAAGAAACCGTCGACGCGCTGACCTGCGCAAAAGCGACGATAACCTGGAAATCCGGGACCCGCCGCCTCACCTCCCTCGCAAGCTCCGCTCTCCTCGCAGCCCACATGCCCCCGCCGTTCTCAGCCCCTCCCCCCGCTCCGCCTTCCCTGCCTTCGCGCATCCGGCGCAGGCCCGCGATGTCCTCGGGAAGGACCTCGATACTGCCGCCGCCGCCGCTCCCTTTGCTGCCGGCTGCGGAATCGCCGCCCTCGACGACGCGTCCGAAAGCGTTGCGCACAGCCTCGTACTTCATCAAACACCGCACAAGGAGCAGAGCGCTCGCGTGTCGCACGAGCGGAGACGTATGCTGCACGCCCCGAGTGAAGAGGCCTTTGGTAACTTCAGCGCCTCCGCCACCGCCACCAGCTATTGAGATAGACGACGACGATCCGACCGAGGGGAAGATGTTGCCGAGGATATTTGGGTGTGGGGGCGGGACAGGGTTGTACAGCGGTTCATCAGCGTCCGCAGACGCCGATAGCTGAGCCTTGGACAACGAGGGAGCGGCCGAGCCACGGAGGACGAAGGACGCGAAGGGAACGGGGAGAGAGATGACGCTCCCTGCGTACGCAACGTTCGCCAGCCACCGTGAGGAGAGGCGAGGGTCGAGGGTTAGGGATGCGGCAGACCAGTACCTGTAGCACACGATGACATCCACGTCGCATCCGCATCGTCAACTAAATTGTACCAAAGACGACGAAAAAGGCACTTACCCAGCGACGAGCTCCGGACATGCACTCAGTATCCTCAGCGCGAGTTCCTGCTGTCGTGCATCCTCGTTGACACGCAGCGTTCGCAGAACCTGGGCCAGAACTTTGTTGTATATCTTCCCCCCACTGCCGCCACTTTTTGCACCATCTCCGCCTCCCATATAACGGCCTTGACGGCCTTCGCCATTTGCATCAGCCTCGGCACCACCTTGCACCTCGAGGGCATCCTCCTCGGCAACGCGTGGGTACCACCCGCGGTCGCGGAAGCAAATTCCAATTCCAGGGCGTGTACAAAGCGCGAGAAGGAAGTGATGCGCGACGTCAGCGGGTACAGTCTCCGTAGCGCTAGAATCGGTGTCGTCGTCGGGGGTGGCTGCGAAACCTGGTTCTGGGTCCGTTCGTTCGTACAGTTTGAGGATCTGAATACGTATATAAGCACGCATATACAAGCACCTGTCGCTGAAGAGGAAGCTTGCGTACCTCCCCGATCTCCTTTACTCCAAATACACCGACCCTCGCGCCAGCTCCTATGCGCGCATCGCAGCATAACCCAGTCCACAGCCTCTCACAGACCCGCACAACGAGCGGTAACGGATCGGTAGGGAGTCCCTTGAATATGCTAGCGAGGTGAAAGCGCTGGGCACCGAGGAACACGACTCGTGTGGAAGACGAGGACACGAAAGAGAGGAGGAAGAGGACGTAGAGGGTGCGTATGTCGGGTCGAGCGAGAGCGTCAGCGTCGTTTGCTTTAGTTTTGACTTTGGAATAAGATCGACGGCGCATATATAGGAGCTTTGGAAGGGACTATAATCGCCGTCCTACGATTTAGTATACAAGAGAGAAAAGAGAACAGGATGAAAGAAAAACATGGATACAGCAGGTTGGAGAGAAACATACCTTCATCTCCCATGGAAACACCTCCCAAACCCTCTTCCTCTCCCGCCCACCGCCAAACTCGCTCATGGCTAGCCATAGCTTGAGCGAACCCATCACGACGTCGTTAGCCGAGCTCCCCAAATACCCAGCCAGTCTCTCCGCATATTGGTGCTGCTGTGCCGACGTTGTGAGAATGGTCTTGAGGAGTGTTACTCCCGAAGGATGTGGAGAGAGGATTGCGAGCAGCGATGCAAGAAGGAAGAGCAGCGGCGCAAGCGATCCGTGCGCATGTGGATGTGACCTATCCCATACGTCGAAGAGCACCGGCAGACCTGGCGAGGATTCCGCCCACGAGTGTGCTAGCAGCGCCCGGGTGTCTGTGGGAGCTATGATCTCTTCGTTCTGCACCGCGAACGTGCTCCGAAGAGCAGACAGAATGACGGGTAGGGAGTCGGGCGTTGCATTCTTGAGCGCGATCTGAATGTCATTGGACGAGGTGAACTTTTGTATCTCCTGCTTGTTGGATTTTTCGCCTCGTTGCGAGTTTTGCCTTGCGCGTTTGGGTGGCCGCGCTGCCATCGCGGTACAGTCAAGAAAAGGGGGAGAAAGGAGATGAGGCAAAAATTGGGCACGTGATGACGATTTGTACAGCGCACCACTACGAGCATATTTACGTTGCCCTGCGACCACCACTGTGAGTACCCTTCCGGACGGAAAGCTCATTGCTAGTGCACACGGAAAACAGGAAGTTCAGCTATGGAACGCCAAATCCGGAGAGTCCGTTGATACCATAGAACATCCGGCCAACGTTGCTGATGTTGCATATTCTCCCTGCGGAAAACACATCGCCAGTGCTTGCCACGACAACCTGGTACGAGTATGGGATGTGAATTCGCAGACGCTCGTATTTCCTCCTCTCGTCGGCACAAGTCGGAGGTATGGGCCGTCGCCTATTCCCCCGATGGACGGTTGCTGGCGAGTGGTAGCCGGGACTGGACCATTCGCCTGTGGGACACAGACACTGGTAAACTACTACAAGGCCCTTTGAGAGGGCACAGACTTCCTATCTCAAACCTCGTGTTTGCGTCTGATGGCAAGGTGCTTGTCAGCGCGTCAAAAGACAGAAGCCTTCGCGGGTGGGATCCACTGACGGGCAACTGCTTGTGGGGTCCCGTATACAGCAAGTCGTTCAATACACCTATCTCTGTCTCCCCAACACAACGTGCGGTAGTCTGTGGAAGAGATTCCGCCTTGAATATTCGAGATCTCGGATCTGGGAACATCATTTCCCCTCAAGTAAGTGATCCGCCCGAATTTTGAAAGCACTCATAGACTTGCATATGTATAAAGTGCCACGAACCGAAGCTTTCCCAAGGCGACCTGTGCGTATAGCCCACCTTCTGCTGTTCTTTGAGACTTATCAATGTAACATGCTGTGACCATGTAGAATGCACTCGTATCTGGACGTTTGTTCATTGGCGTGGTTTCCTGATGGCTTTCACTTTGCAAGCGCAGGCGATGACCACACAATCAAAATTTGGGATGCGAAAACCGGTGAAGACTCGATCGATGCTGGCTTTTTTCACACCAGTGGTATCCACTCCATAGACATTTCGCCCGACGGTTTGCTATTAGCTAGTAGCTCTTTTGATGGCACCATTTGCATATGGAGCATTGAAACCAAGACGCCTGTCATCGATCCTATTACGACGCATACCCAAGACTCGGACTCCAAAGTTGTCAAGTTCACCCCTGATGGTTCCTGTTTTGTCAGTGCCAGTAACGACCACACTATACATGTATGGGATACACAAACCGGCAGCTCCCTTCGTGTTATCAAAGGGCACTACGGCCGTGTCTGTGCTCTGAGCGTGTCCTCTGACGGCTCAAAGCTGGGAAGCGGGTCCGAAGACTCTACAGTGTGCGCTTGGGATACTCATACCGGCCATCTGATAGCGCTATACAAGCACGACGATTATGTGCTGGCAGTCTGCTGGTCTCCTGATGGGGATTGTATACTCAGTGGCTCCAAAGTCGGAACCGTACGCGCATGGAGCATCTCTACGGGCAAACAACTCCTCCATGTCAACCATGACGGTCGGATTAATGCTGTCCAGTATGCGCCTGATGGGATGACATTCCTGAGCGCCTCAAACAACGGGACAGTTCGCATTTGGAACGCAACTACCGGCGAGCTTCTCCGCTCTCTTGAACACAAGTTTTCTGTAACTGCAGCTGCCTTTTCGCCGGATGGTTTCCGCATCGTGAGTGGGGGAGACGTCGGCTATATCAGAGTATGGGAGGCAGCAAGCGGAAAACTTCTCTTGGGTCAAGTGCGTATCCGATCTCGTCAAATAAGTAGCGCGCTGACATTACAAAATAGAATGCGAAGGGCAACGACCCTTCAAATAGTTCTCCCCATGAAGTAGGAAGAGAGGCAATATGAGATGTATGTGAACGACTTAGCCTGGCGGCATATAAACATCAAAAGTGTTACTTACAGCAGATAGTTCATGAATCTGACGACAGCATCATGAACGTGAGTCGTTATTTTATTCTTCACCTCTTTTTGGTACAAACACTTTCAGTTTCCACTGCCTCGTCGAGCACAACGGTTCGATAATAGTGACGGACGCCAGGAGCGCCAACGTAATCAAAACTCTTCCCGCAATGATGGATTACCCCGTCCTCGTTCAGCTTTTAGAGCACTGACGCATGCTCTCAAGAGGATATTTGGGCCAGAAAACACACAACGCGGGCAAGATGATAGCATGGGCCGCCGAGAGGAACGCAGAATGTTCAAGTTACGTCGCATTGTCCCCGTATCTACTGCTAAAATGAAACAGGTGTGTGTTCCATGTATGCTTTAGCTGGTTTACGCCGAACTGACACCATACAGCTCATTTACCGAGCACCTACTCCCGAACGGCGAGGGCGCCAGGAAGCGGGCGAAGATGCAGAGTCGGAACACGATGGAGGGGATGACAGTCCCCCTTTCGCTCCCGACAGCGTCCCATCGGCTGCTCCGCCCATTAACCGGCCTGAGCATTCCTACCCTCCAGCGAATACACAATCCACAAGCGAGGTTGACGTTATTTGTTTCTGTATTCCTCTCGGAAGCAAACTAGGAAAGTACGCATCAACGGCGATGGGTGTTAAGACTGCGTCTTGACCTTATGTGGAATATTAGTCGTCACCGTAGTTGACGACGTCAAAGGTTCGTGGTCGTCGAAGAGGACGATGTCGAAGGGTTCTTAATAAGTCGTCAGCGACGATGAGGTTCTTAGTCTTAGTGGTTGTCTCAGATCGTGTACTAGGTTGTATCGAGAGTGGTATCAAATTGACTAGTATTCCTAAGGTAGGACTAGCTTATGTTACATGGGCGAGCAGAGCGAGCCTTATATACAAAGATATGAATGCGCACAGACCAGTTTCCCGATATATCGTACAAGTTAGAGGTCCTGCCTCTTTAGGTAAGAGAAGAAAAAGCGTGTCATAACATAACCCCCTCTGTAGATTCGAGATGACTCGATCTCGATCTACTCACATGCTTCTAACTCGGGCATGTCCTCGTCATCAGATATCTCGTAAGGGGCGGCCTCGGGTTCCTTGGGAACCA